ACACAGGAATTATGTTTTAGTATGTTATCATTTGTAGTTCAAAGACACGGATCAACCTTAAGTTAGTTAGGAAAAGTTGTTCTGATTCTATATTTGCATCGTTTAGTACTATACTGGAACCGTTGGCATGTGGTGACTTTTTTTTATGAAATACGTCCGACATAAATATTGTGAATGACATTGTTCAATTACTAGTATCTTGGAAAGGGATGTGTTCAAATGCGCTCTAGATAGATGCAACAGGCATTTTGACTTAAATCTTCACTCTTGACTAGGGGAATGAGAAATTACCGGCGTGCACTCATCATGTGTCGTGTGTCAGCAATTGAGAAACCTTTTCATGCCTAGATACAATCCTAGATCATGGCATAAATGCCAAATACCAAAACCCTGTAAAACGTTTAAATATAATATTAATTCGTGGTGATACTAAGAAGTTACTTTCGAGACCTGTTCTTCAGTCAGATTCCTTATTGTCCTAACGTGGCAAGCAAAGGTTTGATACCGAATTGATGTTTGTTTGTTTGTTTAACGCCGCACACATCAATATTTCAGCTATAGGACAAAGGTCTGTATATAATCAAGTCTGGACCAGACAATCCAGTGATTGACATCATGAGCATCCATCCACGCAAATGGGACACGATGATATGCATCAACCAAGTCAGCAAGACTGACCACCTGATCCCATCAGTCGCCCTTTACGACAAGCATGGATTGCTGAAGGCCTATTCTAACCCCGATCTTCACGGGTGAGGTGAGGTGAAATTGGGTTTAACGTCGCGTCCAAGATTATTGCACTTATATAGCGACGTGCATGCACGTGTATGTGTGTGTGTGGCTGCTTGTACTAGTCCGGACTGATGCCGATTTATAGTGCTAGCTCACTGAGATACCATGCCGCAGTTTAACATGAATACCCCACTCAGACACAGTATACTGACTCCGAGCCGACCAGTCCTTGTTTTAGCCCCTTAATGCCGAGCGCCAGACAGGGTAACAACAAGTACAATCTTTTAACGTCTTTTTGTATGACGCGGCCCGGGATCGAACCCTGGACCTTCCGCTCTCCGGGCGGACGCTCTACCACGATCTTCACGGGACTCTTCCACAAAGATGACTCTCTGCATGCATACCTGGAACGTTTGGATTTGACTAGCATTTCGTCTCTCATGTGATGATATTTAAGGTTTATTTTCTTGACTTGGAATAGAAAGTCGCCAAGGCCACCTCCCCATTTTAAGACCGAATAAATGGTTCAGGTTTGCCGCAAATATGTTTCTAGGTTTGTCAGCTCGTGGGTTTCACAAAAGTGGTGAACGTCTGAGACCTGCATCCCTTCGGGCTTTCCTCTACATTAAGCTGGCACACATATTATGACTGGAATACTGTTCAAAGCGGCATTAGACCCATGAAGATCCGGGGGAAAATAGGTCTTCATCAACCCACGCTTGCCGTAAAAGGCGACTATGCTTGTCGTAAGAGGCGACTAACGGGATCGGGTGGTCAGGCTCGCTGACTTGGTTGATGCATGTCACTGATTCCAATTGCGTGGATCGATGCTCATGATGTATGTCACGAGATTGTCTGGTTCAGACTCGATTATTTACAGACCGCCGTCATACAGCTGGAATATTGGTGAGTGCGACGTTAAATATCAAACCATCAATGAATCAGTCAAAGCGGCATTAAATCCAACTCACTATATGAGCAAACTAATTGTGGAGCAGTTAGTCAAAATGTGAGACATGACTGATTGTGTTCATCATTGCTTGTGTCTGTAGTTTTTCAGCACAATATCGATGCTGGTGGTTTCTCCAAAGCATTAAACGTCTCTGACCTGCATCACCTCTGCCTCTCCTCCCATATCAAGCTGACATGTCCTGATATATAACTGGAATAATGTTCAAAGCAGCATTAAAACCAACACACAAAATGTCGTCTCTACAGTTTATAGATGGTATACAGTTGTTAGGAGCTGTAACTCAGTGTGGAAATTGAAATAAAACTTCAGAGGTATAAATATATTTAAAAGGGAAACAATGGAAATATAATAAGCTCGCACAACAAAGAAGACTTCTAATTGGTCCAAGAGAGGTGGTTTCCTGATGCTTAAAGCATGAGTGGGTTGATATTTGACCTCTGATCTTCACTATCTCAGCAATATGGGTAATTAGTCAGGCAGAGTTCTGTCCCCTAGCTGCCAGGTTCATCAGTGTTGGTCTTCTAACATCACACTATGCTGTGTTGATAGCACCAAAGGGCTAATCCTACTTGCATCAACTTGGGCTTTGAAGTAAGTCTGTGAAATAGCAGAAAGACTGTCCCAGCAATGTCCACTCACCAACTCCTGGGTCTCAGAAGGGGTCTGTGTCTGTTGCAAGAGCTGATTAAAATAGGAATTGTCCCAGTCAAGCATTGTAACTTGTTTCATCAAACTAAACAGCATTAATTTTGCTACAAACCACTGGGTTACTTGACTCAAAAATGTACTGGTTGCTGTGACAGCCGAGTATTGCTGAATGTCCCTAAAGCAAAAAAACCAAACATGAATGAGTGAGTGAGTGAGTGAGAGTGAGTTTGAGGTCTTACAGCACTTTTAGCAATATTCCTTCAATATCACAGCGGGAACACCAGAAAATGGGCTTCACAAATTGTACCCACATGGGCATTCGAACCCTGGTCTTTGGCATGACAGGCCGATGTCTTAACCACCAGGCTACCCCACCGCCCCAAACAAACAAAAAATTGTATCAGTGTTGGATAGATGTACAGTGGAAGAACAGTGAATTGCATTCACAACTCACAAACCAAGCTAAATACATCTTTCCTCAATAACTCTTTGTTGACACATATGACAGCTCATAATTCCCCAAGAGACATTGGACTTGTGGACTTGTTCCACGGTGATCATCATCATGTTTCCAACATTCAATGCTGTCTTATTAAACCTGCAATACTCATTTGTTAACAAAAAAAACAAAACAAACTCAAATTCATTGGGATGATTTAATAAATGCACTTTGTAAAATATGACTGTTCAATTTTAAAGTAAATGAGACAAAATAATGAAACATCAATTATATACAATGCTAAAATGAGTCCATGATAAAACCTGATGTACAATGTAAAACAATCAACACACAGTAACAAAGGACATCATGATGGTCTTCATAATCCCAGGTGGTAATAAATGGCAGCCTACTAGGTCCCTCCTCATGGTTGTATTTTCCACAAGACAATTGAAAGATAATGAAAAGGTATTATAACATTGAAAATTCCATGACTAGTAACTATATATCCTATGAAGATACCCCTTTTGAAGCATACCTAGCACATTATTGTGTTTCAACAGTGATGTAAAGAGTCAAAAACCTTTGCTTACTTTTCACACTTCAAGCCTCAAATAATGCCAGCGAGATGTCTGGTAGCAATAACAGCACTATACTTACGCCAAACACTATCAAAATTTAGATGTAATTTTCATGATTTGCACATGAGAGCTGCCAGATTTTCCAAAACTCCTGAGGCAGAAAATACCAAATGCTTATACAATGTACTGCAGCCATGTTACAGACAACAAATATAACGTCTTGATGATTTGCCCAGAATACAGTTTTATAATAATGAAATATTTACCCAGGACTTTGTAATTAGGCCCCTTCATGAAAAGTTCCTGATCCTAATACAGACTGATGATGATGGCCACATATACTAATAACTCTCTCTTTATATAATCATGTCATTGTAAATAGAAACGAGACATATTATTGACATAACAATTCTTTCACTAACATTTGCTGTACAAATGCAAACTGATTTCCGAATGAATTATTTCATGTAGCCTTAAAGAAATTTGAGTGCACCTTTCCTTTAAAAAAAGCTGTACATTTATTTGTATATTCACAATTCAGCACAGATAGACATCATCCCATAGCACTATGAAGAAAACCGGAAATGCTGCCACAAGTTATGGGTGTATTTGATTTGAGGGAAAGTTCAGGGTCTTGATAAAAGAAAGTTATGTTATCAGGAGATGTGTTGTTTCTTAATAATTATTTTGGCTAGACCAACTGTATTGTTCTTTCGTACAGAGAAGCCTCCAACCAGTTTATCAAAAGTAAAATGAATAAGAAGTACCATCCTCAATGGAAAATAATTTGATTTCAGAGGGCTATTTGTCAGTAATTTTATTGTAACTGATAAAAACTGTTTGGGGCAACAAGCTAACAAATACCCTCATCTCCCCCCCCCCCCCCCCCCCCCCCAAAAAAAAAGGTTTTAAAAAAAGTAGAAATTTGTATTGGATATTCTTGATAATTGACAACAATAAACATGATGGCTTTGTCTTGACCTCCTTTAGCCTTGACATTTGGGACCTGAAAATGAATAAATCTAGAAACAAAACTGGTTTGGTTTAAGTTTAAAAAAACCAACATATAATGAGCGACAACCCATGATCATCATTGTCCTTTCAGATCACGTGTTGGAAGTGCATCAGTGACTGACTGTGATTGTCGATTCAGCCTATCCTCAATAATGCTGACAGTAACATGTTATTTCATATTGGCAATACTTACCAAGGCATAGAACCATGAGTTCTACTATCACCCTGACATGAATTGAACTCCTTTCTAAGCTTTACTGGACAAACACCCTCCAACACATCTCTACACCGGTCCTACCCAAACTTGTAGTCACCCCAGGGTGGTCATGGTGAAAGAATCTACATTGAAACGTTGCTCAATGCAACAAACCAGAAGTTGTTATCAATAAAGTTGTGTTTTCTTATTTGGATACTTGGCTCTCTGGGCTGAACACACATTGGCATCTGAATAAACACTTTCGTACCTTCTTTAAGAGGCACTTACTTACTAACTTTAGTACCTGGCGGCAATCTGTGACAATGTAGGGCAAGTCGAGTACAAATGGTTCTCGTGGATGTTCCATATAGATTTGAATTTAACACTGAAATTACATATGATTTCTTGATCATTTTGAAACATGAACACAACTTTATTGCACATCTCATTCTAAAAACACTAAAAACAAAGTAAGAACTTAATCAACAGTCAATGCTGTCATATTAGAAAAATACAAGTCTTACTGCATAAACCCATTACGAAAGAATCATTCCCAAACATGCACAGAATCAGTGGCCAACACAGCCACTCCATACACTCCTTGAACCTGACAGCATGTGGCCCTGTGAATGGAAGAAGTACGACACCAATGTCATCCTCAGCAACAGTACAGCTGGATCTTGATGCTGAGTTCAAGCCTGGACTAGGCAAACCAGGGGTGTCAAGAACATCAGGATCATGGTATGCACACACATTAACAAATATAATTGGGTGGATTGTGCATCATGTTTGCTCAAGCTATCAACCATTGGTTTGTCTAGCCAGACTCAGTGTCAAACACCCACTCAAGGCTAGCCATAAGACAGCTTTGGTTCTTTCTGGGACACCTATAACATCCTACCAGGTAGAGAGGTCAGCGGACCCAGTTGCCTTGACAACAAGTGGAAGGTCAAGGACCTACATGGAAGCACACACTAGGATGCTGGTGTCACAAGTCAAGACTGAATTTGACATTTGTGGAAGTTTTGAGGTCTTGTCAAATCTAGCAAAATCATTATGGTCTAAGTTTATAGCTGTAGATTGAACAGCAGAATGAACACAGATGATGTTCACAAGAATTTAAGGTACACAGAAACCTAAATATGGATTATGCATGAACAAGAAAATAACAATTCAGTACTTCCAATGCAAACGTTCTGAACAATTACAATGTCTAGATCATGTAGATTGTGTCATTAAGAAATCTGTATGGAATAACCAATCATTACAATGTATTTGCAAATGGCAAAAGTCATCATTTACACGTGTCATTCCATTTCTCACTTGACAAACCTGGAAAATGCCCCTCGTGATGATCCGTGACAATGAGAGTGTATCTGATAATCAGTGATGCATGATGTCACATCCTTAAATTGAAGACTCCTGATGAAACATACTACTAAACACCTGATGGTGATATTCTTCGTGTGCAGGGTCTCGTTCCACAAAGCGATCGTAGCGCTAAGACGATCGTAACTCCGATACTTTAACACAGACTTACGACAGTCGTAGCGCTATGATCGCTTTGTGGGGCGGGGCCCAGATGAGATATAAATCTGTCTGGATGTTTGGAGATGTTGGCGTATGAATACTATACGATTTGGGCATAGAACTGATGCATGCTTCAAAACTATATATGGGAGCAAGTGTGCAAAGTTTTAGAAGATTTCCACAATATCGCAATAAGCATTGCACAGTTTATACACAGACTAAGGTCAGGAGACAACAACGTATATAAATGTTTAATTTTGTTCATTATGAAGTGAAGGTCAACATGTGTCCAGTCCAGCCCAAACCACATCCTATTTGTATGACAACATATCCAAACATCAAAGTTAATTGATTTATAATGTAAAATTCAAGTCATCGTTTTTAAATTTCTTAAACACCAGACTGAACACAGAAAGTTGAACAGGATTTGTCTCCTCTGTAACTATGGTAACATGACCATATATAGATATATATACAACCTATATACAATATTAAATGTACATAATGAGACTTGAATGATTGTTTTCCTCATGTACTACTCATCACACAACATCTTAATATCATTCAGCCTTGACTATTGTATGTCAGAGTATGGTACACACGACTGTCATAGCACTCAGATGACTTTATGGAATGGTCATTTCCAAATTACCATCAATAATTGTTTAGCTTCTATATCAACATTCACCAGTTTCTTTGTAAATACCATCAAATCAACCCCTGCTGTGTTTGATTGGTTTTTTTAAATCTGTAAGCCAGAAATATTGGCATGGCCATACTGTTTCAAGTGATATGCAAGCTGACAAGTCCTGCTATCTAACTGTAACGAGTATGGGGATATGCAAGCTGATCATAAGGAGGTATATGTATTCCAAAGCATCAGTAGTCTACATCTGCATATGTGTCTGTAAAACTGTTCCCACTCACGATGGCTGCCCTTCTAGTCATCACTCTAAAGGCATCAGTTTCTTGTCTGAAATAATATACAATTTTACATTATTTTCATGAAAGGTGTTTGATAGTTCGGAAAGAAAAACAGAATAAGCAATGCATGTTTTGTTTATAACAGCTTATTTGAAGATATTCTAGAATCAAGATGCACAATTTAATCATTTGAAAACAAATGAACGCGATTTGGAGCATCAAAGGTCCTCTGTTTTTTTGTCTCTAAAACACAGCCTATCAATGATTCAGGGAGTCTGTTATTTGACCCATAAGTATTCAAATTAATCAAGTTCAGACAAACATGACAGGCCGAATTTACAAGGTAAACAATTAAATCTAAGCTCCAACAAACATGAGAGAGTGAATGTTGTTTAACGCCTCAGTCAACAATATTCTAATAACACATGTGTGATGTGTAAAAATGTGAGAATGGACCAGATAAGCAGTATTTGATAGGATGAGCAATTTCCCACACCATCAGGGTACGATGGCATGCAATCAACAGAGGCTGACCACTCGATCCATTGAAGCCATTTACGCACAAGCTGCTGGTGACCAATTTCAACCAGGAAAATCAACCAGATTCAATCAGACCTGTGTGTTACTCTGTATAAGCTACTTGGGACCAACTTAATCAGAGGAGTCTCACAAACATGATGAAGGTCCACTTACAAGTTAGGTTTGGGAGGTGCAGCTCGATGCTACGAGATGCCGAGCTCTGTCTTGGCTGTGCTTGTCAACATGCCACACAGGTTGTGGAGCCGCAGAAAGCCAGCCTCGCCCCCACTCAGTATCCAGGTGCAGCTCTCCAAGTTGGGATTCACTGATATCTGCAATGCACTTGTTTATTTAGTTTCACCGAGACTGTAATGCTCCTCCGCAGGAATCAAAACATACAGGAGTCACATATTTGTTCTTTGTGCTTATAAATATGACATGGGACTTGAGTAAGTTAGCACCTTGAGTGCTTTCAGCTTAGAGTGAGTGAGTGAGTGTGTGAGTATGGTTTTACACCATTTTCAGCAATATTCCAGCAAAATAATGGCGGGGGACACCAGAATGGGCTTCACACATTGTACCCATGTGGGGAATCGAACATGGGCCTTTGACGTGACGAGCGAACGCTTTAACCACTCGGCTACCCAACCGCCCCCTTTCAGCTAAGAGGTCCCTAACATAATAATTAAACACAGAATGGTTTATCTCCAAGTGTGAACTATTTGAAGATAGCAAAGTGCCGAGTCCTGCGGCTTATGGTTGGGCGAGTGTTTCCCCCAGTGACTGCCAATCCATGTAATATCCACCCTAGGCAGTACTTGTGTCCTACAGACCAAGTCTGGATCAGAAATCCAATAATTGATGTTATGTGCAACAGTCCACCACTTAGGTTGGTTGGTTGGTTGGTTTGTTGTTTTACGCCATACTCAGCAATATTCCAGCTATATGACGGCGGTCTGTATATAATCGAGTCTGGACCAGACAATCCAGTGATTACTATCATGAGCATCGATCCACGCAATTGGGATCGATGACATGCATCAACCAAGTCAGCGAGCCTGACCACCCGATCCCGTTAGTCGCCTTTTACGACAAGCATAGTAGTCACCATTTACGGCAAGTATGGGTTGCTGAAGACCTATTCTACCCCGGAATCTTCACGGGTGCCATCACTTAGGAGTGCTCTGGACAAAAGTCACGGAGTTTGACCATCTAGTCTATGAAGACACCTCTAGGCTGCTGGGGACCTACTCTAACCAAGGCTCCCCTTGGGATCCCCTTCTCATCAAGGCCTTGATGTTTGATTCCAACCATACCACGGACACTTACTCTGTACACAGATTGTAGCGGAGCAGCATCAATGGCGCCAACCGAAATGCTTGGCATCTTATAGCCAGTGTCATCCTTGGAGTTGAGTGCCCGGATGTGACTCATCTAGACAAGAAAGAGAAGGGAAAACAAACTTGGGTTATTTTCAGTGGCTGATGATGCGTGTAATCTTTGAAGTTGAAGAGTTGGGGGTATGAACACCACCCTGAGCAGTATTCCAGTTATATCACGGTGTGTCAGCTTCAGGCTGGAGGAAAGTCTGAAGTGATGCAGGTCTGGGACGATTACCACTTTGGTGAAACCCAAGAGCATGGGTATGGTGCTGACAAACCTAGAAACATAATTGGGGAGAACCGGGCTTTGAACCCACAATCATAGGTTTCTGGTGTGCCCCAGGGATGCAACTCTGCACAGCGAATCGCAGCGCCTTAGACAACTGGGTCACCCGTGCCCCCTGACAAACTTAGAACAATAATCAGGGTGAACCGGGTTTCGAACCCTCGATAACAGGCCCCTGGCTTGCCTTATGGACACAACTCTGTACAGCAAATTCTGGCGCCACAGACGGCCAGGTCAACCTATGAGGCTGGGATTATATAATGAAAAGGTCGAATGTTGAATAATAAAAAGTTTTCTTGGAGACAATTACATGAGAGATATGTTCATAATTTTATATAGAAAACGTTACCTTAATACCTTGTGCTCAGAAGTTGACAAAAGGATATTATACATGAGGTAGAAACCAGGGGTCCGGAAAAATTAAAATCCCAATCGGACATTTGTATTTAGGCCACGCCCCCTTCAAATAGCGTATTTTAGTACGACTTTTCACACACATTACAAGTTGTTACGTATTCATAATATGATGAATTGTGAATTGTTTAAATTTAAATTGTTTAATTCACCGGACAGTTACTAACAAATAATATAGAAACTAGAAAAGACTACTTGTGTAAGCTTGTAAGACCAGCTGGTCAGGACTAAACTTACATGTTCACTGTCGCTGAACTCAATGCAGGGCTGATCTGACTCCTCGGATGGTGACTCGGCTTCAGACTTCTCTTCAGCTGATGGACTTGTGATATGGGTCGTGTACAGAATCTGTCAAGAAAGAAGCTACATCAAAGTAGGCACAAAGAACGTAGCAAAAATAAGGTTCACGACTGGAGTTTTGAGTGTACCGCTATCCAGTGTCAGGTTATAAAGGTATACCAAACGACAGGTATCTCAGTGTGATGCTGTCAATAGATGTTGACACAAGGACAACAACCAGGAACATGACATTTCATCATTCCGAAGGAAAAGAAACCAAAAAGATTCATGAATTTCTTGTTCATATTCCACTCTTCACTGTCTGATTTTCTTGTATTTAACAACAATAATAGATTACATGAACAAACAAACAAAATTAATAAAGTAACATTGTGGTCCCAATATTAATCTACACTGTTGTCTGATATTTTGGCTTGTCTCCAAGTACAGACACATGGTGAGTATGGTTATACACACCTCATGTCCCAACCATATCAAGGCAAGTAGTATAGACGTTGGGGGTACGAAGCCAAGCCACATAAAATTTATCATGATGCGGCAAGACACTCACCTTTGCACAAAAATTATGTGGTACCACAGAAGCATTAAATTTGCTAAATAGTTGCCAAACTGTTTAGCAAAATGTAGCAACTGCTAAGCAAAATGACCACTTACTGTGGTACCACATATTTTCTGTGCAAAGGTTAGCGTCTTGTCGCATCATGATATTATTTAATGTGGAATGGCATCGTACCCCCATCGTCTACACCATACTGCATTCGTGTGGGGAATCATATGCTAGGCTACCCCCACCAACCACCGGGTACAAAGTGTTAACAAGGGTCCAGTGTAGGCTACCCCCACCAACCACCGGGTACAAAGTGTTAACAAGGGTCCAGTGTATTACCCCCACCAACCACCGGGTATAAAGCGTTAACAAGGGTCCAGTGTAGGCTACTTCCACCAACCACCGGGTACAAAGAGTTAACAAGGGTCCAGTGTATTACCCCCACCAACCACCGGGTACAAAGCGTTAACAAGGGTCCAGTGTAGGCTGCTCCCACCAACCACCGGGTACAAAGCGTTAACAAGGGTCCAGTGTAGGCTACCCCCACCAGCCACCGGGTACAAAGCGTTAACAAGGGTCCAGTGTATCACCCCCACCAACCACCGGGTATAAAGCGTTAACAAGGGTCCAGTGTAGGCTGCTCCCACCAACCACCGGGTACAAAGCGTTAACAAGGGTCCAGTGTAGGCTACCCCCACCAGCCACTGGGTACAAAGCGTTAACAAGGGTCCAGTGTATCACCCCCACCAACCACCGGGTATAAAGCGTTAACAAGGGTCCAGTGTAGGCTGCTCCCACCAACCACCGGGTACAAAGCGTTAACAAGGGTCCAGTGTAGGCTACCCCCACCAGCCACCGGGTACAAAGCGTTAACAAGGGTCCAGTGTAGGCTACCCCCACCAGTCACCGGGTACAAAGCGTTAACAAGGGTCCAGTGTAGGCTACCCCCACCAACCACCGGGTACAAAGCGTTAACAAGGGTCCAGTGTAGGCTACCCCATCCAGCCACTGGGTACAAAGTGTTAACAAGGGTCCAGTGTAGGCTGCTCCCACCAACCACCGGGTACAAAGCGTTAACAAGGGTCCAGTGTAGGCTACCCCCACCAGCCACTGGGTACAAAGCGTTAACAAGGGTCCAGTGTATCACCCCCACCAACCACCGGGTATAAAGCGTTAACAAGGGTCCAGTGTAGGCTGCTCCCACCAACCACCGGGTACAAAGCGTTAACAAGGGTCCAGTGTAGGCTACCCCCACCAGCCACCGGGTACAAAGCGTTAACAAGGGTCCAGTGTATCACCCCCACCAACCACCGGGTATAAAGCGTTAACAAGGGTCCAGTGTAGGCTGCTCCCACCAACCACCGGGTACAAAGCGTTAACAAGGGTCCAGTGTAGGCTACCCCCACCAGCCACTGGGTACAAAGCGTTAACAAGGGTCCAGTGTATCACCCCCACCAACCACCGGGTATAAAGCGTTAACAAGGGTCCAGTGTAGGCTGCTCCCACCAACCACCGGGTACAAAGCGTTAACAAGGGTCCAGTGTAGGCTACCCCCACCAGCCACCGGGTAGAAAGCGTTAACAAGGGTCCAGTGTAGGCTACCCCCACCAGTCACCGGGTACAAAGCGTTAACAAGGGTCCAGTGTAGGCTACCCCCACCAACCACCGGGTACAAAGCGTTAACAAGGGTCCAGTGTAGGCTACCCCATCCAGCCACCGGGTACAAAGTGTTAACAAGGGTCCAGTGTAGGCTGCTCCCACCAACCACCGGGTACAAAGCGTTAACAAGGGTCCAGTGTAGGCTACCATCACCAGCCACCGGGTACAAAGGGTTAACAAGGGTCCAGTGTAGGCTACCCCCACCAGCCACCGGGTACAAAGCGTTAACAAGGGTCCAGTGTAGGCTACCCCCACCAGCCACCGGGTACAAAGCGTTAACCAGGGTCCAGTGTAGGCTACCCCCACCAGCCACCGGGTACAAAGCGTAAACAAGGGTCCAGTGTAGGCTACCCCATCCAGCCACTGGGTACAAAGGGTTAACAAGGGTCCAGTGTAGGCTACCCCCACCAACCACCGGGTACAAAGGGTTAACAAGGGTCCAGTGTAGGCTATCCCCACCAACCACCGGGTACAAAGCCTTAACAAGGGTCCAGTGTAGGCTACCCCCACCAGTCACCGGGTACAAAGCGTTAACAAGGGTCCAGTGTAGGCTATCCCCACCAACCACCGGGTACAAAGCGTTAACAAGGGTCCAGTGTATAACCCCCACCAACCACCGGGTACAAAGCGTTAACAAGGGTCCAGTGTAGGCTACCCCCACTAGCCACCGGGTACAAAGCGTTAACAAGGGTCCAGTGTATTACCCCCACCAACCACCGGGTACAAAGCGTTAACAAGGGTCCAGTGTAGGCTACCCCCACCAACCACCGGGTACAAAGGGTTAACAAGGGTCCAGTGTAGGCTACCCCCACCAACCACTGGGTACAAAGGGTTAACAAGGGTCCAGTGTAGGCTATCCCCACCAACCATCGGGTACAAAGCGTTAACAAGGGTCCAGTGTAGGCTACCCCCACCAACCACCGGGTACAAAGCGTTAACAAGGGTCCAGTGTAGGCTACCCCCACCAACCACCGGGTACAAAGCGTTAACAAGGGTCCAGTGTAGGCTACCCCCACCAACCACCGGGTATAAAGCGTTAACAAGGGTCCAGTGTAGGCTACCCCCACCAACCACCGGGTGCAAAGCGTTAACAAGGGTCAAGTGTAGGCTACCCCCACCAGCCACCGGGTACAAAGCGTTAACAAGGGTCCAGTGTAGGCTACCCCCACCTACCACCGGGTACAAAGCGTTAACAAGGGTCCAGTGTAGGCTACCCCCACCAACCACCGGGTACAAAGCGTTAACAAGGGTCCAGTGTAGGCTACCCCCACCTACCACCAGGTACAAAGCGTTAACAAGGGTCCAGTGTAGGCTATCCCCACCAACCATCGGGTACAAAGAGTTAACAAGGGTCCAGTGTATTACCCCCACCAGCCACTGGGTACAAAGCGTTAACAAGGGTCCAGTATAGGCTACCCGCACCAACCACCGGGTATAAAGCGTTAACAAGGGTCCAGTGTAGGCTACCCCATCCAGCCACTGGGTACAAAGCGTTAACAAGGGTCCAGTGTATTACCCCCACCAACCACCGGGTACAAAGCGTTAACAAGGGTCCAGTGTATAACCCCCACCAACCACCGGGTACAAAGCGTTAACAAGGGTCCAGTGTATTACCCCCACCAACCATCGGGTACAAAGCGTTAACAAGGGTCCAGTGTATTACCCCCACCAACCACCGGGTACAAAGCGTTAACAAGGGTCCAGTGTAGGCTATCCCCACCAGCCACTGGGTACAAAGGGTTAACAAGGGTCCAGTGTAGGCTATCCCCACCAACCATCGGGTACAAAGCGTTAACAAGGGTCCAGTGTATTACCCCCACCAACCACCGGGTACAAAGCGTTAACAAGGGTCCAGTGTAGGCTATCCCCACCAGCCACTGGGTACAAAGCGTTAACAAGGGTCCAGTGTATTACCCCCACCAACCACCGGGTACAAAGCGTTAACAAGGGTCCAGTGTAGGCTACCCCATCCAGCCACTGGGTACAAAGCGTTAACAAGGGTCCAGTGTATTACCCCCACCAACCACCGGGTACAAAGCGTTAACAAGGGTCCAGTGTATTACCGCTTTACTTCTGGGGGTTCCCTTGGTGAACTTAGATGACGGAATCCGCAGGTCGACAGTCTTCACAGCCACGACACAGCCGCTACCATCACAGGACAGCAGCACATTGAAGTGGGGTGAGTACGTCACATCCTACAAGGAGAAACAATCGATTAATATCAGGCTTTGTGAAGACAAAAGTGAAACAACAACCAATAACACACAGTTACTATAGTTAAGAGAAAGACAACTATTTCAAATTTACAGCAGTTGTGGAGTTTTAAGGTAAAGGGGGTCAGGGAAGCGGCAATCCAAGCAAGTTTGTTGTTCAAACACCACTTTGTATGTCTGATTACATCATGTATACTACTCAAAACAAGTGAAGAACACTAACATTAGTAGGCTGTGTGTTGGAATACCCACAAGCCATGGCAGATTAACTTTAGTCGTATGAAAAAAGTTGGTGTTGTTTACTTCTTAATCAATAAAGCAAAAAATGATGACTTCAACTACACAGATACACTGCCTCAGTTTTGCTGCTCTGACAATGTTCCAGCTATATCTCGGCATGTCAGCTTAATGTGGAAGAAATTCATACAGACACAGTCGTAGACATTTATTGCTTTAGCAAAACTCACAAGCACAGACAAGGATCATAATCAGGGCAAACATGGGAACATGTGTTCATCTGATCCTGGCATGCCAAGGGACCTAACTCTGTACAGCAAAGTGGCTCTTAGATGAAATTTGCCCACACAGGATTAGCTAATTAGTAATAGTTTTAGTCAAGAGTGTAAGACTGGATTATAACAGATGTACAGGGAAATGGCAATCTTGCTACTGACCCACACCACCGAGTTGTGGACACACAGCGCCTTGTCGAAGAAGCCATGGAGGCCACTGAAGCCAGTTTCCTGGTAATAGGATGTGTTGTGAGCCAAGCTGCAAGAGAGGATCCATACATACACTTATACACATTGCTGCAACAAAGACAAAAATAGCCTCAGTCCACAGCCCATCTCAAGTCAGTGAACTGGTGTCCCTTACCCAATACTTGCCACAAAACACACGTTAAATGTGAATTTAGATACAAAATAATAACTGATATTATACTTTTTTGCGACTTTCATGTCTGAATTTGAAAAGCTAAAAGAGAGGACAATTTATCAGGGACCGAGATGGCAAGATTAACAGGGTATCATTACAGTTCTGATGAATATGGGGCAGTGGGACAGCCTATATGTGAAAGCGTTTTCTCGTCACGTTGAAGGCCCAGATTCGATTCAAGACATGGGTACAATGTGTGAAGCCCATTTCTGGTTTCCTCGCATGATATTGCTGGAATATTAACAAGCAACTCACTCACTCACTCACTCACTCACTCTATTGAATTTAGACACAAAATTATAACAGACATGACACTTCTGAGTAATGCTTGTTTACAAGCTCTTAACTTTCAAGTCCGCATCTGATAATAAGCAGATAGTGAAGACAATATACAAGAAACAGAGACGTCCATACTAACAAGATGTCACTGCAGTTGAACTGATCCAGCTCCTTCTTACTTTATTTGTTTGTTGTTTAACGCCACACTCAGAAATATTCCAGCTATATGACGGCGGTCTGTAAATAATCGAATCTGGACCAGACAATCAGTAGTTGATATCATGAACATCGATCTACGCAATTGGGATCGATGACAAGCATCAACCAAGTCAACGAGCCTGACCACCCGATCCCGTTAGTCGCCTCTTACAAGCATAGTCACCAGTTATGGCAAGCATGTGTAGCTGAAGACCTATTCTACCCCGGATCTTCACGGGTCTCCTACTTACTGGAGGCAGTCGTCCTGCGCAGTGACCACTCCGTTGTACACTCTGCTCGCCCACTTGATACTAGTCAGCATGCCCATGTCGGATGATAACCACTTGTCGTATGGTCGATTGGGATTGTCCATATCCCAGAACATCACCACCTTGTCTCGACCAGCGGTTGAAAAACAGGACGGGACCGTTTCACTCCATGAGCACCCTGTGACGGCTCGGAGGTGAGCAGGGAAGGCACGAGAAGGGAAGATACTCTCCACTGTGTTGTTCAGCACTCTCAGTAGGGGAGAAGTTGTGATGAGGTCATAGACCTGGACACATCCTGGGGAAACACACAGACATAACAAACTTCGCAAATAAACATTTCAAATACAAAAGTAAATCGAATTCTCTGAAAGCTGCAATAATATAGCACCTCTTAAGTTTTTCTGTTAACTTTTAATCAAACTCCATTATATAGAAAGCAACAGTTTGTGTATCTCCGGTCTGGTGCTGCCTACAACTGGCCTACCTTGTGAGTAGCCTGCCAGGATGAACTGACTGCCTCCTGCCTTCTGCCAGTCAACGCACAAACAGCTGCCGGTGTCTGCCACATACAGGAGAAAGTAGGCAACATTTTATGGGAACAGCTACTTCGGTTTGGTAAATCTACGAGTCATTGAATGGGAACAGCTACTTCGGTTTGGTAAATCTACGAGTCATTGTATGGGAACAGCTACTTCGGTTTTGTAAATCTACGAGTCATTGTATGGGAACAGCTACTTCGGTTTTGTAAATCTACGAGTCATTGTATGGGAACAGCTACTTCGGTTTGGTAAATCTACGAGTCATTGTATGGGAACAGCTACTTTGGTTTGGTATATCTACGAGTCATTGTATGGGAACAGCTACTTCGGTTTGGTAAATGTACGAGTTTATAGGATGATGGATTAATTTCCCCTTGTGCATGTTGTGGGTTCTTTGAAATTAAACTTTCCATAATTGTAATAATTCCCTTTGTTTTACATTGCCAAAATTTGATGCTTGGTATCCTGACAAATATAACAATAGTAGAGTCAATACCTGAGTTGGGTCTGCTCGTTAGTGTGAGGCAAGGTTGAGCCTTGTAGACAGGAGGAGTTCTCTCCCTTTGTATCTGTTCTTCTGTAGGGAAGTACACATCACTTGTAGCTGCCAAGAATTGTGGATGCGGAATACTGTGATACAAACAGATGTTGTTTGTGAAATCAAATATTAACAAGAATCATAACTGCTAATTCAATGACATTAATGAGCATTTTTACCAAATTCCTGTTGACAAAATACCATGATCATCAAAACTGGCTTATGTTTGTATTCAAACTACATATCTCATAAATTGTAAAATGAATATTGGAAATGAGATTTGACAGTTATTCTGTCCTTTGAAATTAGCTATCAGTAAACTGTGTACTGATCCTGAAGTTAATACATGTAGTAGAATCAATACCTGAAGATTCTGACGGTTCCATCAGAACAACCCAGCGCCAGTAGGCCCAGCCTGGGGAAATCCTCCTGGAAACAATGGATTATCATGATCACACGCATGTGCAGACAAAGGGATCAGATTTTGTAAAACATGGGAAATAATCATGTCTAATTATTTCAGCTAAACTATTCATCATCGTCCCACACGTCACTGACAAGACTCACTGTCGTATGTTTTTTGTTGTAATGTGGAAGTAATTAACAAATTGTTGAAACTATGAGCAATTTCCTCACTAATGAGTATGATGACACACAATACACCAAGCCACCTTAACCTGACCATACAGTTCAGTTGCTCCACCCCCCTCTAGGGCACACCTGCCACAGACTCTGTACCCCTCACCTGTGCATCTCCCACCCCCCTCTAGGGCACACCTGCCACAGACTCTGTACCCCTCACCTGTGCATCTCCCCCTCCCCCTCCCCCTTTAAGGGCACACCTGCCAGACTCTGTACCCCTCACCTGTGCATCTCCCACCCCCCTCTAGGGCACACCTGCCACTGACTGTACCCCTCACCTGTGCATCTCCCACCCCCCTCTAGGGCACACCTGCCAGACTCTGTACCCCTCACCTGTGCATCTCCCATCCCCCTCTAGGGCACACTTGCCACTGACTCTGTAACCCTCACCTGTATATCTCCCAGCCCCCTCTAGGGCACACCTGCCACAGACTCTGTACCCCTCACCTGTGCATCTCCCACCCCCCTCTAGGGCACACCTGCCACTGACTGTACCCCTCACCTGTGCATCTCCCACCCCCCTCTAGGGCACACCTGCCACAGACTCTGTACCCCTCACCTGTGCATCTCCCACCCCCCTCTAGGGCACACCTGCCACTGACTGTACCCCTCACCTGTGCATCTCCCACCCCCCTCTAGGGCACACCTGCCACAGACTCTGTACCCCTCACCTGTGCATCTCCCACCCCCCTCTAGGGCACACCTGCCACAGACTCTGTACCCCTCACCTGTGCATCTCCCACCCCCCTCTAGGGCACACCTAAACTGACTGTACCCCTCACCTGTGCATCTCCCACCCCCCTCTAGGGCAAACCTGCCAGACTGTACCCCTCACCTGTGTATCTCCCACCCCCCTCTAGGGCAAACCTGCCAGACTCTGTACCCCTCACCTGTGTATCTCCCACCCCCTTCTAGGGCACACCTGCCACAGACTGTATCCCCCACCTGTGCATCTCCCACCCCCCTCTAGGGCACACCTGCCACAGACTCTGTACCCCTCACCTGTGCATCTCCCACCCCCCTCTAGGGCACACCTGCCACAGACTCTGTACCCCTCACCTGTGTATCTCCCACCCCCCTCTAGGGCACACCTGCCACAGACTGTACCCCTCACCTGTGCATCTCCCACCCCCCTCTAGGGCAAACCTGCCAGACTGTACCCCTCACCTGTGTATCTCCCACCCCCCTCTAGGGCAAACCTGCCAGACTCTGTACCCCTCACCTGTGTATCTCCCACCCCCTTCTAGGGCACACCTGCCACAGACTGTATCCCCCACCTGTGCATCTCCCACCCCCCTCTAGGGCAAACCTGCCAGACTGTACCCCTCACCTGTGTATCTCCCACCCCCCTCTAGGGCAAACCTGCCAGACTCTGTACCCCTCACCTGTGTATCTCCCACCCCCCTCTAGGGCACACCTGCCACAGACTGTATCCCCCACCTGTGCATCTCCAATCCCCTCCAGGGCACACCTGCCACAGACTCTGTACCCTTCACCTGTGTACTACCCTGCATTATTTTGTTTGTTTGTTGTTTATCACAACACTCACCAATATTCAAGCTTTGTGACGATGGTTTGTTAATAATCGAGTCCGGACAAGATAATGCAGTGATTGACATCATGAGCATCAATCCCCACAAGTGGCATACGATGACATGCATCAACCAAGTCAGTGAGCCTGACCACCCAATCCCGCTAGTTGCCCCTTACAACAAGCATTGTCACCTTTTACGGCAAGCATGGGTTGCTGAAGACCCAATCTGACCTGGATCTTTACGGGCCCTGCATTGCGTACCCCTCACCTTTGTATTGTCCAGCGTGACGACGGGTTCCTCCCAAACCCCTTTAGGACACCAGCACACCTGCCACACACTCCCGTAGTCATGGCCAATACTGAATGCAAGTTTGGGATCGGGAGTGGAACTGCTGGAATACAGATACAAAGGAAACTACAGTTCTGCCCTTTGTCAGGAGAAGGGAGTCAGATGAGTGAGTTCACTTGACTTAATGATGCTTTGAACTTAATGTTGTTCATATAGTATAAGATTGCTTGTTTGCTTGTTGTTTACATGATATAATATTGCTTGTTTTTTTGTTGTTTAACACCTCACTCAGCAAAATTCCAGCTATATGACGACAGCCTGTAAATAACTAAGAATTTGCCTGAAGACGTTCATAGTTTGGTAAAATCCACAGAAATTGTGTTGACAAAGTACGGATCTTAAACAGGGCAAACCCAAGACCAGCAGATCCTATCAGCGAATTGCAACATTTCAGGCCATCATCAATCTGTGTCCCCATGTGCCATACAGTCAATACTTCCCATCAAGCCAAACTCACTTGTTGCAGGTTAACTCTCCGAAGTCCCAGATTTGTACAACTGCGGGTTCACTGAACGTCTTATTTGTTGCGTGATCCGATGTTAAGTTACAAGACACTGCTGCAATTTGATTGGCTGTTTTCTTGAATGGTACAGGGCACCAGGCCAGGCCCCACACGGAGTACCCTGTGTAGCAGGTTGAATGACCTGCAAAGGGAACAACAGGCCACGTCAAACTTGAAATGATTCTTATCGCGGAATTTCTGTGTTCGATCGTAGCACCATCAGTGGCTATTACGAGTTATCTCCCTTCTATGTACCTCCTATTGACCAATCAGATTCCACCTCTCATATCACTTGCATTTGCCTCAAACAAAATCTGATCTGATTGATATCCAGATCTATATTGTAATAAAACGGGTCTTACTTCATGTAAAAGATCTATATTGTAATAAAACGGGTCTTACTTAACATAAAATCATGTGAAAAAACATGAAGAGATTTGGAAAAATATCAGCTGACTGTACACATGCTATGCAAATCCTGCACTCGACCAAAGACTGCACGGCAGTTTACATACTGGATGTTGATTTTTTTATGTGATTTTGATTGGACTATGCATAGACTTTTTAGTCAAGCCAAAATATAACTCAATAAATACAGCCTGGTTCGGCAAGGGGCGAAACTGGACTTTAATAGCCAGTTAACTCTCTTGCCTTGAGAAGATGCTCTAAGTGATGCCCTGCACAGTGTACCCAGTGCACAACAGGCACAGGCCACTCCAGGCTCCAAGCAACAGTCTAAATTAAAATGATCACATAATTTTCCACGTGGAAATTCACTAATCGAAAGTCACAACAGGGTAAAAACCAACACCCAATTATTCCAACTTATATTCCTGGTCGCTGTTGCACAAAACAACCATAGCACTACGACTGTCTTAAGTCTATGTCAAGGTATGAGAGTTACGATCACCTTAGCACTAACATTGCACAAAACAACCATAGCACTACGACTGTCTTAAGTCTATGTCAAGGTATGAGAGTTACGATCACCTTAGCACTAACATTGCTTTGTACGATGGCACCCTGGGCCTCGTTCTACAAAGCGAAACTAGTGTTAACGTGATCGTAACTCCCATACCTTAACATACTTTCACAATAGTCATGGCTTTAAGATTGCAGGTACAGGAACCTGTAGGGTACATCCAACATGACTAAATCGTGGTCCAATTTGGAGAACACTTGTCATGCCATCATGGATATATACATGTACATGCTCCCAGTGGTGCACACTATGTTGCTTGTGGAGAAACGAAGCGTATACAAGACTGTGAGGCATTGATGATGTGGTTCCAGAAGAGCTGTTGACATCTGACAACTATTACCTGTGGATGTGATGCATTCGGAGATTCTCAGTTGTTTGGCATCGTTTTTATCATTGCCACGTTTCACAACAAATGGATGACTATTCCTATCCGTCATGTAACTTCCGGCTTCCCTGAAAAGAACATATTCATGAAATGCTTCCATTTTTAAATCACAAATACTTGTGTTAACTTCCCGTCATTCCATTACATCAAAGTTCTGTCAGCACTATTCTTCTTATGCAATAGTCTACATGTCGGTACACATATGTGCACTTCAGTGCAGTTTCGGAGGGCATGGATGGCCAAGTCCCATAAGGCGATGCAATTTGCTGTGCAGAGTTGCATCCCTTAGATGTGCCAGAAACCTAGTATCATGGGTTCATTTTTGTTTGTTTGCTTTTTAATGACACACTCGGCAACATTCCAGCTAATACAAATAATCAATTAAAAATATTTTAAATAATCAAATCTGGACCAGACCATCCAGTTATTGATATTAAAAGCAACAATCCACATCGTTTGGGTACAATGGCATGCAATCAACAAAGTCACCGAGTCTTGACAACCCGGTCCATTCAATCGTCTGTTATGACAAGCCTAAGTTGTTTGGGACCTATTCTAAAATAAAATCTTGACCTTGACATTATATGACAATGGAACGGTACATTTCTTCCACAAATAAGATAACTGACAGATTTGAGAAATTGCACTAAATGTTGTTAAACACCACAGTCAGCAATACTGCAGCCATATCACTGCAGCTTAAAAATAATTGAGTCTGGACCAGACAAATAACAGTTGATGTCATGAGCAATGCCTGACACATGCTCAGTACGAGGACAATGAAACAACCAAGTCATCGAGCCTGACCACCTGATCCAATATATGCTTCCCTGACAAGTCTGGCCCAGAGAGCCAATCCACAAAGCCCTCTAAGCGCTAAGGTGATTGTAACACTGGCTTACAACAGTTGCAGCACTAAATTCGCTTCGTGGTTCGCGCACAGACAAACATTGACTTTGAGCATCAGCAACAATGTATCCGATCAGGTAACAGTGAGACACAATAACAACATGACCACCCAATCCACAATTTACTATTTTAGTCGGCTCTTATGACAGGCATGGGGGACTATCCTGACCTTGACTACCCACAGGGACTCAGATGGGAGACCCACCATAGGCATTAGTCTATACCATATTTCCTTGATTAAACGCCCTGGCGCATATTTACTTCAGACACTCTTTACCTCGGGCATTTAATCACAAAGATATTAATGGGGAGAATTCTGTGCATAAAAACTACCCAGCATTAAAACGAGGCCTGGGGTTTAATTGAGGAAATATGGTACACCTGTGCTGCAGGATGCACCCCTGGGCTATTCCATTGTACACCTACTCTGTCGGCAACTCCTTCCAGTTGTTGTTTCTGGGTATCAACTTTGGGAAGAGGACATTGTTGTCTTCTTGTTCCTTGGCTGCCAGTATTTCAAGGAAGAAGTCCGGATGATCACTGAAGTAAGGACTGTTTGTTGTATAGCTTCTGTAGGATTTCTTCATTTTCACTGAAATGATAAGACAAAAAATCAATTCACCAAATGACAGAAAATATTTTCTCTGTTCTCAGCACAAGTGAAGTGGGCAGAAACATATATATTGAATAAAAGAGTTTGGGATCATGAATATTTAGGGGGATATACAAATGAAACTGTGTCCTCACTACAAAAAGATATCTCCAAATATACTCATGATGCCTTACTTCTTGTTCAGTACAGCATCCTAGAACAACATGCAGGTCATGATGTCTGTGTTGTGTGTATCAGTGCATCAATGGTTGATAGCAATGATCAACACAATCAGCCACATCTCACATTACAACCTACTGTTCCACAGTTAGTTTGCTCATATAGTGAGTTTGATTTAATGCCCGAAGGGATGTGGGTCTCAGACATTTACAACTTTGGTGAAACCCACGAGCATGGGTATGGCGCTGACAAACCTAGAAACATAATTGGGGTGAACTGGCATTTAAACCCGTGATCAAAAGTTTCTGGCATGACCAAGGGACGCAAGTCTGCACAGCGAATTGCGGTGCCTCGGACTTGGCCACCCGTCCCCTTGCTCATATAGACATGAGGTACTGGAGACACTGGAGAAAACTTTAATGGTAATGGTTGAATGTAGACAAAACTACATTAACATAAAATGAACAAATATTGACTGCAACCAGCTCACCTTTATCCTTGGTTGTAACACCCTCATTATCCTCAATTTCATGATCAGCGTCATCATCATCTTCTTCTTCTTCTTCGTCACCGCTGCCTTGAAAGTCTCTGTCAACATCGCTGTCTTCTGCTCCACTGTAGTCATCTTCTGAGTCCCCCTTCCTCCGACCAGACCGAGATGTCTTCTTCTCGTCTGCCCCGATCTCAGCCAAGGTCTGCATGGCCCTGTGAATGAAGGTAGGTGGGCTTCAGCAATACTCAAAATACATCACAGTTGGCACTGATCCATCAACATGATCAAGTTGTCATCTCAACAAACTGTGGCCACTTAAGAAGCCCATACCAATGGCCAGAGGAATTGACAACCCAAGGGGGTCAGTTGCCCAAACCAATCTCTTTCAGTCTTTTCTCAACACCTTCACAGGGTTCACTCAAGGAATTTTTTTACATGGGCCCTTTATGTGAAAATTTCAAATATTCCAGAGGTACACCCATACAGAACAAAGTTAAAATGCCCCATAGTATTTGAAAATGTGGGCCTTTATTTCAAATTTAGGGCTAAAAGCACAAGGCCCCACCCTAGAATTATCCCTGCCTTCAAATGATGACATTTATCAACGCAAAGTAGAAAAACATTAAACTGAAATCACCAGCTTGAACCCACTTTTTGGCTGATTTTCTTTTCTTCTTCCCCAGCTTGTTGAGATCTTCACCCCCTTCTTCTTTTTCTTTTTGGTCCTTCTCTTCCTGCACCTTGAACTTCTCCTCATCATTGTCCCTCTTCTTGTGATACACCAGGTGGGCGTGGTACCACATGGACTTCTGGGACCGGCCACACACCTCGCACACCGTGCGCTCCTCCTGGGACAACACCGCTAACATCATGCACTGACTATATATACTGACACACTTTGAAAACACATGATCAACTTTTTGTTATATCTGGCACAATGGCCACAAAATTAAATCAGATTGTTCTGGGTATTTTGGCATGAGATAATCAAACACAATGCCACTGTAGATATTTCATAGTGTTTGAGTATATATCTTCGCTTTTGAACCTATTTCAGTTTAGCCTGTAACTTTGTGTTATGTAAAGGCACACTTTATCATGTTTCTCTTTTCTGTTTATTCAACTGGTAAATACTACATTTATCATCCAAAATTAAATATCGCTACAATGAAATTGCAGCACAATGCTCTTCAGATAATTGTGACATCACAATCAAATAAATCACTTAACGTATGTCTCTGCTCTTAAACACACTGATCATGCTGGGTAATAATGTTTACAAACAAAAAAGGTTGAAAGAATGATTTGGGACGATAAATAGAATCTCAAATCGGTGCCTTTTGATATGAAATATATCAACACTTGTCCATAAAAGTTCAAAACTCCTAAAAAGCCTCATAGCTTTAACATTTTATTGATGGGTCTTTATTTATTTCATATCAAAAGACACTCAAGTGAGTTTTTTCTTTAAAATATATATATAAACATATAAGTTGAAAATATTTCAGCATAGTTTTATGTGTCTGATAAACAAATACCATATTTGACGTAATAAGCGCCCCGCTCTAATAAGCGCCCACGGCGATATTTGCTAATATATTGGCTAGTGAACAATCCCAGTTAGCACTCCTTCCGATTGATCAATGTACACAAGACTTATTTATTCACGTTTAATACGCACTCGTGTGTTATATGCATTCTTAATCATGGGCAATTAAATTCTGAAAAAATGTATCTGTCACATAAAATCATTTCAGTGTGTCAGCATAAATCACGAAATTTATGTTTCAACTCTCTTTTTTCCACCAAAATAATATTCTAATAAGAGCCCCCTATTTCTAATTCTGAGAGGGCCCTGGGCACCTATTACGACGAATACGCTACATTTAAAAAGTAAAGGCTGGCCGTATCACCTCCCGGCCACACCACTGGATGTGGTGGACGTAGTAGTGGTAGTGCCGCAGCTCCTTCCTACACTTCTGACACACCAGCTTCCCCTGGGCCTTCATGATCCTCTTCAGCGCCGCGATGTCCGTCTTTCCTTCAGGGCAATCCTTGGCCCACTGAAGTGGATACAATATGTATAAGACTGGGAAATATTTCCTTCCCATGCAAAGCCTATATCAGTCAAAAATTTGTTTGCTGTTTGGCACCACACTCATCAATACTCCAGCTATGTGACGTCGGTTTGAAATAATCGAGGCTGGACCAGAAAATTTTGTGATTGAGATCATGAGCATCAATCTACACAATTGGGATACAATGACATGCATCAACCAAGTCAGCTAACTTAACCACCTGATCCCATTAGTCACCTCTTACAACAACCATAGTCGCCTTTTATGGCAACCATGGGTTGCTGAAGACCTATTCTAACTTCACAGGTTGTTCAAAAGTAATTACCATGATTACCTGAGCTGCTTGGAATAAAATTCAGCAACACTTTTCATTATTTCTCAGTCAAACAAACCTGATTTTTTAAAATATTAACAAAAACAATCTTGAAAGCAGTGAATGTAATATTTCAAAAGAAAAGTAAAGAACTTTTCTGGTAACTAATCAACACCATTAATATGTTATGCTAAACAATTAATAAATTATTCTTACATTTCAAAACTTTTTTCTCTTGCTGACCATGCTGACAGCTTTTATTTATAATAATATTTGGGGCTTGCATTCTGTATATTAAAGGTCATCATCAAAATTATGAATATGATGACTGTCAATAGAAATCAACTATAACATAGATATATACTGCAAGTAGTAAAAGTTTAACATCTTTAAAAGTGTTAAACTAACAAACTTTTACATCATCATGATCATTGTACATATTCAAGTTAACACATATTGCCCTATATCATGTATATTAGCTGAGGTGAGACTAGTTTAATCAAACAGATAAAAATACATAGAAAACATTTTTCTTAAAATTGATCTTAGATTAAATTTAAGCATGTTAAGACCCTACCAGTGCCTGGTGTTCTGTCATGAGGTGGAACTTGAGTCCTGCCAGAGTTATAAGATCCTTGTCGCATCTCGTACACAAAGTGGATGCCTGCTGACAAACACATCATATTCACATTATCATAAACATGATTAAATCAGGAACAATCCATTGTCATAATAATTCCATATTTCAGTTTTCATCAACAAACCAAGGGGCTGCATAAGCACAGATGGCCCAGTGGCCTGAGGCACCACAATTTACTGTGCACAGTTGTGTCCCCTAGTTGCACCAGGATGTGCTTATTGTGAATTCAAGGTGATTGTTACAGTAACCATGATAACTGGGTAAATAATGCATGGACATTATTTAAACACTGTTCAAATACTCCTGAGCATATTCACTCAACCCACTCACCATGTTCACCCCAAATGTGGCTTGTTCATAACATAAATCCATATCTGTAATTTTGTAATGTGATTATCATAGTTACACAGACCTCAACAGAAAGTATTGCCAGAAACTTGTTGATTTCTTCAGACACAAGATATACTAAGAGAGACAATTCAGCTGTTTTCCCAACAAAGATGAGTTTAAACAAGATGATCTGGCTTACCACAATTTCTGGAGATTTTATTTGAATGGTAGGTGTTTTCCTTGGTCTGCCTCTTTTAGCCACAGGGGTATATTCCAGTTCACAAGATTCATCCAAACTTCTCTTCTTCCCTCTGCCCTTGGGTTTGCGTCCCACGGTCGAAACCTCGCTTGTACTGTCCTCATCACTTACATTAACCTTTCTTCTTTTAGTTTTCTTTTTCTTACTGTCCTCCTCCTCCTCCTCCTCCTCCTCATCACTACCATTACTGTCACTTGCAATGTCTGAACCTAACTCAATGTCATCACAATATTTCTTCGCTTTTCTTTTCCTTGAGCTTGTTCTGAAGGATATACTACTGTCCCCATCCACAGAGGTGCTATGTCGAGAAGAATTATTTTCATCATCACCTTTCTCTCTCCGATAAGCACCTCTACCTCTACCTCTTCCTCTACTGCCCCTTGGCCGACCTCGGCCCCGACCTCGACCTCGACTTGGTAATGGAGTTGATGTGGGCAACGTTGTTGCATCAAATGATTCATCCAATGAATCTTCTTCCTTTTCCTTGTCAACAATTCCTTTTAATTTTCCTCTTGAAGTATTCACAGTATTTGAATCATTTACACTGGTATCCTGCACTTCAACAGAGTTGTCTCCCTTTGTTTTAGATTGTTTTTTAGTTTCTTTGCCTTTTCGTTTCTTTAACTTTGGTGTCACGTCCTCTCTGTCATGGTTGTTCTTGTCATTCAAAGACTCATCTTTTGATTGTTGTTCCTTGGATTTATTCTTCACCGACTCCTCACCAGCACCATCATCAAAGTCACTGATATATGCAGGCTTCGGACTACCTGACAGTTCTGTTTTTTTAACACTGGGATTGCTTTTGTCTTTTCCAGCTGAGTTACTTCCATCTTTCTTCACACTCTTCTTCTTATTATTAGAATCCTCGCTCTTTTCCTGGTCTTCCAGTCTGACATTGGGCATACGTGTTCTCTTGGAAGAGCGTATTTTGGGGAGCTGCTTTTCTTCATCCTCTTTTGCTTTCAGTTTTTTCTTGTCTGAAAGAGCGAGAGAGGAAAGAAGGTCCTCCTTTGAAGGACCGCCATCTCTTTGTGGTGAATCAGCCTCATTTTCATCTGGAGCCTCACTCTCAATCAATTCTTCATCCTTTTCAGCTGCAGGACTTTTAATTGGTGATATGGAAACTTCAGCACTTCTCCTGGGCTTTGGTCCACTACCCTTGGAGGAGGTTTGTTTCCCCTTTTTAGCTTTTTCAAAAGAATCTGAAAGTAAATTTTACAGAAAAATATAAAATCACTAAAAACAACTTCAAATCATATGTACACACACAATATACAGGGATGTGAATGGATATTTTCCTTTTCAGCTGAAACATCTTTGCAAAGGAGCATGGTCCATAATCTGGGGGGGTTAAGGGGGAAGCCATCAGATTTTAACAAATTTGTGGTCACTAAAATCGCAGAAATTCTCGGAAGATTCTCATCCCTGGATGTGGCAAGTATGGGTGGCTCCACATCATCATGATCATGTTCATAATAATTATCATGTTACAGCCTGTTTCATCTGTTTTAGCAATATATCACAAGTCGAGACAAAATGATACAGTCTGAGACTTCAGCCACAAGTCCGAAGCCCAAACATGATAACATTCAGGTCGTATGCTCAAGTAATAATAGGCCATATTTTAACATCTAACAGTCTACACAAAATGATGCCAATAGACAATTTCTGTCCAGTAGACTGTGAGGATATTGGCATAGACTGTACAGTGCTCATTCCCAGATTGGTATGACTGATACGAATTTACCTTCATTTATTTCTGCTGATGTGTCCTTTTTATTCTTCCCTGATCTCGGGGTCCTTCGAACCATTGTGATGCTTCTATAGGAACATGTTCACTGCACTCAATCACTCGTCTTGTGTTGAAACTATAATATGAGAACTACATTTCAACAACTATGTACCAAAAGGTGCCTTTGTATCTAATTTCCAATCCAAGTACAAAGAAAACACAAATAACAGTGCTTCTGTTTGTAACCATATGATTGGTTCATATACCCTACTTTCAAATAGGTATACAACATTAGGCATGTCACGATATGACTATCTCCCGACACGATATGTATCGTGATACATAATTTATGGCAATTTGGAATAAATTTGTTATATTTCATAAGGCATAAATACCAGTAAAAAGGTTTAAAAATTCCTGAATATCTCATCTCATATTTGAAACAACAATGTCTCATTTCAATCAATAATTTATTTCAGATAAAAATGGAGTGGCAACATAAGTATTTTCTATCATTAAATACAATAGCAAATTCCCTGTTTGCAAAACACTTCAGACATGCACCTGATATCAAATAACTTAAATATGAATCAATATAGGTCAATGTGTGAAATGATAGGGGATTAAAATATTAATCGAAACAGGTAAGTGTGTATCGTTTATTGTTACATTTGAGGATGTTATTGATGTATCAATGTATCGGTGAATCGTGACATCCCCATACAACATTATTCCTGCAAATTGTCAACAGAATTGTAGCTACCTTATTTTTTTTATTTATCCTTTTTCAATTAATATATACCCAAATGAATACTATGAATGTAGATAGCCTGTAAACAGGATAAATATGATAACCATCACCAACTACATTTTCATTGTCATAATTCTATCTAAAAATGTACTGTCACCAGAGGGAAACTGTTAATAAAGTAACTCCAAACATTGCCAAATATTGACATTAGTTTATGTCATAATGGTTTCACTCATTAAACAAAATAATTTGTTCCAAACATGAGAAACTATACATAAAGAGAGAAAACATATTTGTAGGCATTACCAACATGCTTCAATTTATTACTTCACGTTACATGTAGCAACCTTCTCATCAATTCTGTTCAAGTCAGTTTCAATATATTTGCATAATATAAATTTCTCAAGTAACCTATGACCTCAATGAATCTATTTTGTTGGAAAATGTATATACATATGTACAAATTATATTTTCGATATTCACACAGATGTACAAATTAGTTTGGGTGACATGCCTTGAATGAAATATATTCAAATACTGCCAAAACATACAAAGATACCCTTAGGTAACAATTTGTTTATAGTACAAATTATCAGGCTTATCAATTTTAGTGCCATTGTTTATTATGTTGAATGAAAAGTATTATTTATTACATGATTATGTCACTGTTGGTAGAACAATATCCTATTTATACAAATTATTTGACATAGGTAATTCTAAAACATTTAACTTTGAAGTTATTATCACAAAATAATTTAAAAGATTTAACAGTAAAAGCATTTAAAAAAATTATATTTCTTATCTAATAAAATAAGTGAACATAAACATTCATCTAGATCTATCATGACATCATAATAACTTATTACGAAATAAAACTCTTGCAGAAATATACATACCATTTGGAAAATAAATTGTTTCACTATTTTCAAACAGCATGTTTACATTTTTGGTGGTAAGAAAAATTTAAATTCGCCAAAATGTCAAAAATTTAGTACAAAGCTAGAGATCCTGATATGATGTCTTCGATGAGGGCATATATTTTGCTAACAACACGCCATAGACTGTGACTGTCAAGTTAGAAGACAAATAAAGGGTACACTCAACAAGTAAAAGTTAAAGTCGATGTGTAAAATAGCATACTTCTCGGGATTCGAACCAAGAACCCACAGACTTCGCCAAATACACAAAACCCTCCAAAACTGTCTCGCAGGTGCGAGAAAATCACGCGGGTTTAGCGAGAACTAACAATATACTATTTCCCTCAAACTGGTTCGAATAGTTTAACATATCAAATAGACTCCATGTGGACGCAGTTACGGCAGTTGGGGGAAGCGCTCCAGATGACTCGGTTGACGTCATGAATAAAATGTGTCACAATGTTAAAAAATAGAGTTTTATACTTTCATCTTAGATAAGTTTAGGTTGAATTGCATTGCGCTTTGATATAATTTTCTTGATGGTTTACATGTATAAAGAAAATATACAATACTATTCAGTAATATTGAATATTGAGGCTCAGCATATTGACTGCATAGCTCTACCCCAACTGCCAACAATTTCGTTCCATAAAATCATCATAATTTTATAAACGTATGTATCAAGTGTGGTTGATGTTTTTGGTCGACAGTTTACGAACGGTATCGTCAGGAATACATAGATATGTCAGTTGGATAGCACAACTAATTTAGCGTGATATTATTTTCAACGAAATTTATATGGTAAAATGTACATTTTTCGAGTAATAATACTACTAAACATCAAAGGTCATGGACACGCGAGAAACCTATGATTGTGTGTTCGAATCCTGGTTCACCCTGATTCTGTTTTTAGGTTTGTCAGCACCAAATCTATGCTCGTGGGTTTCACCGAAGTGGTCAATGTCTGCGACCTGCATCACTTCGGGCTTTCCTCCAACATCAAGCTGACCCTCCGTGATATAACTGGAATACTCACTCTTTCAATTACTTGTTTTACGAATATTTTTTTAATTTTCAGACGGTAGTGTAAATGAACATATTCTTTGGATATTTTTGTGTTTGTAAAATTAAGGTCTATAGGATTAACTTAAAATGGAAATAAAAACAAAGTTTTTCCTAGAATGTGTCTACTGTCTCTTCACAAGGGGCGGTCGGGTAGCCTAACGGTTAAAGCCGAAGATCCGGGTTCGATTCCCGACATGGGTACAATGTTTGAATCCTATTTCTGGTGTCCCCCGTCGTGATATTGCTGGAATATTGCTAAAAGCGGCGTAAAACCATACTCACTCATTCTGGAGCTCAATAGTCTTAACATGTACATAGTTATTGCTTACTTAAATTTACATTTTGATGTAATTATATTAAAATTTTTATGGTTGAGTACAGAAAGTGAGAGGATGTGAGTGGGGAATGAGTGTCAAAAAGAAAGAATGTGATTTTCTAATATCCAAACCTCTCACATCAACTTTACTATTAGTGTCAACGTGCATAACAAAAGCTTCTGAAACTCATTAAATAACCTTGCTCGTGTCTTCTTAAATTGTTTGTGTACCTTTTCTTACTTGACCCATGCGCTACCCTGGGTGTCAGGCCTATCTGTAACAGGGACGCAGAAATAAAATATCGTTAAAAAAAATAACGTTTCTTGGAGACAAATGCAAACTTCCTTTCCGTATTATTCCACTTTTTTAATGTAACTGAAATATTGTTCATTGGTACTTCCACTGAAAATATTACACCAATTTCTGAATACGGACTATATGCGAGTCCTGAAAACACTACACGCTTACCGTTTATTGAGTCAATGTTGATTTAAGAACGGGTAAAGCAAATACATCTTTTACAAATAAAGTAAATAATGACCAGAACGCGACTGTTATTTAGCAAATACAATAATGCATGTCTTAACACCGATAGGTACATGCACTATTGTAGTAGCTTCCCGACTATTTGTTGGAAAATTTACGGAAATAAACTGAAATGCACTGAATTAAGCATAAGGTGATGATATTGTGTTTTTTTTACAGAAGTACATTTTGAACTATTTATTTACTATACACATTACATCTTTGTTTTGGATCTAAATTAAAAAAAAATCATTTCTTTACAAGTCCAATTAGTGGGGTGGGGCATGAAAATCCCTCCAGTAAATGATTAATTTCACTTGATGATACGACAACGGAAACTTCTAAATTATATTTAACGTTTCTCATAGCTTATGAAACATTCGGACATATGAATCACGATGACGATTAGAATATATGCGTCAATGACATACAAAGTGACACCTTTTCTCAAATATTTTTTGTTACCAAGAAAATAAATACCCTAATATATAAATGTTCAAACGTTATTAAAAGTTTACAGCACATTTATTTTCCCTGTCGTTTGTGCAAGTGTACGGGAAATTTAACGCTCTTTCCAGTTTGTTATACCAAAGACGTATATAGATATGCGTCCGTGGTTATACATGTTTATATTCTTTTTTCGCGTTCCACATTTGAAGGTCACTAATAAGTGTGTTTAGGAAAATAGTTTACCAATCTGTTGGGTTTATTTTACTATTCACAGGAATTTGGTATAATAAATAATCTTTTGTATTGATCATAAATCTTAAAAAGACGAACATGTGATTGGGGCTAAATGTGAAGCAGTAAACTCGATTCTTGACGCTCTAATTACATCTTAAATGGAGTCCACAAAATTGTAACTTCTTATTTGGATATAACCAAGGGCGGGTAACTCTAATTTACCTTCTCTTGATCGGTTTTGTCTTCCATTTGAGTGTATTTGTTCTAAGTCAGTTACTGCTACACTCTGAGTATTTTTACGCTATTGGTATCAACAAATGGACCTTGGATCACTACAAAGAATATCGAGATCTTGATTTGAAAGTACGTACTGAAATATATTTCCCGCATTTCGTCAAAATCTTGAATCGGCATCACCACAATCACAAATATTATCAACTGACATATACCATGGCAAATGGCCAAATTAATTGTTGTTATCATAGATATACACCGATTGGAGTATGGGATATATTCCGATTGAGGAATTGGTTGGCGGTCTGTTCCCAGATCTGCCGTTATATTTACAATGTCAAAGTTTAGCCATAAGATCAATGTAAAATAAATACAGAGACTAACACTTGGGTGTTTGTTATTGTTGATATGTTTTCAAAAGAAACAATTGTTCAGATTCTTGTAATCACCAACCTTTAACTTCTAACTAAGTCTCCATAACTGACAAATGTAGTTCTATTTTGTATCCACATACTACGTAATATGATGAAAGATATGGTGTAGTTTTCAATCTGATATTTCTTGGGTCAGTTTTGACGGGTGCAGGCTAAAACAGCACCCCAGCAAAACGTCACCGATTTCTCTGGCGAAAACAGCACCGCATTTGGCGAAAACGGCTACTATGTGTCGGGCGAAAATGGCACCTCTATTTTTAATAAGGATAAGAACGATTTTTGTAGTAATATATATGGTTTATTTACATGGTCACAGTTATCACAGCATGTTGTTGTCTCTGACATTCTTCTCTCATGCAACACATCAAAAGGCCATTGTGAATAATTGTGATCTGAGCCACAGTTTCAGTTTAAATTGAGTTAAGGTGCTTAAAACTTGAAAGCGTATAGTGTTTTCACATTAAGTTAACGGCGCCTCCAATCAGTCGGCGAGTAAATTGGAGTAGGGGTCTAATTAGCACTAATAGCACTTATTTGACCAAGGTAAAAAAAATAATGAGGTGCCGTTTTCGCCAGGCAATAGTAGCCGTTTTCGCTTGAGTCGAGGTGCTGTTTTCGCCAATCAGTGCCGTTTTCGCCCGGTGACGTTTTGTTGAGGTGCCGTGTTCGCTATAACCCGTTTTGACTGACCATGCTAATAGTGGTCTGTTTTGAAGAAATTGGCTGGTCTGCTATACTGCTATTCGTTTAGTTATATATCTTTATTTAAATGAAAGTGGTGCAGTGTTCTTTGCAATGTTTACCACTCACACATTTGTGTTCATTTTATGATCTGATGATGGTTCCAAAGAAGGGGGAACATAATTTATGTAATAACACAGTTTCTGTAAAATGTGTAGAAATATGATAATGTATTGATAATTTATGAGTGTACAATAGTAGTTATCATCATCATCATCATCATCATCATCATCATCATCATCATCGGTAATTAGGACTACATGGTATAAAAGTATTACCGATATACTGCAATGCTTTTCAAACGATTCAAATGATACGTATTGTAATAGTTTTTTGTGTTCCGGTGTATTGGGTAAAAGAATTATGACAAGTTTCGGTATTATTTGTATCGTTTTGCCTAAAATCTACATAGAAATTCACTCAAAAATGATGTTTCCCTTAAAAATTGATTGATAAAATTATTATCCATGACAACAACATGGCAGCAACTGACCTTGCTGAGTAATATCTACTTTAGTATGTAGAAAATAGGATCATCATCTTCTGCATGTATAAACATGCTTTTACCTCTCAATATATCGCATCACAGATACCTGTATCACAATATATTACAGTAAAAAAACTTTTGCGAAAACCCAGCCCAATTAATAATCATCACAATTGTCATATTTTTGCCAATATTTTCAGACAATCCGTTGGGTACTACATCTTTGTGAATGATGGCTGGCCCAAGTCAACATTACCCTCTGACAGCCCAGATGTCAGCTCCGGCGTCCTATCAGGCGTATCAACCACCACCACCGCCGCAGATGTCACCGCAGCAACAACAGATGATGGTTCAACCCAAAGAGATAAATGCTGCTTTGTTTTGTAGAGCTGGGCAGGAAGCTGTCCACGACCTTGTTTCCAAAGCAACAGAATTATTTCAGCAGATGTATCGGTTACAAGTAGGTGAAACCTGAAATATTCCTCTGGTTGATGTCTATACCCCTGATTATTGCAAAAACATTACTAATACATATTTTGCAGATTTATTCCCCATCCAAAATGTTTGCCTTGTGCCCATGTAGCATTCTGTTTGCATACCATATTTACAGGGTGGGCACGGGTGGACCAGTCGTCTAAGGCACCACAATTCTATGTGTAGACTTGCATCACTTGGGCATGCCTGAAACCTATGATTGTGGGTTCCAATCCATGGTTGCCCCGATTATGTTTCTAGGTTTGTCAGCACCATACCCGTGCTCGTGGGTTTCACCGAAGTGGTAAACGTCTGAGACCTGCATCACTTAGTGCTTTCCTCCCACATTAAGCTGACACGCCGTGATATAACTGAAATACTGTTAAAAGCGGCGTTAAACCCAACTCACTCACTCACTCACTATGTTTTGTCAGCACCATACCTGTGCTCCTCTGAGATCTGCATCACCTCTGGCTTTCCTCCCACATCAAGCTGAGATGTTGTGATATAACTGGAATACTGTTAAAAGCGACATGAAATCCAACTCACTGTCTCACATTCACAGAAAAGTGTTATGTTTTTCAAAGCAGTATTGCAGCTTTTTTCAAGATTGAGAATCTCAAATGTAATGAATGAACACTATATCAACCAAAAAAGTGTTATTTAGAAAAAAGAGAAAGAGAAAGATTGACAACAAAATGTTAGGATGACATGTCTTTGAGCAGTGTTCGCTTGTTTTGAGAAAATACACTGGTGATGATGTGTTTAGATTCCAAATGGTGTGACAGCTGGTCCGCAGCTGTACCAGGAGCGGCGGATCAAGATTGATGAACAGCTGCGTGTCATCCTGCAGATGTTTCAGAAGCTACGAGTCATCTACAACAAAGTCAATGAAATATCCATACACTTCCCAGAACCCCCAGAAGAGGTGTGTTTATTGTCTAGCAGAGTATCTAGTAATGTCTAGCAGAGTATCTGGTCATGGGTATTGGCCTGGCCTTGGTATAGCAATTTATTGCAATAATGATTCATGTATTGCAAGACGTACCACAACGTATTGCATGCCTTCTTTCATCTGTAATTTGTTCAGAAACTGAGTAAAAATGGACCCATACATCAGATTTCCACCGCACATATTTGACAACTTCATAGTTGTCTGCCATTTTGTTGGATGTTGCAATCGTCACAAGGTATATGTAATAGACATATTGTATACAGGAAGCTGGCCCTGAATAGTTTTGCTTTTTCAATCACAGGAATCAAAGTTTCAATTCAATACCGTGCACCTCTAATAATATCAGAACTGGACAAAAATTAGGGACCACAATAGAAATGCCAGTGAGATGTTATACTGGAAAGTATTCTAGCTTATAGCAGGTTGTCATGATATAACATGGATATAGTTGACTGCAGCATAAACGTATCACTTGCTCACACAATGCTCCCAGTAATGCTACATTCAGAATGTTGGGCTTTATAGCATATATCGTCTTAAGGACGAGAATTTATGGTTGTCAACTTCTTTATTATGAGGAACACGTTTCGGAGTGTATACTTACATGCTTACTCCTTCATCAGGTGAATCATTTCATCCGATGAAGGAGTAAGCATATACTCCGAAATTTTGTGTTCCTCATAATAAAGAAGTTGACATCCATAAATTCCCGCTCTTTTGTGTATCACTTCTACACGCCTTTTAAAGACTTGATATATCATCTTGTCGTCCCGGTTTATTTCACACTCTAACCTAATTTCCTTCAGTTGCTGATTCCGCTGGTTGGTTCGGAGGTGGATCAGACATCAATGAACAATGATGTGTATAGATATGTGGCAGAAGAACATAGAGACATTGTAGAGGTGAGTTGAGGTTGTTACATTTAAAATAGATGTACAATTATGTTGAGTACAATTGCCACACTATCCATATACCTAATTGTACGACAAATTTCCAAAACCCATTTAGAAATCTAAAAAATAAAATGAACAAAAATAGGCTAGTTTGTCGCCAAAGTAGACTCAATTTATGGATAACACAGCGTTAGAAATTGGCACTAGTCCTGTAGTCCTTACCAAACTGCCCAATAGTAAAGGTATCCTAAGGACTAGTAGAAACTGGCCCATTTTAAGGGTTTTGCTATATGTTATCATTATAAGGGCTAGTGGACAAAAACTGTTAGTTTCTAACCCTGTAACAACTTCTTTATTTTACTGTAATGGCGACATTTTGGTATAGATCCTTATACCGTTGTCAAGCAATGCATCTATCGCCATAACAGCAAAATAAAGAAGTTGTTATCCATTAATTGAGTCTACTATAGGGACATCCTAGCTTTGTTATCCGTCAACTTCTGTGTAATGCTTTCAAGACAGGTAATCAACAGAAATTCTATGGTGCTTATATGCTGTATCATCAACTTTTTGAAAATGAGGAGCAGCTTTCAATTTAATTTTAGTTTTGTACTTAAGATTTTAATGTTTGAGACCATGTACTTTCCTAAACTGCAATATGATATATAAACAAGAGTGAATGTGTGAGTGAGAAGTATGTTATTTTCTGTAAAAAAAACAACAAAGTAAGATGTACTGATAAGTTGTGCTTTATGTCATGGACTTTCTGCTACCCTGGGCGGAAGCCCATTTATGTAACAGGTGCGTCTTTCTAAAAACAATAAAAGAAAAAAAACAAAAAAACAACTTCAGTGTAATGCCTATCAAACAATAGTGTGTAACCGTGTCATTGGATGGAATATGCATGTCAAGGTTTACAGTTTTATGGTATTTCAAGGACGTTACAAACATTACAAGGGCAAGGTCAATGTGTGTAGGTTACGTTTCAAGAAAGAGAAATTTGAACATCTGTGTTTGATATGTTTGAGGTCCATATAAAACATTCAATATCTTCAAGAATACCTATGGCCCAAAATTGATTTTCCAATATGGCGGACATGGCAGCCATATTGAAAATAGGATGGCCTTGGGCACACAGCCAATATGAGCAGAACATGAAACATGGTTTGTGTTTTATCTCTCATATTCCTGTTTCAAAGTTTTACAATCTTGCTGTGATATGCATAAAAATTAGTATTTGTAATGTTCTATGCTGGAAGAATGAAAAAGGTGTATTTTTTCCCCATTATCCAAATGCTTGGTGGACCCTACAGCAAAAACTAAGAAAGATATTGACCTGAGGTTGGCTTGACGTGACTATTTCTTTTGTTTACAGCAAGTACGAATGAAGAATCAGGAGATTAAAGACATCATTGACCAGATACGTTCCATCATCTGGGAGATCAACACCATGATTACAATGAGGAAAACGTGAAGCAAGGCCTTGTTCACCATGGGATACTGACGGAGGCTGGACAGCAGCGGGGCAGACATGGAGCACCTAGATACCTCCAGTAGTCCAGTGGAAAAAATGACTGTGGCCTTTAAAGACATCACCTCTAATTTTATGAGCATGTGAATCTCAGGTTTTCTTTTGGAAATGGGGCAACAGTTGGCTGAGTGGTCTGCAGTGGTGCATTTCACAGCAGAGTTGCATCCCTTTGCCCCGCCAGGATCTGGAGGGTTGTTTGTTCAAGAGCAGACTTGCCGCAATAATGATTCATGCTTTGTGAGCACATTCTCCTGGGTTTCAAGGATTTCACAGTGCCCTGCTTCGGGTTTTCCTTCCACATTAAACAGTGACACTGACAGAAGTGAAATATCGTTCTAAGTGGAATAAACTCAACTCACTTATAATAGGTGGATATGTCAGGAATGAGGAAACAATTTGTACAATATTTGTCATGTTTGAAAATAAACAGCCATATCCATCAGATTATGTTGTTCCAAATATTTGGACCGCCTCCATGGTCTAGTGGTAGAGCATCTGCCTGGAGAATGGAAGGCCCCTGGTTCAATCCCTGGTCGTGTCTTACCAAAAGACAGTAAAAGATGGTACTTGTTGTTATCCTGTCTGGCGCTTGGCATTAAGGGGCTAAAACAAGGACTGGTCGTCTCGGAGTATATTGTGTCTGAGCGGGGTATTCGTGTTAAACTGTATGGTATCTCAGTGGACTAGCACTATCAAATCGGCATTAGTCCCAACTAGTACAAGCAGCCACAGGCATTTTCCTTTTCACAAATTACAAATACTGTGCGAACTTGCCCTGATGAGAACTAATAAGGCAATATAGTTAACGCGCATATACTAGTATGTGAGTTAGTTGCTATCTACCACAACAGCCTGTAAAAGATCTAGTCTGAGCCAGGAAACCAGTGGTTGATAGCATAAGCACCGATCCACACCGTCAGGGCTCAGACAGGACTTCTTATTCCATACTGTCGAAGTTTGTTTCCACGACGAAATGAGTATCTACTGCTGGTTTATGAAACCACATATAAGAAATCCATTAGGTGTTGATGATATTCTTTATTGATTCAGAAAGGTGTTAGACAATGAATCCTTGTGACAACCCACTCCATCTCTAATGTATCGCTTATCACTGGATGAGTTCATTATAGAGAAGGGGGTAGGTCATCGAACCATGTTGCGCATATCATTACACCCAGGGTGAGATTCTTTCTTGTAGAATTGTTTATTACCTGATATGTTTGTTTTCTTGTTTCGCATATTTTACTTCAGTATGCCCAGATGCAAGAGGCAACAACGAAGATGTTCAATGGAGGTTACTTTTTAGGTTTTTGTGGCTTTCAAAAAACAAATAACCATATCAGGCAATTGATCTGCAGAATAGAATCTCAAAATGTGCAAAATGGTCTGAGTATATTCAATAATTTATTGATATGCATCTTTCCCACCTAAGCTTCCATCAATCACAACATTAATAATAATCACCAAACACAAAATGATATTTTCACTTCAATACAAAGTGAATAATTCAGTTACATGTTCATTATTTGTCTTCTACTGAAACATTGAAAAAGAAAGGAAATGTTATACACGTACAAATTACTTGCCACAAAGCATAAGTTATGTTGATGAGAGAGAGAGAGAAAGCAAGAGAGAGAGTATAAATAATGACAACTAAAGAGGCTCAGTTTGGGGTTTATACTGGAGTAAAGGCCGAACAAAGGAGGGTTGGGGTAATTTTACATGTATGTCCAGATATACATACTTTATTGAGAAAAAGTATACAAACAAAATTATTAAATCGTTTAGTTGCAAAATGCATTACCCTGCAGAATTGCAGCAGGGGAGTTCATTTGTCATTTTTAATACAAACACGATTTCCTTATCGGCTTAAGTAAAGTAGTACAATGGCCACAAGCACAACTGGAGTGAGCATGTTGATGCCTGTTGCCATGGCAGCGGAGCAGGTGCCATCACAGGTGATATTTTTGTCACAGACCAGCCTGTAGCCCGGGGGAAAGGCCTTGCACAAATCACCATCTGCAACAAACATGTAGACACTGAATAAACAAACATTCTATATTTTGTAATCAGAACACTCTAAAGCTTGTAGATACCTTGTCACGTGAATATCATTTCAATGCCCTGTCGCACATCAAGTAAATACACCCTGAATATCATGTGAATACCCCGTCACATACCATGTGAATACCCTGTCATTACCACGTGAATACCCTGTCATGACCATGTGAATACCCCGTCACTCCCAACGTAAATACCCCCGTCACTCCCCACATAAATACCCCGTCACTCCCCACATAAATACCACGTCACTCCCCACATAAATACCACGTCACTCCCCACATAAACACCCCGTCACTCCCCACGTGAATACCACGTCACTACCCACATAAATACTCCGTCACTACCCACGTGAATACCACGTCACTACCCACATAAATACCCCGTCACTCCCCCCCGTGAATACCCCGTCACGCCCCACGTAAATATCCCCGTCACGCCCCACATAAATACCACGTCACTCCCCACATAAATACCACGTCACTCCCCACATAAACACCCCGTCACTCCCCACATAAATACCCCGTCACTCCCCACATAAATACCACCGTAACTCCCCACATAAATACCCCCGTCACTCCCCACATAAATACCTCGTCACTCCCCACGTGAATACCCCGTCACTCCCCACGTAAATACCCCCGTCACTCCCCACGTAAATACCCCGTCACTCCTCACGTGAATACCACGTCACTTACCACGTGAATACCCCGTCACTCCCCACGTAAATACCTCGTCATGACCATGTGAATACCCCATCACTTTCCACATAAATACCCCGTCACTTACCATGTGAAAACCCCGTCATATGCCAAAAAAATACCATATTATCTCTTATTCCATGTGAATACGTTGTCAAATAAAGCACCGCTGTGCATACAATACCAACCTGTTGAACTATTCTTTACTTTGGCACACAACTTGTCGTCTTCAGCGAAAGTTGACGTGAAATTCATGATGCAGCTTGCGTCGTCAGTTCCCTTAGCGCACTTCTTGCAGGCGCTTTCACCTACAAAGATACACACCATCTTATTAACGCAATATGTCATCACAAATGTCAAGGTAAGAATGACATTAATATATAGTGAAATTGAGAGAAATGTTTCACACGTGGACGAGTGATTGAGTGAGTGTTAAAGACGTGTTCCATTATTAGAATAACGATGTACCGTTTTTCTAACTAGCATTTAAAGCTGGCCTCGCCCTGTGAACCACATCCGCGATGTGAGAAAACTGGCATGACGTCGCATTTTATTTGGCGCTATAATTACTACATCTTTGGTTGGTTGGTTTGTTGTTTAACTCAGCAATATTCCAGCTATATGACGGCGGTCTGTAAATAATCGAGTCTGGACCAGACAATCCAGTGATTAATATCATGAGCATCGATCCACGCAATTGGGATCGATGACATGCATCAACCAAGTCAGCGAGCCTGACCACCCGATCCCGTTAGTCGCCTTTTACGGGTCTACTACATCTTTGGGGTATCTGTGGTAAGAATCCATCTAGGAATACATTTGTTTCGTATTTAATCCTTACCTTATATTGGGTAATATTTTCGCTGATAAAACCATATGATGATCACATACGATGTGAAACCTGCCCCATAAAAAACGCATAACAGACGGCATATTCCTCGCCATTTTTACCGCCATTTCTGTCATTGTTACACATTCATTATTTGCAAATTGTGATATGAAATCCAAACCCATTTTGCACTTGTGACTATTTGAATGCAGTTCAAGTGAAATGAGTAAATATTTCAACTAAATGTATAACTAAACCTACACAGGAAATGTTTTCGGCTTTTTTTAAAGTGAATATTTTCACGTCTCCCGTTGTTTTGTTTCTATTACAGGGTGCTTTGCACAGAACGTGTGTTCTTTCTTACACCTGTGATTCATGTTGCTAAGATCTTTTGTATCCTAGAATTTCACAAATGTGGAATGAAAGTAATATTTTTAGAAGAGTTTTTTTTCTTCCAGCCGGTGAGTCGGACAACTAATTTTAGGAATAAGCACTCCAAATTACGTAATTATGACAAGATCGTTTTGTTTGTCAAACGAGCTTCTTTGATTTTCCTTTTACGTTTAACCGTTCGAACTTACTTTTACTTACACAAACACGTTTTGTCAAATATATTTTCAATTCCACCACCAACTAAAAAAATACAACCAAATAATTGAATGAAAAGGATTGACAGACAATGCTCCATCTATTTCCACGCCTTGACGTAACCGAAATACTGCTCAAAGCGGCGTTAAACCCAACTCACCCACTCGCCTTTTTCCAGAAGAATCTATATACTGATTATGATAGAGATTATATTATTATAAGAAGAAGTATATTTCAGTAATAAGGCCATAGGACCACATACGTAATAATCATTTAGATATATATTTAATTGTCAAATGACACACTCGTTATTTTGCTAACAGTGGTTTCTTTTAGCTGGTGCCTTTCTAGAATAAACAGCACACTGCGATAAGGTATTCCTATCGTTTCACAATAGTAGCTGATTAAATAATTGATTACTTTGGCAATTAGTGTAATAGAATGGCACATATGCTTTTCTAAGAGAGCTATTACATAACGTACACATAACGCTCGCATCTTATTAAATCGTAAGTATATTGGCGGTTTGGTAAGGAAGTTCCATTGCTGATACCGTCCCCAGTATGGTGTAAATTAGATTGAAACCCGTATGGCACTCACAGCAGTGTTCCCGAGACTATTAATAGCGTATATATACAAATTCATTTATCACTAGTGCCGAAACAAATACCATTCACAGGTAAACATAATTGTGTCTGTATGTTTATATATTACTTATCCGATAGCCATCTGACATGCCAATCATATACACGTTTGATAAATACCAGAACCTTGCACTAGTACAAGGGGCATACGTTTAACCATGGCAGTTTCTTGTACAGCTTAGATTTACCGTGTGAAAGAGGGTATTCAATTCCAGACTTAATCGATCTAAACACGTACACCTTCTTTATGAAAAGGTTATATTGCAAAACACCAACAGGGCACAGGTTCACAAAGACAAAAGTATGTTATGCATGCATACTACCTTACTAGGGGGCTTTCTTGTGTTAATTATGTACTGCATGCAGGGTTCTGATATCGATCTGTTACCGATGTGGTTTAGTACTGACTCGGACTTCTTTTCATTTTCGTTTACTGAATGTAGAATCGTGGGTCATGGCCTAAGCTCTCCGTTACCAGATTTCATCAAGAAAATAGAGATGTTTATAATTAAAGAGGAACTTGCCTCAAACAATTTTGAGTGAGATAGTTCAAAAGCTGTTTTTATCTGCAAAATAGAGTTGTACGGTGTACCAATCTAGCAGGTTAATGACATAATGACGTCTTAGATCACATATAGTGCTAACTGGAGCGTCTGTTGGTAGACTGGAGGTTAGAACCAAATGTTATAGCCACCCTTTGAAAACTTTAACAACAACAAATACTCGTAAAACAGGGCGAAAGCTTTCTAATCCCATCCTAACTTCCAGAAGGATGTCGCGCTTTCTAAAACCGGTTTCCATCTGGCAATCAAAGTGTCATCGTATACTTATTCTTACAACTGAATTATGTAATCATTTTAACGTTTGGTAATACACATATCACAAAATTATTTCCACAATAAATTGAATACATAGTTAATGCGCTACGTGTGAGCGATTGCTGTTTAATCACAATCAGCCACATTCCAGCTATAAATACATTCTGTAAATAATCAAGTCTGGACCAGACAGACCAGAGACTGGAGGCATAAGCAGCAACCAGCGCATCGGGGTATGATGACACGCAATCATCAACCCGTTAAGATTAGGGATACAACAGGTCTTCAGCAACCCATGCTTCCCGAAAGAAACGACTATATACTAGTAGACGCTTATCGTAAGAGGGGACTAACGGGGTCGGGTGGTCAGGCTTGCTGACTTGGTTGATGCACGTCATCGTTTCCCAATTGCATGGATCGATGCTCATGATGTCAATCTCTGGACTGTCTGGTCCAGACTCAATTATGTACAGACCGCCGTTATATAGCTGGAATATTGCTGATAGCGGCGTAGAACAACAAACAAACAAACACGCAATCATCTGCCAATTCACAGAGCATGACCACCCGGTATCTGCTTGTTCTGCCGACAAACACGAGGTGTACTGGGGAATATTCTGATCGGATTTCCCAAGTGCGTTATCTATGCAGTTTGGCTGAAACAATGTAACACTACCGAAACACCAGTACTAGTTGTAGAACTGGAAGCAATGAACGAACAACAGAAACGTCAACTGCATTTGCGGAGCGTACGTTTTGGAAAGAAAAGAATTAACATTGATTCATTAATCCCTCATGACTATTCTCAAGCGTTATAAACTGCCGGGCAAAAGAAATTATGCACCCATGTTTGATGGTGTCTAAAATGAAACAAACAAGACAGGGTTACTCGATGGTGTACAGTAAACTACGTTTATAACGAACACGCTTATAACGAACTGACGGATATAATGAACTTATTTTTTAGTCCCGGCCATTTGATGTATATATGCTGTTTATATGCTTATAACGAACTACGGTTATTACGAGCTAAAATTACTGGTCCCTTTGAGTTCGTTATAACCGTAGTTTACTGTATTTTGGGCAGTGTTTCGGCTGTGTCCAACCTTGTAGCGTTTTGATAACGTTTGTTATGTTTTGGTCAAATCCAATTTCGAAGTGTGTATTTTCATTTGCCCGGCAGTTTAGCTAATACAGGAACACGAAAGACGGCTGAGGAGTGGCTGGAATAAAAGATTTAACATTACCTCAAGGCTATTCTAAAGCGTTATAGATATGACATGGGTTCGCGTGAAAACGAACAATTGCTTTAAAAGATATAACGCAATGCGTAATATAACGCAACATCGACATTATAGTTTAAACGAATATGTCAACATACACATGAGTAAGGTTGAAATTCGACGCATGGCACAATACATGAAAACTCGACATATAACATATAGGATATTCAGAAGGAATCACTATAGAGGCTATGTGATACTAAGTCAACCCGAGTCGATTACATTAATAAAATTCATGTACGTCAAATAAATGTTCAAATCGTATAACACGCCCAAAGACATATTTTTACTGATTTATCACTATTATAACCGTGGACACAACAAATCAATTGAGTTATTTGCAAGACAGACTATGTACACGTCTTAATGCGTATTTTAGGCGTATTTGCTCAACAAGTCAGTCGCACTTTTATTTTCCCTCTACAAAACTCCTTTCAATCTCTACCGGTCAATGTCAACAAACTTGTGAAAAGAGCACAATTGTTTGACAGCATTTTAATTTGAAATTTTAAGAAATACTTATCATTAGAAAGCATATCGTCAGCCCATCTTCATTCCACCTTCAGTCATTCTTCAGTTAAACTAAACACCTGGGCACCAGATAACACACATGATAGATAAAAGAAGTTTAAGCTCTGAAAACCCACACTGTGATCGCATGATCTCAGTTCTACTTTTGATCTTTTTGTATGTATTGTTTTGTAAGAACGCATAGCCTACAGCATTATTAACGTACGACCCGTGAAGATCCGGGGTGGAATAGGTCTTCATCAACCTAACCATGCCATAAGAGGCGACTATGCTTGTGGTAAAGGGCGACCAAAGGTGTCGGGTGGTCAGGCTCGCTGATTGTCATGCTATCCAAATTACGTGGATCGATGCTCATAAAGTCAATCCCTGGATTGTCTGATCCAGACTTGATTATTTACAGACCACTGTGATATAGCTGGAATATTGCTGAGAGCCAGTTAAACAAAAAAGAAACAAACAAACACACCAACTTAATACAGAGAAGTCATCTGCCCAGACTAACTACCCCATCACATGAATTGTACCATTTACACAGGTAACCAAAATATCATAAATATTAAAACATTTACCTCTTTGGATCAAAACTACGGCCAGCATTGCCATGGAAACGGGAAAAAGTAAACGCAGCATTTTACACGAGGATCACTGAGCTCCCAAATACTTGTGCCAGGCTAAAGCATACTTCGTGACCAGGGCGTGATGTTGAAACGGCTATACTATTGTCACCAACCAATGAAATCAAAGTATACAGTCACATGACTTACAGCGTACAACTAACTTCCCTTCCAACATCGTGATACAAGCAGATAAGGAATGCATTCGTCATTTAATAGTTTGCCTGCATGCAAGAAGGTAGTCACAACAGAACATGTACAATTCTGCAGAGAGGAACTTCTTTCAATGTTAATATTTCCAACGTCAAAATATCGTGTTCCTAGACTACTGCGACTCCATACAAGCCGTAACATGAAACACACTTATACCGACTTATATTTAATATGACCGACAGAAGAATGCGATGTCAATTTTCTAGAGTTAATTGTTTTCATAACGTCCCAATATTTTAACAGGATATGATTGTCAACATCCACATTCATCGCACCTTTGTGCTATGTTGTGATCGTGTTGTAGGTCATCAAGGCAATAGGGAAGTTGCCTAAAAGCAGTGATAATAAAATACATTTTATGTTCACTGCAGAAAGTTTCTGCGGATGACGTTATGTCAGAACTTGATGAACAACCATCTGTAAGGCTTTCACGACTAATTGCATGAAGACAGCTCTTCCCAACATCTTTCAGTTTCTCGCTTACAAGCAGGAGGAAATTGGAATATGCTGAGTGAATCCTTACGAACTAGATCATGGAGCTGCGCCCAGGCGATGACCGTGACCTTGAGCAGCGTTTGATGCGCCTCCAAGGGCGTCTTGCACAAGGCTGAAACACATCGCTGCGGTGTCTCGATTCAACTGGCCATTTGACCAAGCTACAGGTACAGTAACAGTTTATTTGCGTCAGCGAACTTTGTCAATGGACCTTGTGCCAGCGAACTTTGGCAATGGACCTTGTGTCAGCGAACTTTAGCAATGGACCTTTCCTGCCTTTTCAGTGCATACTGTATTAAGTCAAACTGTATTTGACGTGACCAACATTTCGTCAGTGATGTGAAGTTATTGTTCGCGTTTCTTTTGTTGTTCCATTGAGTGAGTTTGAGTCATCAGGATCAAAGTTGGTAAGAATAACGAAACTTGTGGGGTACATGCAAACTGTACATAATTTGTCACAACTGATATCAATCGGATACACGTCTTATGTTTCTTAATGTCTTGAGTGAATTCGTATTGCTATGCGTCTATGCTACTGTTGCTTGATCTGTCTGGCTCGCCATGCGTCGTTGTCTCGAATGTCCGGATATCTCGAAGTTACAACATGGTCCCGCTAGGTTCGAGATAAGGGGGGCTCGACTGTACATGTATGGATAGTAACTGCGATATTTCTAGATATTAAACTGCAAATGTATGTTGACACAAGAGACTGTTCGTTTGTTTGTTGTTTAACGCCACACTCAGCAATACTCCAGCTATACGACGGCGGTCTGTAAATAATCGAGTCTGGACCAGACAATCCAGTGATCGACATTATGAACATCGATCCACACAATTGGGATACGATGACGTGCATCAACCAAGTCAGCGAGCCTGACCACCCGATCCCGTTTGTCGCCTCTTAGGACAAGCATAGTCGCCTTTTACGGCAAGCATGGGTTGCTGAAGACCTATTCTACCCGGAATCTTCACGGGTCGACACAAGAGACTGAAGTGTATGTGTTGTGCTGGTTTGCCTTGATTATGAGGCGCGGACAATCTCATATCTTAGTCATGGAAAATTGTTTGTAAGCGGTGCTGAAGAGTAAGCTGACAACGTGAAGATATATGTAACACTAAAATTATCAATTACTGATGATTGGTAAAAATATTCAATTATTTCATTATGTATATTTAAAGTTACAACGAAAAGCATAATGTTGCTAGTATCTGCAATCTTAAGCACATGTTCGAGTTTCCAATGTATTACATCTCAATTCTATTATGATGGATTCGTTCCGGAAGTGACGTCACTATCCCAATCACGTTCTCTATACAAACACAGATTTGTTCTCGCTCGTGTGAGTAATTTGATTGGACATTTTTTTAGCGTCGTGTTATTCCAATCCGACTCAAAACGGAGCTGTGGTGGCGAGTGGGTGAAAGCTATTTATCACACTAGAACGGAGATACAATACACTGGATAACCGAGGACGCATTATGCCAAGAGTCAAAGCTCAATGTTTTGTGCACGAGTATGCCAATGTTGCACTTGGACAAACAAAGCTTGATTTTACTGACTCTTGAAGTAATGACCAGTTTTTCCAATAGAATCTGATTTAGCAGTCAGGATTGTTTGATTCCATAGTTCATTTCAGTCATTTAAATGACACTCGTGTACATTGAAAATCACGTGAAAATCTCTTATGGGATTGAATACCCCGCAGAAACCAGAACATGTTGCAATGTCAGGAATGAATTAGAAAGTCTCAGACTTGTCGGTCGAAAGTAGCGACTCAATGGAATGGGCAGTCAGGATCGGTGCCTTGATTGATTGCGCGTCATCGTACCCTGGCTGCGTAGGATGCTGCTCATAGTATCAATCTCCAGTTTTCTGGACCAAACTCAATTATTTACAGATGGCCAATCATAAAGCGGAAGCCTCTATTTCCTTGGTTGAAACTAGGTGGTCAATAGAAGGTACCATGTTTAGCCTCCATTTCCTTGGTTGAAACTAGGTGGTCAATAGAAGGTACCATGTTTAGCCTGTATTTCCTTGGTTGAAACTAGGTGGTCAACAGAAGGTACCACGTTTAGCCTCCATTTCCTTGGTTGAAACTAGGTGGTCCAATAGAAGGCACCATGTTAAGCCTATATTTCTCTGGTTGAAACTATGTGGTCCAATAGAAGGTACCATGTTTAGCCTGTATTTCCTTGGTTGAAACTAGGTGGTCAATAGAAGGTACCATGTTTAGCCTCCATTTCCTTGGTTGAAACTAGGTGGTCCAATAGAAGGCACCATGTTAAGCCTATCTTCTCTGGTTGAAACTAGGTGGTCCAATAGAAAGTACCATGTTTAGCCTTAGTTCCTTGGTTGAAACTAGGTGGTCCAATAGAAGGTACCATGTTAAGCCTGTATTTCCTTGGTTAAAACTAGGTGGTCAATAGAAGGTACCATGTTTAGCCTCCATTTCCTTGGTTGAAACTAGGTGGTCCAATAGAAGGTACCATGTTCAGCCTTAGTTCCTTGGTTGAAACTAGGTGGTCAAATAGAAGGTACCATGTTTAGCCTGTATTTCCTTGGTTGAAACTAGGTGGACAATAGAAGGTACCATGTTTAGCCTCCATTTCCTTGGTTGAAACTAGGTGGTCCAATAGAAGGTACCATGTTAAGCCTGTATTTCCTTGGTTTCAACTAGGTGGTCCAATAAAAGGGACCATGTTTAGCCTGTATTTCCTTGGTTGTAACTGGGTGGTCAATAGAAGGTACCATGTTTAGCCTCATTTCCTTGGTTGAAACTAGGTGGTCCAATAGAAGGTACCATGTTTAGCCTCATTTCCTTGGTTGAAACTAGGTGGTCCAATAGAAGGTACCGTGTTAAGCCTGTATTTCCTTGGTTGAAACTAGGTGGTCCAATAAAAGGGACCATGTTTAGCCTGTATTTCATTGGTTGAAACTAGGTGGTCCAATAGAAGGCACCATGTTTAGCCTCCATTTCCTTGGTTGAAACTGGGTGGTCCAATGGAAGGTACCATGTTTAGCCTGTATTTCCTTGGTTGAAACTAGGTGGTCCAATAGAAGGTACCATGTTCAGCCTCCATTTCCTTGGTTGAAACTAGGTGGTCCAATAGAAGGTACCATGTTAAGCCTGTATTTCCTTGGTTGAAACTAGGTGGTCCAATAAAAGGTACCATGTTTAGCCTGTATTTCATTGGTTGAAACTGGGTGGTCAATAGAAGGTACCATGTTAAGCCTGTATTTCCTTGGTTGAAACTAGATGGTCCAATAAAAGGGACCATGTTAAGCCTGTATTTCCTTGGTTGAAACTAGGTGGTCCAATAAAAGGGACCATGTTTAGCCTCATTTCCTTGGTTGAAACTAGGTGGTCAATAGAAGGTACCATGTTAAGCCTGTATTTCCTTTGTTGAAACTAGGTGGTCCAATAAAAGGGACCATGTTTAGCCTGTATTTCCTTGGTTGAAACTGGGTGGTCAATAGAAGGTACCATGTTTAGCCTGTATTTCCTTGGTTGAAACCAGGTGGACAATAGAAGGTACCATGTTTAGCCTCCATTTCCTTGGTTGAAACTAGGTGGTCCAATAGAAGGTACCATGTTAAGCCTGTATTTCCTTGGTTGTAACTAGGTGGTCCAATAAAAGGGACCATGTTTAGCCTGTATTTCCTTGGTTGAAACTAGGTGGTCAATAGAAGGTACCATGTTTAGCCTGTATTTCCTTGGTTGAAACTAGGTGGTCCAATAGAGGGCACCATGTTAAGCCTATATTTCTCTGGTTGAAACTAGGTGGTCCAATAGAAGGCACCATGTTAAGCCTGTATTTCCTTGGTTAAAACTAGGTGGTCAATAGAAGGTACCATGTTTAGCCTGTATTTCCTTGGTTGAAACTAGGTAGTCCAATAGAAGGTACCATGTTTAGCCTGTATTTCCTTGGTTGAAACTAGGTGGTCCAATAGAAGGTACCATGTTTAGCCTGTATTTCCTTGGTTGAAACAAGGTGGTCAATAGAAGGTACCATGTTTAGCCTCATTTCCTTGGTTGAAACAAGGTGGTCCAATAGAAGGTACCATGTTTAGCCTGTTTTTCCTTGGTTGTAACTAGGTGGTCCAATAGAAGGCACCATGTTAAGCCTATATTTCCTTGGTTGAAACTAGGTGGTCCAATAGAAGGTACCATGTTTAGCCTGTATTTCCTTGGTTGAAACCAGGTGGTCAATAGAAGGTACCATGTTTAGCCTCCATTTCCTTGGTTGAAACTAGGTGGTCCAATAGAAGGTACCATGTTAAGCCTGTATTTCCTTGGTTGTAACTAGATGGTCCAATAGTTTGGTTAAAACTAGGTGGTCCAATAGAAGGTCTACCTTTAGCCTCTATTTCCTGGCAAGACATATTTGTTACTAGCGTTTCTTTAGACTGCCACAACACACTTTTATTATATATTTAATAAATATTAATAAATGTACCAGTGTGCAGAAGGGTACACAAGTGTGTGCATGTGTGTGTGCGTGCGTTTTGCACAAGGGGGTGGTCCTGGTTCACCTGTCCAAGCAGTAAAAAAAAAAATGAATGCGAGGTTGCCGAGGGATAAAGACACAGGTGGTGGAAAGGGCATCTCCCAGTTGAGCAACAATTCTAAGGTCCCTCTTTCACATACAAACCCTATCTTTTCTATTTTCCAGGGATATAACCCTGACTTCAGAAGTCACATGTGAGATAACATGAACACCACAGGTTGAACAAACTAACAAGAAGCACACTTCATAAACATTTTTATATCAAAAGTTCAGAATATCCCCATATTTCTTTTCAAAAAAGACAAACATAAACATGAAACAGACACCTGATCAGTGAAAGTTCAAACACAAGCCTAGTGTTTCAACATACATACACAATAAACATTGTCACAGTCAGATACACAAACCCCAAACAAAATACCACCCCCAAACGTCTGAGTGCTAATTATCAATACAAACCTACAACAAAAAGACCCTGTAAACCGGACAGCTAAAGAAAATGGAATCTTTGTGTTATTTGAAATGAAACATCTTTTAATTCAAAGACAAATAAAACTCGTCATCTGGAGCTAGCAAGTTTGTGTGAATTCTTAAAAATAACCTCACATTGTCTGCTGACTGATGTTAACTGATGCATATGAATCAAGTGTGATAATTCTGGCTGCCTTAAAGATGTCTCCATTCCAAAATTGATCATGATGGATTTTCATAATAAATCATAGCTACATATAAAAGCATTGTCTATTTTCTACAAATATACACGTTAAACAAATTTAGGTATAGTGTTTGGGTATTTGTAAGTCTGAAAACAAAGATATTGTCTGTGATCACACAAAATAACACATTGGGGTATTTCATAATTATCAAAGACATATCAAGACAGTTCTCAACCAAACTGGTTTTAATTGGTTACAGACATAGTTTGTCTGAGATTACAAAGCAATCTTAGTTGTGAAACAATTAAAACTTGTTTGTAAAAATTGTATCTTAAAGGGACATTTATCAACTCAAATGATACGTTGCCTAAAGTTTCAACTTAAATTCAGATATGAGCTCACACAGGCACAATATTTAGGAAATAAATAAACAAAGGTGTGTGCACAGCTGTCAGATCAGCAACCATGGCAACTCACAGGCCGTTGGTCTGATGGAATGTGTGCCAGACCTGACTAGGACTTGCCCACTTTTCATCTCTTCACTGAATGACTGGTTGCACATCACACATGCAACTTTTGATTTGTAAGAATTATTTCCCCCCCAATGTATGGCTTATCATCAAAGAAGTCATCTTCCTGAGGCAAGTGAGTTAACTGACTATAAAAGTCCAGTTTCCACCCTTGCCGAACTAGACTGGTATTATGGAGTTACAATTTTGCTGGACTAATGAGTCTATGCATAGTCCAATCAAAATTGCGCACCGAAATCGAAATCCGGTTCGTAAAGTGTCATGCAGATTTCGGTCGACTGCAGGATTTGCAAAGCATGTGCACCGCTAACCCAGGAATTCCAGCCTAGTTCGGCAAGGGTGGAAACTGGACTTTTAAAGTCAGTTAACTCTCTTGCCTCAGGAAGATGCAAAGAAGTAAGATAATAATGAAACACCCCAATTCTTATAACTCATATCTCATATACATAAATAGTAGTAAAACATACAGCACTTGTTTCGAAGGTTCAACACATTTATGACTGTCATCTTAGAAATTACATGATCACTTTTGCGGATCATGCTAAGCAACTTAGCTACACATTTGGCCATTATTTGAATTATCTCCCTTTATCAGAAGCATACCATTTATCCCAGTTTGATGAAACCAATCAGTTTCAATAGCCCGTCAGAAAACATCCATTTCTTCCATCTTTCTTGATTCTTTGTACCAGTTTCTTGTAAAGGTTACATTCCTCCAAAGCATCAAATAGCTGAACCGATACAATATGTACCATAACAACCCTGCCAGAGGAAATGTTTAGAAGAAGGGGAGCATAAGGGAGGGGTGGGGGATGAGGGGTGGGGGATGAAATGTGGCAAGACTTCTATCCAGTATCTTGAAACTTCTTACGATAATATCAATCGCTCATCAATCCATACCAAGAATGTTGGCATAAAGTCTGTGAAGCAGTGATATTGATGCACAAGACATAAGCATACACTATATATAAATCTACAGGGATTCCAGTGATTATGCAGAAAGCAGATTATGCTGCAGGCTCTCGAAACTCCTTAGAACATTTATGAATACAATAGATGTGGTACTATACTTTGGTACACTCATCCTCTTAATTTCCTTTGGCTGTTCTGACGTCACACTGCACTAAACAGATCTCAACACAGATCATGAAGGCGCTTATACTTAAGTCATAGCCCTAGCTACACAAAGAGGGCTTTGTTGAACAACGTCCAGGTGATCACCTTAACTACCTTACTGGCATAGAGATATGTTCAGGATTTCTCAACCCAAGTGAAACCATAGTTGGGTGTAAGAAATCCTCCCATTACCAGAAGGACCATGAGTTTTCTTGACCCTCCCATGAAATGCATAAAAATGTTTTTGTTACCCTCCACAATCAAAATTAGCTGGAACAACTTAAAAGAAGGGATGATATTGAAGGGTATGTAATCCTAATGACTCCGATATTGAAGGTTGTACACATCCTTACACCTGGGAAAGCAGATCACAGGAATCCAATTGAGTGATTGAGTGAGTGAATTTGGTTTAACACAACTTTGAACAGTATTCCAGTTAAACCAGCTTAATGTGGGAGGAAAGCCTGAAGTGTCTCAGACATTTACCACTGAGGTGAAACCCACCAACATGGGTATGGGTATGGGTACATTTCATCAGGGTGAATCAGGATTCGAACCCATGATGAGCAGTTCTTGGCATTGCCAAGAAATGCAACTCTCCACAGCAAACTGCAGAGTCTTATACAACTTCACCCATGCCCTCACTTGACACCAAAGTTCTGATTAAAATAATATACCCCTCCCTCCCTCTAAGACTCAGAAATGAATTACAATCAATAACAAGCATGCACCCCTCTTTTCCAATGAAATCAGGAATAATATGGTCATACCATCTCAGTATGAGCTTGCAACCATTAGTGTCAACTCACTCAAAAAAAACTATATTTATATTTACTCTCCATGTTTTTTGCAATACTGACACTTTTCTTGGTCACATCTGAGAATCCATGATGAGGTGATGCCACAAATGTGTCAGCCACATTAAAAACTCAAAGTATTCAACAGTAAATTTTAAGAGGCCCCAAAATATGGTGTACAAGAAAATCCCACATCAATCGAGAGATGTGGATGCTGTACAGAAGAAGCCATCATGCATATTCAGATATTATGTTAAAGCTATTATCATGATTATGTGCAAAATGTACAGATCTGTGGACATTCTTTGGGATCATAAGCCAGACCTGGCATCAAACAGCAACCTTTTCTTATTGCACAGAACATTATAAACATACAGAAACTTGATACAGAGATCTGATTATTGACAAAATGAATGTCACCGACGGTTTGTACAGTGTAACTTTATGGATTTGTAATACTGATGTTTGTATACCATGTATACAAGCATTAGTGTCTCTAAATAATAATAATTCATACAGCCTAAAGACAGGATACTTACTTATACCACATCTTTTATCGCAAGGTAATTACCATTTTCATCAGCATAAATTGCATGCAGTCAAACACCGTTGTGTCAAACTTGGATGTGTCAAACTTGCGTTGTCTCGAAGTGAAACTTTGGTCCCTGCTTTTTCCTTCATTATTCATCATTGTTGGTTATGTCAAACGTTGAATAACTCGAAGTATTTATGTAGGTCCCTTCAACTTCGACATAACGGTGTTTGACTGTATATTAATAGCATTCTCATAGTGAAAGAACAAAGTCCTTTTTGTGCAGGAATTTCTTACTTAATGCTACTCTGTTTCTCTATAGCACATGTTACCATTATTCCAGTGAGCGCTGATCATGCTTATAAACTCTTTCAGTGGGATTTGGTACTGAACTAGGGATTTATGTAGGATTTTAAACTATCTGCCAAATTTGAAAAACAACATATTGTCCAATATTCTTAAAAAAGTCTACACCATACTTTGAAGCTGTAAAGTTTCAAAACCTTTATCTCTTTAATGGTCTTGCTATCAGTGAAACTCCAATTTACAACTGTGTACAGCTAAAACATTCGTCAGAATAATAACCAGAAATTTACAATTCAGATTTGTTGTAGACCCGTCTAGAACACCTAAATAAATCCCTGTGAATTTACTGAACAATCTTGGACAGAAAGAAACGTTTTGGAAACCATCAACACTGCTGTCCTAACCACATATCTCCTATGGGCTGTCCTACACATCTCCCATATCAGCATAACAACGAGTATGATTAATGAAAACTTATTTTATTATGCATACAAAACGTTTCAGGGTTACTTCATCACCTGATGGTAGGGGCATGACGTAGACCTGAAATGTTGTGTATGCAGAAAAAACAAGTTGTTACCATTATAATAACCAATGTTATGATTGTTACTTCTAAATGCCTATGAAGACTCTCATACCAATGCATAGATTAAGTTGTGTGAGTTCAAAGATGGCAAAACTGCTTGTTTGCAGTTTACTGAAATACTGGTAATGGATGATCCTTCACACATTCAACTCCTCACACATGTCCAATGTAGCCAACAAATGTATGTCTTGATGACCATCCAGTGCTGCAGCCACAGTTTGGATGAAGGAGACCACACTGCCTCTGGGCGATCTTAGCGCTTAGGCGATCGTAACTCACATACTTCACACAAACATATGACAATCGTAGTTCTAAGATCACTTTGAGGAATAGGACCCTGGTGTTCCTGTTGATGTGTTGTGATTTTCAGTGATGATACTGTCAAGTATTTGGAAATGAATGGATGTTATCGCAATGTTTTGATAACAATATTCACCATGGGTCTCAATTGTGTGCTTTGTATTATGTGGCCAACAACAAGCATACCACGGCTGCAGCTGTTAGACAATGCACAGATGTTATTTTAGAAGATGAAAGAGAAACACCTCACTATAAGGGGAACAAACTGGATTTGTTTGCCTGTATCCCTAACAATAAACCAGAGTGATATGGATGACATGTTCACTTACAGTGCAGAAGACACATGATTAAAACTTGTAAATTCAGAATGAAAGGAATTCTCATCACATGTCTGGCACATGTTTCATGGAAAGCCTGATTGAGCAAATACGTGGTATACTACTCGAAAGAAGATAAAGAACACACAATTCTTTCATATATGAAAGAATCAGGTGTTCTTTAACTTCTTTTGAGTAGCATAAATGGACAATTCTTTCGAATGTCTCTGAATGGTTATGGCACCAGCTTGTTTCAATTGGAAAATACTAACAGTCATGTTAGACATGAAATAATGGTTCAATGGATGGAACAGTGCCACTGAATAGGCCTTACGAGGCTTAACTTTGTGACTTTTTAAATATTTCCACCATCCTAACATAAACTTCAATTCTTCATACAGAACAATGTGTTTTTTGCACAGCTATGCAGAATAACCTGAGAATGAACACAGCACCTGAGTTAGATGCAGATTTCACCTGAGAATGTCCATGAAGTCCACAAAGTCCACAAATATTGCCTGCGAGAGTTTGACCACCTCAATGACTATATCCCCACGCCCCATGGCGTCCAACAGTTTCACCAGCTTCTGCTTCATTTCACAGTTATTATCCATGTTCAGGGGCTGTTCAGCTTCTTCCACGAAGCCCGACACACACGTTAACTTCAGTTTTTGCATACTCTTAATGTTAGCACAAGCCCGTGTAATGTCTAGCTGGTTCTCAGACGTAAGCACATTTGCTGAGATGTCCAACATTTTCAACTTTCTTAAAGTCCTCGTTAGAGTGTGGCAGAACTCAGGCACCGAGGAGTCTGATAAGTGGTTCTGGGACAGGTTAAGGATCGTTAGTTGTGGGAATTGTTTGAGAATCTTCAGGAGATAGGAAGGAGCTATTCTCCTCGTATCAAAGATCATAAACTGACAAAGCTTGCTGACATTGAGTTCTCGTAGATGTGCGGCATGTTTGGACTTGGCCAGAGAGTCTAAATCCTCCTCGTTAATGTCACAGCCCCTAATACTGAGATACTCCAAGGGTCTTCTCAATGCATCCAACACCTCCCCTAAACAACCCACAATGTAGTTGAAGCCAATGTCTAGTCTCACAAGATGTTCAAAGCAATGGAGTGTATTCACAATTTGCTGTCTGCCAGTCGTACAGCTTCGTGTTTTTCCCTCGTGAAGGTAGATATTACAGTCTTGTAGATCAAGTGAGCGCAAATTGGCAAACTTCTTTAGATCTGGTGCAATGATGAAGAATACATTTTCTTCAAGTTGTCGGAGAGATATTCCTTCAAGAGTCTGAAAAGAAGAAATGTTAGCCTTGTAAAGTAATCATACATCTCCTGCGGTCAGGTTTTATGAATTAGCATAATCAACATGATAATCTCGAACAATGCAGTAGAAAAAAACATGCAACGTCAAAAATCAAGGACGAAACAGAAACAAAACATGAATGCTTGTAACAGGGATGAAAACTGGCACAAGTCTGCAAGCCCCAGTTCAAAGTCTAATTTTGAAAGGTATCAGAGGGCTAGAGACATCCTTTTCATAATCACATATATATATCAGATACCAAACACTTCACACAGGTCTGCAGGAAGTCATAATCCGTATAAATTCCCAACACCTCATGATGCCTACCGATGAAGAGAGCCTACCAGGATATATAGCCGTAGAAATGCTGTCTGAGGCATGAGGCATAAACCATTAAACTATTCACAAATCAATATCTACATATAGGTCTTCATGTAGGTTGTCTGTTGCCATATAACAAGAATATAAAAACCTGCTATAAAATATGTCAAATGAGGAAGTTGTGTTCAGCTAGAGTACCTCTACATCCTGGCCTCGGAGGACGATGAACGGGGCCAGGGAGTCCATGATCTCATCTCCAACCATCAGCTCTGACCTGCAACATAGAAGTGATATATGATATATGATATGATATGATATGATATGATATGATATGATATGATATGATATGATATGATATGATATGATATGATATGATATGATATGATATGATATGACTAAAAGACAAAAAGACTAATGGTATGAAAATCTAATTTTCCCATGACACTATTCAATTTCCCAAAAATATTCCAGGCCTGGGAAACTGAAACTAATATTCCATAACCCATTTGGACCCTGATAACAAACTAAATGTGAGTGTGCATATCAACTATATTCTTCTAAAATCAATACAGGTATCTGACCAGTGATAAATAATAATCAATCTGATTACAATCAGATCTTAGTTCTCGCTACCACTAAACAAAGGACATCCCATTAGAGGTCCGTCAGACTGACCTTTCATAGCGTTGCTTACCAGATCATGAAAGTGACAGTGTGTTTTCTAATCATCCAACCTTGAAAAATTTAACATAGGGTATTCCGAACGACAGTTATGGGCTTTATGGCTGAATCCCTTCAATCCGGGCCATCTATTAGCCTTTCCAGAATGTTCTTATGTTCAGTTCTAAAATTTGTAATTAAGAATTTTTCCACTCTCTGGTCAGACACTCTATCTACTAGACCGCGGAGGCAGTCCTTTTCCCATGACAAAATTACCAGGGTCTACATTAACTAAGCTCTGCTTGTAAAACTTCAACTGTCACTGACAGAGATTGGGTCCATCTCACCAAGGGAGATAAAAAAACCTAATTCCCCAATATACCCACAATTAATTGTCCTACCTGATATGTAAAGTAGAGACCTGGATACGAAGTGGAGTGATGCTGCGGAGACAGTTGGAGATGAGGTAGTCCATGAAGAATGCATTGTTGGTGCTAAACTGCAGCATGTCCATCTTAACCACCATCTTGTGCCCTAAACATGTCCACAAAATTATTGGTGGCACCTTCACAATCTAAACACACAACAATAATAATGATAATAAAAATAACAAGTATTTGTCACAGAGTGACGAAATATCCCCCGCCTGTACACCATAGTACCAAATATGAAGACAATCCAGCGATTAGTTCTTGAGATATTGTGGCAACACCGTTTTCCAACTCCAAAAACAGATTTGCCTGCTGTGACCTTGAAAATGGGGTCAAGGTCACCAAATCTGACAGGTGTATGCGGTGTCTGTATATACACTATAGTTCCAAATATGAAGACAATCCAGCGATTAGTTCTTGAGATATCGCGGCAACACCGTTTTCTAACTCCAAAAGCAGATTTGCCTGCTGTGACCTTGACAATGGGGTCAAGGTCACCAAAACCGACTGGTGTCTGCGGTGTCTGTATATACACCATAGTTCCAAATATGAAGACAATCCAGTGTTTAGTTCTTGAGATATCGCGGCAACACCGTTTTCCAACTCCAAAAGCAGATTTGCCTGCTGTGACCTTGAAAATGGGATCAAGGTCACCAAAACCGACTGGTGTCTGCGGAGTCTGTATATACACCATAGTTCCAAATATGAAGACAATCCAGTGTTTAGTTCTTGAGATATCGCGGCAACACCGTTTTCCAACTCTAAAAGCAGATTTGTCTGCTGTGACCTTGAAAATGGGATCAAGGTCACCAAAACCGACTGGTGTCTGCGGAGTCTGTATATACACCATAGTTCCAAATATGAAGACAATCCAGTGTTTAGTTCTTGAGATATCGCGGCAACAAACAGGTGGGACGTACGGACGTACGTACGGACGGTCGTGAATACTATATCCCCCGCTTCGCGCTTTCGCGCGGCGGGGGATAATAATAAAAACACTACTACTACTACTAGGCTATTTATATTGCACATATTTCCACACCACTCAGGGGAATGCTCAGCTCCCTGGGGGAGCATACAACAAAGCTGCCAGCTAACAACCACATTGCCATCTCATCCTACTGGGTACCCACTCACTGCTGGGTGAACAGAGGCACATTTCGCACAAAGTCACTTGCCCAAGGAGATGCCACATGTTACAGAATTACTATGAAGATAACCTATTAATTTGGAGACAGCATGCATAATGAGAATATAAAAGTAAAAGTCTTGGTGAACACAGTACCCTAGCTATGTTCAGGCTACTTAAGAAGTAAGAGTTAATAACAAAAGTATTATGCCATACTCTTTGTCCCATCCTTCTGGCAACCATCAAAGTTCCTGGTCGAGCTAGCCAACATCTTCTCAGGCCTTGCTAGGAGAGTTATCGTTTGAATTATGCAAATTAACCTGTATCCTACAATAGTTTAATGTATATCATTCTGAGAATGCCTATTCAATGCCGATCCCGTTAGTCGCCTTTTACGACAAGCATAGTCGCCTTTTACGGCAAGCATGGGTTGCTGAAGACCTATTCTCCCCGGGCATCTTCACGGGTTCATCCCTATGAGGTGATAGAAAAGACATAAGTAATGCATAAAACACTAAAACGCTACCTCTGGGGAAGTTGATGCGGACATTGGAATACTTGATCATCTTATGACCCAGGATTTCATTCAGCAACTTGGGCAAGACTTCTTCAGTTAGTCTAGTGGCCTCAACACCTAGAAAGGTAAGTATGAGAAATTTGTAAGTTTTACATTAAATTGTATATATATATATATACTTATCCTATCTTACACTACCAATTTCTTCCTTATGTGGAAAGGTGCTTGAACGAAGTTTCAAGCTTCTTAAAACATTGCACCGAACACATCCCAGCATCACCATGGTCACCACCCAAACAAATTGGTCACTCACTGTAATCCTGTGTGTTGTGACCTAACATGACAACACCAGACTACCCTTGCAACATCATTCTCTTTCTTAGAACTGATGGGCTAGAGGAGCTGTGATGTGGGTAATTTACAAATTTTTAAACACAGCCTATCTCACTATGCATTTATCCAACTTTTGGACAGTGGGGCGAAGATACCCTCGCCTGTAGAGACCACAACCGTGATATATACACGGGGAAGCTGGTGCTAAACAGTGATGCAAATTAAAAGAATCTCTAAGACTGCCTAGTCTTGTGAGTTGGTAAAAACACCATAACAGGTGAATCCTTTTGCTAGTCAGACGTTACATCATGAAATCGGGTATGACAAGTTTTACCACCTAGGAATAGAGATCTATTGAGTGTACGACTTATAACCAATCTGGAAGTGGTCTTCAGGCAATCAGTTCTACAAGACAGATGACACAACTATCTCTTGGTGAGCCAGCCTAGTCAAAGCTATCGATCACACCTGCGGGATTGAAGCATGCTAAGACAAGAAGAGGAAGGATCGACAACATCCACAAGAGGATCATCACACCAATACTCAGACACCACATGCCTTAAGCAGAGTGAGCAGGTAAGGGCTTGGGACATTGCCGAAACATTTGAGCCTTGTGGCGACTTTGGTGTTGAAGAGGTGAGGTGAAATGGGGTTTAACGTTGTATCCAAGATTATTGCACTTATATAGTGATGTGTATGTGTATATGGCTACTTGTACTAGTCCGGACTGATGCTGATTTATAGTGCTAGCACACTGAGATACCATGCCGCAGTTTAACATGAATACCCCACTGAGACACAGTATACCGACTCCGAGCCGACCAGTCCTTGTTTTAGCCCCTTAATGCCAAGCACCAGACAGGGTAACAACAAGTACCACCTTTTAACATCTTTTGGTATGAAGCGGCCGGGGATCGAACCCCAGGCCTTCCGCTCTATGCTCTACCACTAGACCACAGAGGCACTAGCTCACCTTCCACTGGGTACTCAGTCCAATGATTATTCTGTACGTACAGGATATGGACTACAGGAGCAGGTACATTGTATTGTCTTGCGGTAGATCGACCTCGCCTGAAAGGTAGGCAACCGACAAGGATAGCAAGGTGACACATTTGGGCTTCTTGGCAGAAGAAGGCCAATGTCCTGCAGTCAACACCAGCTTGTGGCACTGCGTAAATATAAATGGAAAGCTTCCTTCGAGACTGGGAACACCTGTGGTCCTTAGAGCAAAGGCCCCGACAATCACAGCAATGATCATGAGGATCATCAGTGGAGAAAGTATGTCTGCAATTTTTACAGCAAAGGGAATTTATCCTGTTCTGATCCCATCCTCTTCTTCAATTATTGATGTAGACATTATTACGAAAGAGAGGTAGCTCACGCAAATAGAAAACCGAAAAAACAAGTATTCTCTAGAACACGTCTACACAGGGTGGCGATGAGAAAGAGAATGATGTTGCAGGGGTAGTCAGGTGATCAGGTCTTGTTAGGTCTCAACACACAGGATTACAGTGAGTGACCCATTTGTTTGGGTGGTGACCACAGAGATGCTGGAATGTGTTTGGGTGAAATGTTTTTAGAAGCTTGAAGCTTTGTTCAAGCATGTTTTCACATAAGGTTGAAAAGAAGAAGGAAGAAATGCAGAGTGTTAGATAGGATAAGTTTAAAAATATGTAACCGATAAACAAAATAACGACAAGCAACATAGCAATAATATTGTCTCAGTTCAACTTGGAAATTGTAAATGTTCACCATTTTGCAAGTTTCTATTTACAATTTTACCATGGCATTGCAGAAAAATTCTAAAACAAATTTGACAATGGTTAATTAGACATGTTTGATCATGTTGATATCATAGCTATGGCATAATGAGTGTGTGAATAACTTTGGTTAAAGGCAAAAGTTGGCAAATTGGCAGAGACAAGAGCTAAACAAGTATTTGTCACAAAGTGACGAAATGGCCCCGCCTGTATATACACCATAGTACCAAATATGAAGACAATCCCGCGATTAGTTCTTGAGATATTGCGGCAACACCGTTTTCCAACTCCAAAAGCAGATTTGCCTGCTGTGACCTTGAAAATAGGATCATGGTCACCAAAACCGACTGGTGTCTGCGGAGTCTGTATATACCTCATAGTTCCAAATATGAAGACAATCCAGCGATTAGTTCTTGAGATATCGTGGCAACACCGTTTTCCAACTCCAAAAGCAGATTTGCCTGCTGTGACCTTGAAAATGGGGTCAAGGTCACCAAAACCGACTGGTGTCTGCAGAGTCTGTATATACACCTTCGTTCCAAATATTAAGACATTCCAGTGTTTAGTTCTTGAGATATCGTGGCAACAAACAGGTGGGACGTACGTACGGACGGTCGTGAATACTATATCCCCCGCTCCCCGCTTTCGCGTGGCGGGGGACAACAAAGATGCCCAAAAGCATGTCATGGAGGAGTTGGATAATCAGCAATCGTTCTGAAAAGAGAGATCCTTGCAAAAGATGGAATTGTTCCCATACCGGCTGTCTTGGAAATGACTTTAGCCAGGCGCTTGAGGTTGAGCTGTGATTTCTTGAGAGACAGGACTGGCCACATCTGGATGATCAGCTTGCTAAAGGTAGTATCTACAACACAATACACATGTCCACAACACAGGGAAATAACAGTACATTTTGTCTTTGATCTTACAAATTCAACAGTTTATACTGCCTGTAGAAATTAAAATCCACACTTACTGAGAAACACATATCATTGCTTTATTTTGGAAAAATTATGTTCAGATCATCACAATCATGCTGATTGTGCATTTGGAGTAAATGTGTCATTGTCAGAAGACTTTGGTCATCATATATGATGACTGTTTATGAACATGTTAGTTTTTGATGCCATGGTTTAAAATCTTAAAAACTTACTCAGTTTGAATCCTCTGAAATCCAGGCATTTCATTTTACAAGCCTTTGTTCTTCCTAAGATGCCACGAAAAACAACCAAGTCAAATCCCATTTCCTCTTGGAATATATCTGCATAGGTCTTGTGGCAAAGTATCTCTCGAAAACTGGAATCAAACGAAATGTTTTCATGTTTATAAGTCAAACATAAAAATAAGAAACGAGAAACAAAAACAAGAAGTGTCGAAACATGTCTAATGTAGACTAAATATGTTTGAAAACAATCAGTGGAGAACTTCTCATGGATTCTCCTTGCCCAAAATTGTCTCTTTGCATCTTTTTCAGTAGATATGAGTATTGATACACACATTTCCTTAGTTGAGCGTCCTAGAGCAAACACTAATATACTAGACTTTGGACTATCAACCTGCTTATGAACAAATCATGCTCTTCTTGTTGATTTTTTAGCATAATAAAGAGTGCCAACTGTTTCTCATAATCATAAATTTGATTTGTCTTACAACAGTTATAAAATGTGATGAAGAAAGAGTTATCCTGATGATCCACTGCCTGAGAATCAAGACACACCTTAGCATCTCCCATCTGTTGATAGAAAAACTTACCAGAGACATGGAAGAGGCCAGCTTGCGATGAGGCTGCCGACTGCCTGTGGCTGAACATTATCAACAGCAGCTTTCAGCAATACTGGTGCTAGATGAACAGGAACTGATGTGATGGTTAGCTCAGCCAAGGGAGGATACTCATTTAGGACCTTACAGCTGATCTGCAGCAGTGAGCGAGGCTGGTTTGTAGGGTTGTCTCCCTTTGGTGTTTTGTCATTGATTTGAAGATGGTCATAGTCTATATGGTCCAATGCCCGGTACATTCTGTTGAACAAAAACATTTTGTGTAGAATAGAGACAATGACATGTTGATGATAATATCAAGACTGGCGGGCTCCTTCTCAAGTTATTAATGATATACAGGAGTACCTAAAGCATGGAACGGTAAACACAAAGGGACCAAAACGCAACACAAACTTACCCTGCCATACATCATGGTATGTATAGAATCACAGAATTACAATAAATTGAATCATATTTGTGACAAATCTTGAGGGAAGGTCTTTGACATTGACATTTTATATTAATAAAACATAATGTTTAATGTTAAAGTGTGTGTGTTTGCTGCCAATTGCCACACTTTATCTTACATAGGGTATATACAATATTACATCCTCATTCATGTGTACTGGAATAACAAACATTTGGATGTTTGGGGTCAAGTGCATGCCACAGACGGAACTCTGGACTGTGGAAATGTGGTGAAACATTTCTTTCCTGCACGAAGTCAAGGCTTCTCCTTTAGAAATAGTACCCACAAAAGACAGATCAGTGTGTGACATCAATTGGACTTATGGCACCATACACTGCAGCGCAATGACGACTTCACATGACACCACTGCCGCAGGCTAATTTGCATATCACTTGAGCAGAATTTTTGTTTACAAACATGCTACTCCTGAAATGAGGGCAGACTGATCTAATGAAAGCCTTTTGGCGCTATTTACAGCTTGTTTTGAATTATTATAAAGATATGTAACAACATCTGTGATGGCGAGGGTATGACAATATATATTTACACATGAAGTGACTTGGTAGCTATCCAAAACTGTTTGATTCTGCATGTGGAACCATACAATCATTGCAAAATAAATCATATAGAATATGCAAATGGAACAGTTTTTTCCTTTTTAGGGCATTTTATCTTATGTATTTTCATAGAATACATAGTTCAGACATATTCAAAGATCAAAAACCCATGTAATTTGTTGAATGGACTGTAGCCTGTTCTATGTGATAAATCATTACATCTCGCTGACCTGTGGCTGAGGTACTAAGTTGACCGCAAGGAACTCATGGTAGGAGAGTGATAGCAAGATATATCTCTGGTGCGTGTGAACATTCTTGCACCGAATACTGAAAAGAAAGGCCAATCTCCCTGAATTCGTTTTCGTCATTGAACTAACAGTTGGCCTATTGAGAAATTGACATCATCACTTTTTGGTCTAGACTCCATTTCAAGGCTAAAAATAGTAATTTACTGCTATACTTTATGGCATTACGTAGTTGTAGTTATGAAGAAATTGGGTCTGATTAGGTGTTAAGCATTGTACAACTACAAGTTTCTCAATTCAATTTTCAGATTCGGCAACATGAACGTTTGATATCCAAGTAAAGAATAAAATGTGAATAAAAGAAATTAGACACTAGAATAGTTGATTAACCATACCTTCTGGAATATCAGCCCAATCAAGAGGGAACTACATATATCTGTCGGGACCGCTAACTTAGGCTACAGTGTACGAGCTCATCCTCACTCATTCCCTTTCAGCGCCCCATGAGCGTTATTCTCGTAACATATCGCGAGACTAAACAAAGACATAGAAAACTCTTACAGGAAAACTAAAACGAAACTCAAAATCGATACAAAATGAGTTTAATCGTTGTTTTCATCGAGTAAAGGCACGTTTTCCTCATTTGGGTCTTATGTATAATTTATGTACTAAACTTTAGCTGCAAAATAATTTCATCTGTAACTGTTGATTTGTTTTCGATTTGTGTATCCCACGACTGTATACTGATTAGTCACAGTGTAGACTGGACCGTGTCGCTGCGTGACTATTTAATGTTATAATTAAGGCTGGGACGAGTCCTAATTTACTACCTGGGTATCTGACCCCCTATTACCCGACCCTACCCGGGTACCCACTGCAGGTCTCAAGAGTTGGGAACAAAATGTCTGATTGGGAATTGTTTTACCGCCGCCCTGGCTAAAACTATTTAGATACATGTATCAAACAATCAGATCATTCGTACACGGAAGTTGACTGAAGCGTTATCTTTACTCAAACATATGCAAGTCAAAAGGAATGTGGGTATCGTTAGAAAAGAAATGCGAACATTGGCGACTTGTGATGTAACCACGGAGCTTTTGTGAGTTTTTGTCATTAACAATATATCACGTGACTAACCACGGGTCCAGGTATAGTCCTGTGGGTACCCGGTAGGGCTGGGACGAGTCCATATTTACTACCCGGGTACCCACCCCCCTATTACACGACCCTACCCGGGGATGGGGGATGGGGGAGGGGTTAAGTGAATGCCTTGATCTCATAGGCTGGGAATAGGGGCACCGGAGAGTGGGACATATTACGGGTACGCAATATACATGTAAAAGAAGTAGAAAATAGGGGGTAAAGCGCAGTCATCTTGGTGATTAAGGTATGTTGGTATCATTAAAATAATCATCCTTGACCAGTGTTAAAACTATGTCAACTTGAAGTTTGTATATCTTAGAACGTCTCGCTGTCTATGGTTATTCCACCCCTCGTCTGTGTTCAAATGTATAATTATACTTTATAATGAGGGCAGATCGAGGAGTGTACTATACACGTGTCGGACGTGTAAATTAATGTGTTTATGTTAAAATCTGAAGTAACATGTTCTGTCTTTTCGTTACAGTATATATAATCCTAATCCAACATATTTTCAATCCACAATTTTGAATACACCGTGTTGTGTTGAATCTCCAACATGGCGCGGAACGTAAATGGGGAATTCCGGTTTGAGTGAAAGTTTTTGTACACCATAGCATTCTGGCTTTGGTGATTTTAAAGTATCTAATCTTTGTCATCTACCTCTGAGATCAAGCTCTGGAAACATTAAACTGTCATTATCAGTCTCAAGAAATAACATTATTTTTAGTGCTGACAGTCCTTTCTACTTTCGTTTTATTTTCTCGGAGGCGGAAGCTTTGCGTCGAAAATGTTATCAGAGTAACAGCTCCACAGAATTATGACAAGTCTTGGTCGATTCGTCATGGATATACGCCATATACGACTTAAATGAGTTCATCGTACTGATTCCACATTGCTTTCAAACGTGAGTACATTATTTTGACAAAACTGGCTCAGGAGGCCGAAGTTTGCCAAACATCTGTTAATATGGACAATAGAGGGAGTCATGTCTGTTGACAGCTGATAGTGCTGAGTTTTGTTATCTGGAAATAATACCATATCAACAGTTACAAGTTTGTTGGCAAAATGCAGTACATTGGTAATATCCCAATCTCATTAAAATCAGATCTTAGTTTTCGCTGCCACTAAACAAAGATCTGAGGACATCCCATTACGGGTCACGTCAGACCGACCTTTCGCGAACTCTGACCGACCAATGGAATTATTGACAAGAAGTCGACATTAGCCAATCAGAAGTCAGCTTTCTCGTGCTTTACGGCATTAATTTCAAATTGGCGACTACGCTTCGAAACATATTTTGACAAATTCTCGCTTAAAAATTTGAAACCTGAACAAAAGAACATTCTCAAATGGCTAATATATGGTCTAGATTGTATAGATTCAGTCGTTAAGCTCGTAACTATTGTTCGGAATACCCCGTTTTAAAGTTTTTGAGGTTGCATGAAGAGAAATCACATTCCGACTGTCACTTTCATGATCTGGTAAGCGACGCCCTGATTGGTCGGATAAAAGGTCGTTCTGACGTAACCCCTAATGGGATGTCCTCAGATCTTTGTTTAGCGGTAGCGAGAACTAAGATCAATTTTTAATGAGATTGGTAATATCCAGGTATAAAGTACTCTTGCGTACTGTTTTCTTGAGCCCCTGAGAAGTTTTTCTGATTACATGTCTAATAACAATCCCAATACACTAAAATTAAGCCTTACCTTAGAGAACATTTATTTCTGTTTGCGATTGGATAAATACCTCGCCAAGTGAGACAAGTCAGTCAGGTGCCACCTTGTTCATCTTGTTACTGCCACATGATTTCGAGCCCCTCCATGACAGTCAAGTTAAGATGCACAATAGAATCACAACATGATCAGTCACGTGACATTACAGACAGGAAGTTTACAAACAGCAGCCGATACATCATTGGTGCATACATATGTTCTTATGCAAGATTATAATCAGATTATGTTTGATTAAATGTGCATTTGTGAAAAAGTAAGTTTTGAGGTATGTTTTCATTACATATTGAATATCTTACGTCATGTAGCTAGTGGTAACGTATTGTTTGGGGTCTCGAAAACATGTTACATGGGGAAAATAACATCAAGTACCCTATTTTCAAACGACACTTAATTTTGGACAGCTATATTAATAGTGATTTGTCTCGTTATAATGAGAGGTGTGATGTCATCAAAGCTGCCAATTTTAGAGTGCACATTTTGTTGCCCATTTCATGATGAAAAGGAAGAGCAACATGTGTGAACACTATAACTTGACAAACAGTTATAGTTTGTTAATAATTTTCAAACTTTTAATTACTTTTAATGTCAACCTGCTAGAATTATGTTGCGAACTGTGCTCCAAAACGCGTCTTCATTCGTGGAAACCCTGCTAAAGTACAGAACCAATCGTGTTGGAAAATAGGTGACAACGCTCTTGTGCAGCAAAAGTTTACAGACAAGGCAATGGAGGTCACACCTTTTACTGAGGATGTTTTTATTTCGGAATAAAACTGCATTTTATTGTTGAAGACATCACCTACTGGTATGAAGCAGAATTTGAATATTGAATCACTCATCCCTCGAAGTATCAGCAATGCCATCTTAACTGTTCGAAAATAGGGTATTTCAGGATTTGTGTAACAAAAAAAACAAGATTGTCCTGACGAGAAATTGTGGTACTGTATTCTAAACATGCTAAAGGTGCTACTGTTATTTCTCATTGTATATCAGGTCTCCTAACTAAGCACTGTCCTGATATGAGTTAGGCATATAGTATGTCTGTAATAGTTTTCCTGGGCAGAGCAGTTTACAAGAGTGGTCCACTCATGAGACAATTACATGTTGAACTGTTGGATGAACTTGTGGACAGAGGTGAATTATTTTATCACATGATAGAAGATTGTAAAACCACTCTTTGATGGCTTAAGGACAACCAAATGAAGATTAACTCAGAGAAGTTTCAAGCCTTGGGAAGAAATATGAATTTGCAATAAAAAACTTTACATTTGGTGATATGACAATAGATTGCAATGACGGTGTTACCATGCTTGGTGTAGATATTGACCACATGCTGATACTCAACACTCACTTTGACAATATGTGCAAAAAGGCTGCAAAACACAATGGGTCTATACCTCACTAGGCAGGGTAAGATTGTTATCTACAAATCTTTCATTCAAATACTGTCCCCTTATCTGGCACTTCTGTAACCATGGTAACAAGACCAGCACCTCAAAATATTTTTTAAAAAAAGGAACAGAGCCCAGATTTGTCTACAAGGTCTACAAGGGTCCTCTCCCAAGCCTCCTATTTATAGCTGGCAATAACTATCTTCATCACGTTCATGTAAATCATTGAGATGTAAACCAAATCTATCATATTTAGTATATTCATTCAACTTTTATGAAATTTGCAACAACTTGATAACTCTTATCATAAAGTATATTTTACAATTTAGTTATGATAATACACATCTTCAAGACACAAGCTTTCATCTCCTGTTTTCTGTTTACAAAGTTAAAGGGGCACTGATCTAACGCAATTCCCCGGACTGGTTGTTGCCTTTGTTATTGTTTTTTTTCCCATGAGTACCCGGATGATACGCAACGCAACTGAGCGTGACCAGAGACTGTGCTACCGTCTGCAAGGACAGTCAAATAAACTTGGAGGCTGGAGGCAATATTTGTTTTACGCATTTTTGCATAAACACTGATTGGTTAACTGTGATCCATAAAGATTTCGACAAAGGGCGCATGCTAATTAATTTCTTCAGCCTAAACAAACAGACAAGAAGAACGACGGAGCTCATCGGATGTCGTCATTTGGAAATACTAAAAAAAGTATCCATGCAGTGAAAGCATTTTTGGATTCCGGCTTGCGTCGATAATGCAATTACTACTCCACATTTTCTCGTATAACCCTACACTTGTGTATTTGTCGTCATTTACTTGATGCTCAGTTAATGAATTTATTACAGGTACAATTAGTGGTAGCACCACTTAGATTACCTGACAAAGGTTCCCATTTGGCATGTATTGTGTCTGGGGTAATTATTCAATCTAAATCCAGGTTTGAAGTGAGGTGAAATGTGTGTTATGTAATATGCACGTGGCAGCCCAGCAAGAGATGAATGATCAGTTGATTTACTTTTTTTTGTAAATCAACGGATCGTTCCAAGTCATCAAAGGATTAACAGAAAATACGTTGATTGATTAATCACTGTTATCTTGCACAGTGGATATGTCAAAAGTGAGTGTTTACATGTGTAGGTTTACGAAAACAAAGGGAATACACTTTTATCATGGCGTGAAGTGCCGATGTAAAAACAACATACTTTGTTCAAAGGGTTTACTGATAATACGTTGATTGATTGATCATTGTTATCTATCACTCAATGGATTTTTTAAGAACCGTGGACGTTGTCACGTGGGCCTTTGAGACTTGACACCTATGTAAAACACCTGAAACAATCCAAGTGATCAGTTGAGAAACGAACACGGGTTATAATATCCCGAAACGATATACATCTTTTAAAATATTTGATTGTTACAGAGACACGTGATATCGAGTAAGTTTCTTTGTACAGCTGCAGACGAGTGGGATATTGTTCCTTTGTGTGGATATTCACGGATACATTTCTCGAACAAGGAAGCTGCCTAAAATTTATACACATAAATTTGGTAGGTTGTAATTATGATATATGCAATTTGTTTTCCTTCATTTGAACCGATTCGTTCTTGTTTCTCTACGTCTTAGTTGGGAAATTCTTCAATGCGCGATAGACGTTGTTTTCACAGGTCTTTTCCTTTGTAAGCGTGTATATATTACCGTCAATTTGTAAAATGTGATTCTCTCAGGCAATTTATAAAATGTGTAAATATTTCAGTCATTTTGACTTAAAAATCTGTCCAGATTGATTAAGACGACCAAAAGGGCCTACAAACATCACAACAGATTATTATGTAGGATTAGAAGCCAAAACAACATAGAAATGTACTTTTCAACGTAACATTTTCAGTCTCTTGGTGATGACATTAAACATCAAAATGTTTAGAAATTTGTTATCATAATAATACAGATGGAAATGTTTTTCAGTCACTTTGTGAAATAACTGAATATTTAGACGTTTAATAAATTTGTTACACATTTGACAGTAAAAAAATATGCACACTATAAAAAAGCAATGCTCAGGTGAAATATTTACTTTGTGTTGCAAGTCAAAATAGTGTAAACGAAAATCGCAAAATTACCAAGCAAGTGACTTATCAAAACTTCGTCACCATTGCTACCGACAAAGATACCTACATTTCCTTATTATCTCGAAAACTGTATTTCATTTTGTTGATCAATGTGACCATACGCCCTTATTGCTACCCATAAAAGTGACTAATGCGCTTACGAATGGCCCAGCAGAGGTCGCGAACTAGTCTAGATTTCTGCTATACATCCGGGTACTCACTGGGGAAAAACAATAACAAAGGCAACAACCAGTCCCGGGGAATTGCGTTAGATCAGTGCCCCTTTAATATGATGGATAAATTTTCCATGTATATTTCTTAGAAAATGGGAAATCATAACCTGACTAATAATTTCACCTGCAACCCTGACGTTTTCTCTTGTGTTGCAGCTGAATGAAGCGTCATGTCGGAGAGAGAGAGACGGAAATGTTTGGAAGTTTTGGGAGTGCCTTATGATGCTAGTGATGGTGAGTGAAATGCTTCAGAAATCTGTTGCAGAGAAAATGCTTCATTGCCACTGGTCAGCCTATGAATTCCTATTGACCGTCAGTTATCAGTTGAGAGATTGGCAGACGCAGCATATGTATATCGCAATGAATGAATCGCAATACCCAATTTTGTAAATATTGAGATCAGAGATTTATTGCATGTGAAACTGGTTTCCTTTCTTGCTACTGAAAGTTTCTAAACTGGTTTTACATAAGCATAAGCCAGCTCCACTCCACCACATACATCCTACACACAGCACAGAGGTTTGTGGAGGGGCATCTGGAATCTAAGATGCTGCAGTGAGCTTGACCAATGCATTTTTTAACATTTTCCCACTCAAGAGTTACCCATTCTCTTACCAAGTTACTCCTTCTGTGATAAATAATGACATCATAGTCTTCATCCTATAACTGCCTGATGACAAGAAAACTTTGAAAAATTGAGAATGTCATTATGGTAGTTACACAACAGAATCTTGATTGAATCTTGCCGTTGTGTCGAACATTGATGTGTTGAACTTACATTTGTCTCAAAGTATAAGCTTGGTCCCTGTGTATTCCTTCTTTTTTCATCATTTTGGTTGTTTCAAACCTCAGATAACTCAAAGTATTTATGTAGGTCCCTTCAACTTTGACACTACAATGTTTGACTGTAGTAGTTTTAATGAGTCTGGATTTAACCACTCATCTATTGACGGAACCCTCTTATCCCAGTTGATGTATTAAAGGAGACTTATTGGACAGCACTACAGAACACTGGACCATCTACATAGCTTACATCCCCAGAGCTCCAGATAAGCTTTTGGTGTTGTGGGTATTTTTACCCATGCATTTTAAAATCATTGGGTATCAGTAATTCTATCTGCGTATTCAAATTTCTGTTACCCACTAGTTTTTTACACATGTGGGTATTTAAGTTAAATATTTAAAAACACTATTCGTCTAGTCCCTGCAAACTGGTGTCGTGTGGGTTCGAGAGCTTTATAGGACTCAAAAATACCACGATACTTCCACAAGAAAGTGTGATGGCAAATGATCATGATCTGACTGTCATCGTGGAGTTTGGCAAGGTTGACGGAATGCCAACTTATAATTTAAAAATAAGTTGCTGATTTGCTAATCGAATACTCAGGGTTACTTCACAATATTTTGATGATACGCACAAGTTTTATTTTTGTAGCGTATCTGTAATGTTCGTTGCGTATTTGATACACTTGGATTATATTTTACTGCGTATTTCTTCATTTCTGATGCGTATTTCACACAGATACGCAGCTTATCTGGAGCTCTGCATCCCTGTCCTGTAGGTATTCCAGGTTTCCAGCAACAAGTGCTGGTTGTAAGAGGTGACTAAATGGATCTGGTGGTTAGGCTCGTTGATTCTGTTGATTGTGTGTCAGCTAGGGCTGGGATGAGTTCAAATTTACTACCCGGGTACCCGGCCCCCTATTACCTGACCCTACCCGGGTACCCGCTGTTGGTCTCAAGTTGGGTACAAAATGTCTGATCCGGAATTGTTGTACTGGAGCCCTGGCAAGAACTATTTAGATACACGTATAAAACAATCTGATCATTATTACATCTAAGAAGACTGAAGTTTTATCATTACCAAAACACATAAAGGTCAGAAGGAATGCATACAGTCAGAAAGAAATGTGATATTAGTGATTTTGAGTGTAACCATGGAGTTTTATTGTTATTGTCATTAAACAATGTATCATGTGAAAAACTGGGGTCCAGGTAGTCTTGTGGGTACCTCGGTCCTAGTCAGGACCCACCGGACACGAGTACCTGACATGTCCCACCCCTAGTGTCAACATGCTCCAAAGACTTGGATCGTTGTTCACAATATCAATCACTAGTTGTCTGGTCCAGACTCGATTATTTACAGGCTGCCATCGTATGACTGGTATATGGCTGAGAGCTGCGTTAAAAAAACCCAAAAAACTTAGGAGCTAATCAAGGATTTTGAAAAATGTAGGGTGCACACTACCCATGTTACAAGGCGAACAACATCACAAGGGGTGGAGGAGGTTGATCATATTGATAAGTACAGTACCGTATTTGACATAATAAGCACCACCCACTACAATTTCCCCCCTATTTCTAATTTTGATGCACCCTGGGCACTTATTAATTCAAATATGGTATTGTAAATACTGGAATGAGCCTCCAAGTCCTCCGCAAGTTCAAGGATAATGGTCAATTTACCCATGAGCATATTATTTATTTCATGTTAATCATGTCATTATTGAGACGTATTAAAGCCAATATAGAGCTCTGAATTTATTTTTCAGATGATATTAAGAAGAACTATTACAAGCTAGCCAAACAGTTCCATCCTGATAAGGTGAGACACTTTTGGAACATCTCCCATATATCAAGCTTATGTAAATATGTGCAATGTCGAATCAACAATGGTGGGTAAGTTTATTCCACGACCTGAAAATAATTGTCAGTGGTTGCAGTTTTACTACTGATCATCATGGCCTGTCACCTTGGTCATGTATTGAAATAAAACCGAAGTAATATTAACTGTCAAAGCTACCTATGTGTCTTTGTGTTTGTGGAAAAACATCAAAACTCTTCAACCCGTATAAGGCGACAACCCCCCCCCCCCCCCACCTTGAAATCCCCTTAATTTTTGGTACGAAAAACTCACCTTATACACAGCGATATACGGTACATACAGAAAAATTGTTTTGAGATGTATGCTGTGTTAAAAGAATCTATGTACAACACACAATCTGTCCATTTTTTGTTTGTCCTGCTGATATTATATGCTCTCTTGTTACTATGGTTACCAGAACACTGAGCCCGGCGCCAAGGAAAGGTTTCAGGAGATTGGCTATGCCTACAAGTATCTGACAGAAGGTTGGTATAGTATACAATATGTCTTTTCCAGTATACATTAAGATTTCCCTAGTGAGACTTGGGGGCAGAGGATTGCCTCAGTTTATTCCACCTGGTGAATTGTGGCATCAACGCAGCCAACATGAGACCCATAATACTGTCTCTGAGCGAATGATAATGATGTAAGGGAGGTAACTCTAAACCCGGAAGTATTTCTATAAATAGAACGCAATGTTAACGTAGTTTGGAATGGTTGTGTGAGTGTTGTGATGATGTCATCATAGTAATGCCGTTGTGTTGTCAGTTATGGTTTTGATCTGAACAAGTAAACATCGTTTGAGTTTACCGGCGACTTGAGTCTTCTTTCAATAAGTTGTTAGTACTGACAGATGGTGAGGAAGAATATCCCGTAAAACACACTCACTCACTCATTCACTAACCATGCTAAAAATCATCATGTGAGGAACCTTTAACCTGTGACCTGCTTTCATGGTTTTGATGTTCAATGGAGAAAGCTTGGTCGTAAACGGAAAGTTCTTTCCAGGGGGTATAAATGCGAGGTGAGATGAGGTGAAATAGAGTGTAACATCGCATTCAAGCTTGTTTGGACTAGTACTAGTACTAGTTTGGACATATGTCAGTTTTATCAAGCTAGCCCTCTGAGATATCAGTGCTGCAGTTTAACATGCATACCCCCCTCAGACCCAAAATACTGACTTTGAGCCAACAGTCCTTGTTTTATCCCCTTACTGGACTTAATGCCAAGCTCAAGGCAGGGTAACATCAACATCTTTGGGTATGATATAGGATCAAACTGTTTGGAGTCAGTGTTGTGTCTCTGGCCTGGGGTATCTGTGTTGAGCTGTTACATGTTGTCTCAATGGACAAGTGCTACAAGACCTGCATGAGCATGCAAGCATGTTGCTTTACTTTGTATATAAGAACAGTAACAGTATACAGTAATCTTGAACGTGTCATCAAACACCACTTCATTCCACCTTTAAACTTCGTTGTGACAGGTTTGCCGTTAGATGGTTTGATATTATTGATATTTACATTAACGCCAATGTTAGAATACCTCTGAATGTTAGAAATTAAGAACCATACTAAAAGTTTGAATTTTGAACCAAAACACACTTTTTTCCAAATTTGCCCACCGTGGGTAGTTAGTTTAAAATCCCAGATAACTCCCTGTAGTGCCTTGCTGTATCGTAATCTATATGTACATGCAACATTGTATTTTCAGTGCTTTTCTTAACAAGCTTGTGTGTGGAAAATGTGTGTTATAACATAATTTTGTTGTGGTTGTCATAGTAACACAGTTGTTCTCTGTTGCCACAGGTCCACAGGCTGTGGGGGCGGAGGATGAGGAAGATGGAATCCCTGTAAGTAAACCAATGAATACACAAATTTCATTATTTTCAAGCTTTTCTATTAAAATTTGCTCCTGAAAGGAATCCAAACGTTTAACAAGTGATTCAAACATGCAAAATATATCCAACAATAAAACTAAATTTGAAGTTAATAAATCTCACCTGTAAATGTTTTTGTGGTAATATGACTCCATAATATGTTTACATCTAACCATTAATAAACATCAGTTACACTATGCATATTCATTGGCATAAATTTATGTCTTATCCAATGATAACTGTTTATGATAACATTTTGTGGAATTATTTCGCTTCAGATTTGAATTCAAATTTTTCGAAAAATGAGTTTGTATTAATTTCTAAGGGGGAAATGGTTATGTTTTCACTGTAGAGTTTTGATAATTTGACTGCTAAATTCGTCAATCAGATATTGCGCCTTTTTTAGAGAACCTACAATAATTAATTTCAAGGGTCCTTACAGGAAATATGAGGGTTCTGTAAAGTAATGAAATGGTCTAGTGCACTGTACTGTAAAATATGATAATTATTTTAATTACAGGACCTTAATATTTCTTGTCAAGAATTTGGTACAATGAATACCATTGTGCTTTATACTATTTTATCTGCATTCTGGTAGACATCTGTTCATACTGGACACACATTTCTGTGACATGTCAAACCCTGAATGCCCATGTCAGTGTTTCAAATATGTTGTGTCTGTTTTTCAGTTTGAGGTTTTTGTGCGGCTATTCCCCTGGTTGAATGGAGGTAGGTGCCATGTTAAGTGTAGCAGTCAGTTGATGCTCAAGACATTTGTTTCCTGATATAGTTGGAATCGTTCAATCGACTCTCTACTTTTAGTGGAGATTTCTTTTCGTTATGGAATGAATTTTGTTGCTTTTATTTACATATCTTAGCTGCATTTGTTGAGTTGTAACAGTCAGCTGATGCTAAGGGCATATTTTACATAGCTAGGAAGTAGGGCTGGAATGATTCCAAATTCACAACTGGGTACCTGACCCCCTATTACCTGATCCTACTCGGATACCTGCTGTAGGTCTCAAGAAATGGGTACAAAATATCCGATTTGGAATAGTTTGACCATAGCCCTGGCAAAATGTATTTTGATTCACCTTTTAAACGATCTGGTCATGCGTACACTGAAGCTGACTGAAGTTTTATCTTTATTCAAACCAAAAAGGTCATAAGGAATTGGTGCGTCATCAGGAAGAAATGGGAACATTAGTGACTTGTAGTGTAACCATAGAGTTCTAGATAATTTTTGTCATCAAACAGTTTATCACGTGACAAACAACAGGTCCGAGTAGTCTTGTGGGTACCCGGGTCCATCTCAGTACCCACCCGACCCTAGTACCCGAGTTACCCGTCCCAGCCCTACTAGGAAGACATAATAGAATTGATCTTTCACTGCATGCTAAGGAGCGACATACACCATCATGTTTCAAATTTGTCTTGGAGATTTTGTATGTCTCAATATTGATATCAGTTTATATTGTTTGGCAAAGAAGTAACATTTATCAAACTAACTTTTTTCACATTTTTATTTTTCACTGAGTTAGTTTAACTAGATTACAATTTATTTGACAGCTTTCAATCCTTTTGGAAATCCATTTGGAAATCCATTTGGAAGTCCGTTTGGGAATCCATTTTTCGAACACATTCATTCCGGAGGACATTCCTTTCACCGAGAACACCATTACGGAGGTCACCGTCATGGAGGTCACTATTATCATGACTATGAAGAAACATTTTTCCCAGGATTTTATGATGACTCTGATGACAGTGATTATGATGATTATTCTTATACACGGCCATCAACATATGTTCCTGGTCCAACTAAAGAAGAAAAGAAAAAGGAGAAAAAGAAAAAAGCTAAGGAACGACGAAAAGCTGCAAAGATGGGTAAACGTGAGTAACAGTTTCTTTGATGTGTTGTTTTGATGTACAGTCTTTGACAAGGAGTAGAATTTGAAGTCACTGATTTTGTTTGAACAATAATCATTGATGTTGTAACTACTTGGATAAGGCATCAATAACACAGGTATTCTGCAAATTGAGTTATGTGATTTGTTGACGTAGTAGGTACTGTCGTGTGTGTGGTCAGTGATGTTTTCTGTTATTTACGAAGAAGATAACTGGATTCATTATTGGTTTAGTAAATAATCATTGAAAACACTTCAATTGTTTTCTGTAGTTATTAGAGTTCTCAGCTGAGTTTATTTACTTAAACTGTTATGTTGATAACTATATTTACTCATTTCATATATATGCAATCTGAATATAAATTAAGACAATCTCCATCTGTGTTTTGGATCTACCAAGAGATATAAAAATAATGAAAATTCGGCAAGTGAGAGGGAAACGTACATGTGCCCTTTGTCCGGTAAACATTTTCAGAATATACCCTGTATTACTCGACAGAATCACACGCCGCCTTTCAAGCCAGGTCAAATTCCAGCCGCAATACATCAGACTCACAACAGACATCGAAGCAGACGGCAGACAGAACTGACTCAAGTACTTCAGCACCAAACAATTTTACTAATGTCTTTCCAACACACAATTCCAATGCTCATGACAGCTGTGCCCCTGATTCGTCCTCTGCCAAGAAGGTTGAGCAAGAGAAGTTCAGCAATGGCTCTATACTACACAAGAACAAGGTGTCAGGAACTGAGAAGGTCAAGGCCACTTTGAGAGCAGAAGATGTTAAAGCGGGCGGCCATGACAGTTCAGGGGCATCAGTAGGGATCACTTCCCAGAATTCTCATGGCAAGAAAAGCAAGAAGAAACTTAAAGCAGAACAGAAACAACGTGAAAAGGTTTAGGAACATTTTCTTAGTTGTACACTTTTTTAAATAATCAAATGACCCTGCACATTCAGCAGTATGTAACTTGCCATCAATTTCTGATATCTTGCAATTATTTTCATTATTGAGTCACATGAACCTTCAAACTTGGTTAGAATTGGTCTTCAGCAACCTATGCTTGTCGTAGGAGGTGACTAACAGATTCGGATGGTCAGGGATGCTGACTTGGTTGATGCATGTCATCTAGGGCTGGGACGAGTCCAAATTTACTACCCGGGTACCCGACCCTATATTATCTGCAAGTCTCAAGATTGGGGAACAAAATGTCTGATTGGTAATTGTTTTACCGCAGCCCTGGCTAAAACTATTTAGATACATGTATCAAACGATCAGATCATGCTTTCACTGAAGTTGACTGAAGCTTTATCTTTACTCAAACATATACAAGTCAAAAGGAATGTGTGCATCGTCAGAAAGAAAGGCGAACATTAGCAACTTGTGGTGTAACCACTGAGCTATAGTGAGTTTTTGTCATTAAACAATACATCACGTGACTAACCACGGGTCCGGGTAGTCCTGTGGGTACCCGGGTCTTACTCAGGACCCATCCGACCCGAGTTACCCATCCCAGCCCTAATGTCATCATATTCAATTGTGTAGGTCAATGCTCATGATGTCAATCACTGAATTGTCTGAATTATTTAGACACCACTGTCATATAACTAAAATATTGCTTTAAAAAGCAGACAAACAAACAAACAATGAAACTGAAGCTGTCACAAAAACAAAACATACTGGCTGTGTATTATGAAAGGATGAAAACATCCCTTGAATGATCTTAGTTCAGATTAATAGTGTAATGTGTCATGTGAATATTTTGCAGGAGATGGAATTGATTGCTGCTGAATTTAAGAAGAAGCAAAAAGAACAGGAAGAGAAGGAAGCTCAAAGGAGGGCAGTGAGGGAGGAGAGGAAGGAAAGGGAGACTACTCTTGGTGGGCAGGATCTTGATGAAAGTGTTGTCGACAATGATTCAGTGATTACCGGAAATGATTCTGAGTCAGTGGAAGATGTAGATGCTGATGATGAGGCAGCCGCAGTGATGGAAGATGTGGACGACGACCTGGATGGTGACCTCGAGATTGATGGCATCGAGGACGGTCAGGATCGATCTGCAAGGAGTAGGGGAGAGAAGGACAAGCAGTAAGTTTAAACTAGTAATTGTGTTTTGAATTTGTGTGAAAAGAGAACCTGTATGGCAGCTGTTTAGTCAGATAGCATTAGTAAGCAGGTGAGGTGAGGTGAGGTGAAATGGGGTTTAACGTCGCGTCCAAGATTATTGCACTTATATAGCGATGTGCATGTACGTGTGTGTGTTTGTGTGGCTGCTTGTACTAGTCCGGACCGATGCCGATTTATAGTGCTAGCTCACTGAGATACCATGCTTCTGTTTAACATGAATACCCCACTCAGACACAGTATACTGACTCTGAGACGACCAGTCCTTGTTTTAACCCCTTAATGCCGAGCGCCAGACAGGGTAACAACAAGTACCATCTTTTAACGTCTTTTGGTATGATGCGGTCAGGGATCGAACCCCGGACCTTCCGCTCTACCACTAGACCACGGAGGCCGTCGCATTAGTAAGTTAGCCATACAGATGTGGGGTACGAGGAGTTCCTCGTGTCTATGCAAATCTGCATTTTGTAATAGCTTTGTAGGTCGATGACTTTTCATAGCCGTTTGAATATGATAATGGCCTGTATTGCATCCTCTTACATCCTTAAAATTATTAATGTCTTTCCATTTGTCATTCCAGATTCATGACACATAATGTAAGTTTTTCAAAATTTCATACTTTCTGCTAGAATTATCATTGGTTTTCTTGACAGTTTTAAAAGAAACAAAGTGATGTGCTCTTGAAGATGTGAAATTAGCTGATAAATGTCAAAACTTTGTTTTTTATTCTTTTAACAGTTCCCAAAGTCTGACTTTGTCTTTGTTTGTAATGAGAACACAAGTTTAACATGGCTTCTTGATGTTGCTGTGTCCAGTGAAGGTTTACAAACAGGTTGTGATTTCAGGATTTTGTACATTGCCAATATTCACCGTACTGTGTGACAAGTGTTTGCAGATTGGAATACAACTTACACCAAATGCTAGGAATTTATCATTTTAATATTTGGAAAGATAGATGTACACCTTATTGTCAAATTTCAGATGTCCAGTATGCAGGCATCAGGTAAAACTGATGTTTCTAACGGCGGTCCTGCACGACAAAAAACATGTAAGTTGTGGCTGCGTAATGCATTTGGGGTGTTTGCAGTGGTGCTCAACACCCTGATTGAAGCATTCAGAGCATATACTAGTGGGGTGTTCTTTAACTCCTGTTGAATAAGGAAGAGAACTTCTTTATTGTGAGGAATGCAAGGTTTCGGAGTAGGTAATAATGTAATAAACATATATGGAATTCAGCAGTTTGGGCCTGTTATCCCGTGATGGAATTCGAACCACTTACCTTCTGATCAGAGGTCGGACGCCTTGTCCGCATGACCCAAGAGGTTAACCCAGGCAGCAAGCTGACAAGGTAAGGATGTCATCTGTGGGATGACTCCACGCCCTGCTACACCTGCAATATTGTTTTTCATAGCACAAAATTCGATTGGATTTGATATTGATTTTTGTTGACAGCATCGAGACCTGTCCCACAACAGCAGCAGCAGCATGGTGCAACGCCCAAGACTTATTACCATGACAACAGGGGGTCCAGCCGGGGAGGTGGTGCTGATGTCAAGGAGGAGTCACTTAAAAGACACAGTATGTATTGCCCTAGGGTTGCGCTACCTAGGGTTACGACTTGGTTGATAGCGAGTCAGGACCCCCAAATTTTGGCAGTAAATTCCAGTTTTTATTCAATGAATCTACTTGAAAAGGACAATTATGATCCGCAAAGGCAGAGCCAATATTGCTGCAATGTAATTATTACTTTAAAAATTATGTTATAAACATGTATGGAATCATTGTTTTATTGTTATAAACTGAAAAAAACCCAACTTGATTTGGAACGAGATTATAATTTCTATATGTTCAAAGAATACGTCACTTCCAGAATTGTATGTAGCAAGAAGAATGGGATGAAACACAAAATATAGGAAGTGACAGTAATTTAGACGGATGTCATTATCAATTAACATGTCCAGGAAGGCATTCACGGAAGTAATTTGGAAGTATTCGTTTTACCAGAGACCATATAATAGAGGGACGGCCCTCTAGCCTATGCGCGAAACCATCAGTGCTACGGCTTGTACTGCGCAGCCTGTCCGGAAGCGAGCAGAAACGCGTTCACTGCAGTCATCGTTGTTGCCTTTTTTTCCCATGCAAAAGATATATTTCACAATACATAATTACACTCATATATTTCTTAACATTGTTAACATTACAACTGAGATTTGTTGGTGCCCTAAAGCATGTCGTTGTCACTGTATTTGATGACTGTGATCACGCTTTGTCTTTGTCCCAGAGAACAAAATGTCGCACATGTAAAATCGGCAAAAGTGCAGATTTTGATTTTCAATAACGGCCTCTAATTCGCAATGAAAGTCCTTGGTTACCTAGGTGTATAAAAAGGAGATATGTTAAAAATTGGCTTAGTGCCATTAACAAATTTAGGGCGGATCCGAAGTTTCAGATTTTGACTCCAGAAATGGGACTAAATCTGAATTTTCCCGAAATAATTACACCACAACTCTTAATTTTCGCATGCTTTCAGACGAACGTGTTCCTATTATCGGTCCTGAATTTAGTAGTTTTACATTCATCACGATTTCCCCTATGGCTTGGTACCAACTTTATTTAGGTACGATCGGTAGTTTTTTGGTATGATTTTTGGCGCAAGGCCATATTTTACGTCACATATTTTAAGTTAAATTACCATATAGCAGACGACATAACATGCATTTTGTCTGTGATCATCATCCGCATATATCCTGTGAAACATTCTACAAAGTGACTTATATTGTATGATCTTAGAATTGTTTTTGTAAAACGCGTATTTTTTTTACCATTGCTTTCGCCATTTCTTCTTAAGTTTAACTTTGTTTCAGTTAGGCCTAATCACATATCGCGCATATACTACATACTACGATACTACATATTTGTTATCTTCTGTAGGTTTTGTCTGTACAAATCATGACTACATTTAATCGATTATTTTTTTTATGCCGTGTAAATATTGATTATGAGCAAAAAGATATGGGCCGAAACCCAATCATAATAATGTAAATATGATGAAGGTACTACTTACTTTGTGTATTTACACAACAATGAAAACATCATACAAAAATAAAAATCCGTTACATGAAATATTTGTATAATAAAATTATCATTTGCTTTGTAAATGCCAAGAAAGAAGAAGGATTATATCGGCAGTCGTCGGGAGAGAAGTTCCAGACAACAAGGTCGAAGGTGTCATTCAGTAAAACATATAGATGGTCTATTGTCCTTTTCTGTGAAAAATACATTTACATATGTCAGAGTTTGTGATGTTTTGTTTTGTTTTAATAGTAATACATGTGTAGTTGCATGCTTTGTTCCAGGTTAGAGTTTAAAGTTTGTTTTCATTGATCAGATATAGAAAACTATGATGAAAGAATTTTGAAAACAACAAACGTTACTACAGTTTACGATATACTAGTACATATCTGGTACCATGCTCGTTGAAGCTATATTGTTATACCTGAAATACCTAATTATTTGTATGCTGAAATATCAATCTTATCGGGTAATATCGGAATATTTGGAATTTAACAGTAGCCTCCCTTAAAAAAAAACTTACCTCGCTCCAGCAAACCCTATTATCACTGCTAGCCCCAAACTGGCATTAACCAATAACTTTTGATTCTTTCGAAGCCCATTGTCGGACACATCGAAAATTCATTTAACAACGCTCGTAGTTTAATGTGTATTTCTAATTCATTGGAACTATTAGCATTATAAAATAGTAGCGAGTTTACATGAAATAAAAACATTAATATGGCGCCATTTTTTTTCTGGCTAATAGTAAAGCATTTACACCAGTCGGTGATCATGCATTTTTGCAAGTAAATCTAGTCTGGACTTATTATAAGATATGAAGTTAATATGGAGATATATTTTGTGAACATCGGGAATATGGTGATATGTTACAAGTGTCTTCCCTGCTTCTGGATGAGTTTTATTTACACTTCCTGAGTTCCTGTGCAATTTACCGGATCGTAGTTTTCTGTGGCGTTCGTAGTAGATTTGGTATATTTGTTTATTTATAATAGTTAACAATTACAGCATAAAATGAGATATTTTAACTGATTTTTAAAACAAATAGAATACGTTATAAAATACTTTTGATATCAGAACGGCTTTTTCTTCACATGCCCTCGAAAACTTACGCTTGTGGACAGACGTCATATTTTCATTTCCTATCTTTTTCTTTGAGTGAATCTTTTTAGGAGGTTTTAGCCAACGGCTTGGTAGCGGTAACATCACTGTCATTCTATTTAGACCAAGAGTCATCCGAAACCAACCCCTGGTCGAAGAGAGGGAATTCTTCAAGTGGCATATCTAGGTCCAAGACGAAATCGTCCCAGTGAATGAAGTCGTCCATGGCTGTGGCGGATGTAAATTGAAATAAATGTCCCGGAAGACACACATGTTCAGCAAATAATTTGCAGCCAACTGACATGTGCTTATGAGAGATATCATTAAAAAATCTTTGTAATCCGCTAAGAGACGTCCTTTTATTGGATTGTCGCTGGTCGTAGTCGGAGAAATCTCGGCTAAGGGAATTAACTCTTACCCCGGATATTATACAATATTGTTTACGTGGTTACCAGAATGGTCAGTCGTGAATGTCTGCGCATCTATTGCGCATCTGCAGCGGTACAGAGAGGTTAACAGCAGGGTGTCGGGGTGTATCAGTTACATGCCAGACCGTAGCGCTGATGGTTTATGATAAACTGTTGGGGAGGGCCGTCCCTCTATTATATGGTCTCTGGTTTTACTTATGTGGATTGAAACTATAAAAGAATTTCGGAATGAACAACCGAAATTGTGATGATGGCACCAATAGACAGTCTATGCAAATCACAGGAAACTGTTTATTATCAAAATAATACAATTAATTGATGTTACTACTAAAATGATGATCCTTGGTTTTGTCACGTTGTCCGTGTTCACCAAAGTGGTGAATGTCTATGATCGTTGTCACATTTTCGCCTTTCCTCCATCATTATCCATTGTTACCAAGGAAAGAAATATAAACCCCAAGAGTTTGAGGAGGATCCCGAAGTGGATGGCGTCCATGGTTCGGCTTACAGTGTCCTGATGCCCCAGAGTGAGGCGGAGGAGATGAGGATGTTCCACGAGGCCCTGTTGAGGAGTGAGATGGAGGCTGAGCAACAGGGTATATATTATTGAGTTTTTCTATTAGTAGTGCCTTCTTTGCAGCTCACCATGGCAACCAAGGATACTAACCGTGTCTGATGCATTGGTTGACCACATTGCAAGAGTCTTGTCTGCAGAGGTTTAATAAACGTGCAAAAGATGCTAGTTTCTCAGGCACACTTGCATCAGTGAAAACACCCAACATGAAAACATTTTATATCTGGCATTGGACGAACATGAACAAATACTGACACCAGTTCACATACTTGTTGACATTAACAGCTTTGGAATTTTTAAAAATATTTTAAAAACTAGTTCAAACGACTAGTGGAGACCTTATTTGACTTGACCTGAGTTGTGAACCCATGCTCATGATGTCAATCACTTGATTGTCTGATCCAAACTCGTTTAATACAGACCACTGTCATTACATATCGCTGCTTGTCCTTGAAGAAATGTTTGCTGTGTTTACATTTCTATCGTTTTATTCAGTTCCAATTTGTAGCAAAATTGAAGCATTGTGAATTGGTCGGTAAAATGTTGAAAATCAGGGACAGATAATTTGCGACCCCAAGATCCATTGGGAAAATGCGAGCCATCGCCCTGCCCCTCCCCACACACACAATTAGTAGTCCTGGGCTGCAGCAGGCTAGTGTGAATATTGAAGGCTGCATTAAAATGATTCGCTGGCTGTTTCGACTACTTTTCATGCTGATGGGGGAGCATCTGCTTTCACATCCGACGCTAGTCAGTATCTGGACGACTGGATGCCACACTGTGGAGACAATCCAACCAGATGCAAATATTCTTGGGGAAATTTATAGTTTTAGTGGCTCTTTATTGGTCTTAATTTGAACCAATATAATTACCTAGATGAACAATGAACCATTGGTTTATATTTTCCCCAAAGTTCTGTTTTTTGGTTTACTAATCTGTAAGCCAATTCAGAATATTTTTTTGAACACCTTGACATGGGTATTGTCGTTTTTTCCACAAATTTTCTTGGGTAAATGATGTGGTTTTATGAACTTTTTAATAGCTCATCATTTGAAACAATATTATCAGCTGAACAATTAACCATGATTAACCATGAGATATTCTCTTCTCCACTCCATTTATTTGGGTCAGGAGATCTGTGAACCGATTTTGGAATATCTTTGTCCTGTGATTGAAGATTTCAGGGTTAGGGTTATGCACAGAATGAACCATCTGATCAGTAGATATGGGAATGGTGTTTTTTATGTTTTTGGTATCTGGGGCTTTTGTTTAGTAATTCTGATATTTGTTGCAGATGACTTTGAAAACGTAGCAGCAGACGGGACAGGTGGGCGTGGTCTCTCATTGACTTCCATGTCATCTCATTGTTAGAACTTGCAGGAAACATCAGTCATTTTCCATAGCATGTTTATCACTCATTTACGTTTTGGTCTTTGTGAAAAATTTAACGTGATGTTTATCTGGTTATCTGGATTAGAAACCTAAAAATTTGCCAACACTGATAAAATGAAATGGAAAACAGTTTGACTGGAGGTCACATTTTCATCATAGAAACTCTGCATCTGAATGCATTAAAATTTAACTTTTGGGAAGTGAAAATAAGCATCTCACTTGAGATGAAGTTTGAACATACCACATGGTAGGAATTGATCTCTGTGTACATTCTTCCTGAACTGGTCTGTCTCTAGTTACTGTCTGGTTTGCTTTATTCGCTCACAGAGAGAGAGGGAGAGTCTATATTACCACGCCAGTCCCTGTTAGATCCCATGTATGTTACGAAATATATATCTTTATCAAGTATAATTATTATTTATGATATTAAACATGTTAAAGTAAGTTATCGATAGACGTTGTTTGGTATTACTGATTTAAAAGTGTAAAAGTCAACCTGCTTTATGTGGGAATGTGGTGGGCACTAGTGATGTAGAGATTATGTGTGTAAAAGTCAACCTACTTTGTGTTGGAATGTGGTGGGCACTATTGATGTTGTAGAGATTATGTATGTAAAAGTCAACCTACTTTATGTTGGAATGTGCTGGGTACTAGTGATGTTGTAGAGATTATGTGTGTAAAAGTCAACCTACTTTATGTGGGAATGTGGTGGGCACTATTGATGTTGTAGAGATTATGTGTGTAAAAGTCAACATACTTTATGTTGGAATGTGGTGGGCACTATTGATGTTGTAGAGATTATGTGTGTAAAAGTCAACCTACTTTATGTGGGAATGTGGTGGGCACTAGTGATGTTGTAGAGATTATGTGTGTTAAAGTCAACCTACTTTATGTGGGAATGTGGTGGGCACTAGTGATGTTGTAGAGATTATGTGTGTTAAAGTCAACCTACTTTATGTGGGAATGTGGTGGGCACTAGTGATGTTGTAGAGATTATGTATGTAAAAGTCAACCTACTTTATGTGGGAATGTGGTGGGCACTAGTGATGTTGTAGAGATTATGTGTGTAAAAGTCAACCTACTTTATGTGGGAATGTGGTGGGCACTAGTGATGTTGTAGAGATTATGTGTGTAAAAGTCAACCTACTTTGTGTTGGAATGTGGTGGGCACTAGTGATGTTGTAAAGACTATGTGTGTAAAAGTCAACCTACTTTATGTGGGAATGTGGTGGGCACTAGTGATGTTGTAGAGATTATGTGTGTAAAAGTCAACCTACTTTATGTGAGAATGTGGTGGGCACTAGTGATGTTGTAGAGATTATGTGTGTAAAAGTCAACCTGCTTTATGTTGGAATGTGGTGGGCACTAGTGATGTTGTAGAGATTATGTGTGTAAAAGTCAACCTACTTTATGTGGGAATGTGGTGGGCACTAGTGATGTTGTAATTCTGTGAGGCTATGTGTGTAAAAGGCAGCCTAACGTAGGCCACAATTATTAGATTTTAATCCAACTTTTTTTTTTAAATGTGAGACGGGATCCATTTTTTTTTATGGTTAAAAAACCCACAAACTTTTCAATGCCACGTTTGGTAAGACCATTGATATGGTGTATACAACTGTCTACATGAAGCGTTAACGTTTGGTAGGACCATTGATATGGTGTATACAACTGTCTACATGAAGCATTAACGTTTGGTAGCATTATTGATATGGTGTAACAACAATTGTCTACATAAGCGTTAACGTTTGGTAGCATTATTGATATGGTGTATACAACAATTGTCTACATGAAGCGTTAACGTTTGGTAGGACCATTGATATGGTGTATACAACTGTCTACATGAAGCATTAACATTTGGTAGCATTATTGATATGGTGTAACAACAATTGTCTACATAAGCGTTAACGTTTGGTAGCATTATTGATATGGTGTATACAACTGTCTACATGAAGCGTTAACGTTTGGTAGCACTATTGATATGGTGTATAGAACTGTGTACATGAAGCGTTAACGTTTGGTAGGACCATTGATATGGTGTATAGAACTGTCTACATGAAGCGTTAACGTTTGGTAGGACCATTGATATGGTGTATACAACTGTCTACATGAAGCATTAACGTTTGGTAGCATTATTGATATGGTGTAACAACAATTGTCTACATAAGCGTTAACGTTTGGTAGCATTATTGATATGGTGTATACAACTGTGTACATGAAGCGTTAACGTTTGGTAGCACTATTGATATGGTGTATAGAACTGTGTACATGAAGCGTTAACGTTTGGTAGCATTATTGATATGGTGTATACAACAATTGTCTACATGAAGCGTTAACGTTTGGTAGGACCATTGATATGGTGTATACAACTGTCTACATGAAGCATTAACGTTTGGTAGCATTATTGATATGGTGTAACAACAATTGTCTACATAAGCGTTAACGTTTGGTAGCATTATTGATATGGTGTATACAACTGTCTACATGAAGCGTTAACGTTTGGTAGCACTATTGATATGGTGTATAGAACTGTGTACATGAAGCGTTAACGTTTGGTAGGACCATTGATATGGTGTATAGAACTGTCTACATGAAGCGTTAACGTTTGGTAGGACCATTGATATGGTGTATACAACTGTCTACATGAAGCGCTAAGGTATGGTAGGACCATTGATATGGTGTATAGAACTGTCTACATGAAGCGTTAACGTTTGGTAGGACCATTGATATGGTGTATACAACTGTCTACATGAAGCGTTAACGTATGGTAGGACCATTGATATGGTGTATACAACTGTCTACATGAAGTGTTAACGTTTGGTAGCATTATTGATATGGTGTATACAACAATTGTCTACATGAAGCATTAACGTTTGGTAGCACTATTGATATGGTGTATAGAACTGTCTACATGAAGCATTAACGTTTGGTAGGACCATTGGTATGGTGTATACAACTGTCTACATGAAGCGTTAACGTTTGGTAGGACCATTGATATGGTGTATACAACTGTCTACATGAAGCGTTAACGTATGGTAGGACCATTGATATGGTGTATACAACTGTCTACATGAAGCGTTAACGTTTTGTAGGACCATTGATATGGTGTATACAACTGTCTACATGAAGCGTTAACGTTTGGTAGGACCATTGATATGGTGTATACAACAATTGTCTACATGAAGCGTTAACGTTTGGTAGGACCATTGATATGGTGTATACAACAATTGTCTACATGAAGCGTTAAAGTATGGTAGGACCATTGATATGGTGTATACAACTGTGTACATGAAGCGTTAACGTTTGGTAGGACCATTGATATGGTGTATACAACTGTCTACATGAAGCGTTAACGTATGGTAGGACCATTGATATGGTGTATAGAACTGTCTACATGAAGCGTTAACGTTTGGTAGGACCATTGATATGGTGTATACAACTGTGTACATGAAGCGTTAGCGTTTAGTAGGACCATTGATATGGTGTATACAACAATTGTCTACATGAAGCGTTAACGTTTGGTAGGACCATTGATATGGTGTATACAACAATTGTCTACATGAAGCGTTAAAGTATGGTAGGACCATTGATATTGTGTATACAACTGTCTACATGAAGCGTTAACGTTTGGTAGGACCATTGATATGGTGTATACAACTGTCTACATGAAGCGTTAACGTTTGGTAGGACCATTGATATGGTGTATAAAACTGTCTACATGAAGGTCATGCTTGGAGCTTCATACAATCAGAAAATCAAGACATGTTTGGGGATTAGAATGCCTGTGTTATGCTCGGTTTTAGAACAGGAAATACATTAATGTCGGATGTCAAATACTAAAATTTCTGGCACAACATTTGTCACCAACGTCCAGGTGTAATTGTTATTCGTGAATTGGTTTCAGACATGTGATTACACAGAGTGTTTTGATTGGTGCACCTGCATGATCGTTTCCTGTGGCTGATTCAGTATCTCTCTATTTCAGCATGCCGCTGACTTCTGTGTTTTGTACATTACTTCTTAAAGCCATACGTGTGATGCCTTACCAAATATATTGTGTTACGTTTCAAGGCCAATGTGCCAAAAATGCTGAGGCCCAAATTTCAGAAGAAAATTGATATTAATAATAAGAATGTAAGATATCATTTTTTTCTTTTCTGGAGTGCATTTACTTGTTTTATTTTCTTCAAAAGAGTTTTGAAATCATGTTTACACAACATGTTTGTTTTTCTTTGGTTCTTTTGCTTGATTGGAGGTGTAGACTCATCTGTAAAACATGAAATGGCCTAGCCTTGTTTAAGATGTGTTACTTCATGATCAGTGGTTACCATGGTTACAAAAGAACTATTTATCTCCATCTTTTGAAAGTGTAGCACCTGTGAAAATTTCCAGGTATGAATTCCAGATTTATTAAATCAACGGTTTGATATTCATTTAAAATTATGCTTTTCATTGTGTTTCACATATTTTTGTCTGCCAGGAGTGATGCCTCAGACAGAAGCAGAGGAACAAGCCATGCTGCAGGCGGCCTTGAGGCAGAGTCAGAATGCAAACTGGTGAGTGTTGGGCCAGCCCACATAGAACTTATGGTACTGGCGTTCTTTTCCTGGATTAGTGCTAGGTGGATAGTGTATCCCCTTTAATTAGTTGTAGGTAGATAGTGTTTTCATTCATAAGTAGCAGGTGGATAGTGTTTCCTTTGGAATAGTTGTAGTCAGTTTGTGTTTTCCTTGGATTAGTTGTAGATGAATAGTGTTTCGCTTGATTTTGTTAAAGTTGGATAGTGTTTTGCTTGATTTTGTTATAGTTGGATAGTGTTTCACTTGTATTAATTGTAGTCAGATAGTGTTCCATGGATTAGTTGTGGTCAGATAGTGTTTCCATGGATTTTTGGTAGGTATATTGTGCTTCCCTGCATCAGTTGTAGATGATAATACTTTCCTTGTATTGTGGCGGAGAATAACAGCAGCTCCTCCAAGCGTATCTGTTCTTTAACCAAACTAGTCCAGGAAAACGTTCTGTGTTCAATCTCAAGTGTTAGTATCCAAGAATATACATCTTAGCTTCTCTTCTAAACTGCACTCATCTTTGCAGGCATGGAAACATTCAGACACTGGATGACGTATCTGATGGTGATGACAGTATCTTCAGTGGGGGGAGCTCCGGCAGGGATAGTGGCAGAAGCTCTGGAACTCTGTGGCACAGCTCTATCGGCAAGAACTCCAAGAGACAGGAAAACAGCGAGATGTCCAGTCCTCCATTAAGGGGCAGCAGGAGTAGACCCAATCTCGGAGGTCTGGGCACGGGAAGCTGTGGATTTGGAAGTACCATCAGTCGAGGCAGAGGGGCTTCTACAGGAACAGCCGATCATGTTGGAAGAGGGGCTTCAGGGAAGCACGATCAGTTTGATCGGACTGTGGGGGGCAGGGTGAAAGGAAAGGATAGAAAAGCTCCAGAACATGGTGGGAGACAGGACGAGGCTTGGGAATTCGGAGGTTCAAAATTAGGACCAAGTTTTAAAAGTGACAATGCTGATGGCATTCAGTTTGGATTTGATGATGAGGGAGGAGCAGAGATCAAGGAGAAGCACTTTCAGACTTTCTACAACAGTAACTACAAGTCTGACCAGGACGAAGGGAAGAATGGAAGTAGCAATACTTTCCCTGTAGATGCTCAAACAAAGACAGGCCGCTCCCAGAATGCAACTGTCGGACAGATAGGTCCTGGGCACACTGACAACAATACACCACAGGTATCTGTCCTCGATGGCTACCAGAAGATTCCGCCACCACCAGCGCCGAATATATCTAAATTGCAAACATCATCAGCGCAATCAGAAGCACAGAACCGATCTCATTCCTCATCAGTTCCGGTGCATCAGGACTCACTCTACAAGTCTAGTCACACAAGTGCCGTACAATCTGCTGCAACGTCTGCTGCCACGTCTGCTGCCACGTCTGCTTCAACATCTGCCATCATTAATGACATGGATGATATAGACGATGTAGACACGTTTGAAGAGTCTAGTGCAGCCACATTCAGCTATCCCTCCCAACCTTCAAGTAGTTTTAGCTTGGACATACCGTCAGCCATGTGTAATAAAGAGAGGATGAAATCCTACTACAACTACAAGAAATGATGTTGGAGGACATAGTGATATTTTGCTGGCTGTGATTTGTTGGAAGTACTTGTGTGGCCATGTAATGGCTAACCGGACGTAGACACACCCTTGACAACCTCCTATCTTCTTGGAAACAAACATCATTCAAATGTACATGTTTGTAAAAAAAAGTGTGTTTCAAATTGAAACTTCTATGGCTAAGAAAAGGGGAATTTTTAGGGGAACTGACATTTTTGTTCCTAAAACATATGTCATGTATACTTGACTTTATCTTGTTTATTGGCAAGTATACTGATAGAAAAAAAGTTCTGTATTGTTCTGTATGACTATGGCAACTTAGTCTACAATTGACAGTTCTTGAAGTGTCGCTGCAATTTTTATGTGTTCTTTTATATTTTTCATCAGTATATTTGTTTTGTCAAAGAAGCTGATTAAAACAAGCGCTTCATCCATATTATTCATCATCATTGAGCTTATTTTGAACAGGTGTTTCAGTCATTTTATTTGTGTCGTAGCAAAGACTTTGGTGTTGATTTGTTCCAACTAGGATCAAGTACATTATGGTGTTGTAGGTTCACTTGTTGTAAGTTCAAACTGATACATCATGGTGGGAGGAAAGACCTAAAAGAAAAGGAAAGCATTTGTTTTGATTTCTTCTTCTCTCCATCAACCTAGATCCCTAGATGTGAACTATTTTTGGGGCAAAGTGGAAGATTGAACTTCCGTGCTTGTTCATGCATACTTTGGCATACTTATCATGTAAGACCGTTGTGTCTTACATGGTGTCACATAGGATTGGGTGGTGCAATGAGTAACCTGACTAATTGTGTATTATCATTCTCACATGGCTTGTCTGGCCCAGGGCCCACTTGTGCTAGAAACTAATTTCCAAATTATTGTAACTTTCACACCATCAACTCCATGTTCATAACAAAGTAGACTCAATTTATGGATAACAACTTCTTTATTTTACTGTAATAGCAACGGTGTACATGGTATAGATCCTCATTCCGATGTCTTGCTTGACAACGGTATAAGGATCTACACCGGAACAGACCTTGCTTGACAACGGTATAAGAATTGATACTGGAACAGGTCTCGCTTGATAACGGTAGTCAAGTCTCGTTAATCCGACACTCGTTAATCCAACAATCGGCTTTATCAGACACTAATGATGGGAACCAATTAAATCAGTGCTATTTAGACCTGTTAATCCGACAGTCTCGTACTCTGACTCCGACACACCTTATTTGCAACGAATTACCGAAATAACTCATTAATCAGTCTCGTTAATCCAACACAGTGATCAGCGTACTCCGTGGTCATCTGCCCGCGAGTACACAGCCCCGTGTTTTGATGTGAGACGAGTCGGCTAGTAGCTGCAGAGATAAACTTGCTTAACAATAAACAATTAATGCTTTAAATAAAGAAAACAGGATTAATCACATGCTTAGATAACGGCTATCTCATTAAAATCAGATACAAGTTCTCGCTATCGCCGAGGACATCCCATCACAAGTCACATCAGAACAACCTTTCGCAAACTATGACTATCCAATGAAATGACTAACAGGAAGTCAACATTAGCCACTAAGAAAGCAGGTTTCTTAAGCTTTGCGGTACCAGTTTCAAACTGGCAACTTCCATTCCAGACAAAACTTTTAAAGTATTTTGAATAAGTCATACAGTCCGTAACAGTTGTTTTGTGCTAAGCTTTTGAGGTTGCATGATTAGAAAACATATTCCGCTATCAATGTAATATAACAATATGAATATTTCATTTTTTCATTACGTGTTTGTATTGTTACCTATCGTGTTGTTGTCCCATTTTCGATCAGGAATGTTGATACTACTTAATTTTGTTTATCCGATATACAGACCTTGCTTGACAACAGTATAAGCATCTATACCGGAATGGGCCTTGCTTGACAACAGTATAAGGGTCTATACCGGAACGGGCCTTGCTTGACTACGGTATAAGGGTCTATACCGGAACGGGCCTTGCTTGACTGCGGTATAAGGATCTATACCTGAACAGGCCTTGCTTGACAACGGTATAAGGATCTATACTGGAACAGGCCTTGCTTGACAACGGTATAAGCATCTATACCAGAACAGGCCTTGCTTGACTACGGTATAAGGATCTATACTGGAACAGACCTTGCTTGACAACAATATGAGGATCTATACCGGAACATCGCTATTACAATAGAGTAAAGAAGTTATTATCCATAAAATTATGTCTACTTTGTCATTCATCAACTTCTAAGTAATGCCAATCAAACAATCTTTGTCCATATATCAGTGATCTGTGATTGAACAAGTTATGCACTTTCAAGACAAAACCCTCACAGTTTAGCAAATCATGGACGTCTTACACACTTGTACTCAGCAGACGTAATTGAAAATTAACAAAATCAGTAAATGCTGTATTGTGTCACTTAAGTACCTGGTCCATCGATCACTTGATTGTCTGGTTTGTTCACAGGCTGCTGTCACATGGCAGGAGTACTGTTGTGTGGCATCAGGCAAACAATTATTTTAGGCAAATTGTGTGAATGGCGGGTCCTACCGGTAGGGCAGGACATGCTTACCCTTTCCTCGAACACCTGGTGTCATCACTGATTTTCAGTGATCCATTCATATTTTGCCTTTTACATCTATTGAAATCTGTTTCAACGGATAATCAAGTCTAGTTGTCCTCTAAAGTTGACATTGTATATATATAATGAATATATAATGAATCTACCGAAATCTTTAGTGGATAATCTTCTCGTGACTTATGCATGTAAGATAACTGTTGTCCTGTGTTTCTACTGATCGTAGATATTACCATTTCTACTGATCGTAGATATTACCATTTCTACTGATCGTAGATATTACCATTTATGTATAAGACATGAGGTGGAAGAGGTGTACAGTCAAATACAATAGTCTGAAAGATGCAGTGTAAGAGAGGACACCCTGAGGATGGTCAGTTGGAATATATTGGTACACAGCAGTGCTTCACATTAGCAGGGGCCCAGGGAAGTGACCCCTGAAGAAAATAAATAGCATCCATTTCTGAGACAATATCACTCCCCATTCCAGTGACAATGGCGCTGAGACCATCATGAATCTATGTTAGCATGTGGGAGTTATGCTCCTCTAGCTTTTTGACTCACGCCCAATATTTAGCTCCTGACAGTTTTCCTATCCATCTAAAGCTCTCAGATGTTAAGGCTCATTAAATATTAATATTCCAAACTGGATATTGTTTTATTATTCTCCCAACCTAGAAGAACAGGGGTTCATAGTTATACCAAGGACTTCTTCCTCCGTCCATCCTTCTGATGACATTTATTGTGTATATTTATAACTTGAAAACTTCTGCATAGTATCTTTTCAAACTTGGTGAACACTTTTTATACTAATAGGAGCAGTGTGAAGTTTGATATCAATATTTGGATTTTGAGAAAAAATTCAGATATTTTTCATTTTTTGACTTGGGATCTTTTTACTTACACATTTGTGCGCCCTATAACTTAAACACTGCTGCATGGATTCTTTTCAGATGTAGCAAACAGTTTCCATACTAATAGAAGAGGTGCAGTGCAAAGTTTGATTTTGATATGTGTATTTTCTGAAAAATTTGCTTTTGCTTTTGATTTGGTTTTGAACTTAGAAATATGTTGGAGTCGAAATCGGGGGTGTTAGAGAGGCCTGTTCACTTTTTCCATGTTCAGACATGTCTCACTCATCATGAACAAGGAAAAAAGTGGTATTAATGTACAGTTGTAAACACCTTTCACTCAAATTAACAAGATGTTCTCAGTAATTAATCCTCGATTAATCAGTGTCAACTCAGTTTATTGCCTATTACAGTGATTGACCGATTGGACTATCATGTAGGTACGATGTATTTACAGCAATCAAAACAAACAAAGCTTGTCAGTGTAGTTAATCTTCATTGTGTTGCAACTGCAGACAGAAACTGCTCAGTCCTAACTGTTGATCATGTCCGGTCAAAATTTAAGAATGACCGGACAATACTTTTTAAAATGTCCGGTAAGCAATATTTTAAAACGGACATTTGAGATTCCCAATCGGACATGTCCGGCGCATATGACGGTTTCCGGACCCCTGCACTCATGTATATGTTTATATAATTTCCGAAAAAGCTATGGATGTTTCATTTAAAAACTGAACATTTAGAATATCTTATAAATTGTGCTGGCTGTGCCATTGTAAAGTCATGTATCAGGTCAGCATCCGAGTATCATGGTCACTCTGTATCCGTGTATCTTTACTCCCAAAGGTCCTATTTTACCAACTTGTGTCCTCCAGCACATCAGTGATATCTGTGATATGAATTCCCAGTCAGTGCTATGAGTGAATGTCAAATAGCTTTACCATATCCACACAAAGTGTGTAACAGCCAGCAAAGTACTGGGCCCACTTGCACAAAGCGATCTTAGTGCTAAGACTATTGTAAGCCTATGTTAAAGTATGGGAGTTACGATCATCTTAGCGCTAAGATCGCTTTGTGCAAGTGGGCCCGGAAGTGACTGTCTGATACTAAACACATGCCTTATTTATTTCCTATGCAAACTGACAGTGTTTCACCTACCATACCGAATTAGTACTGTACAGTTTTATTGTGTTGAAATTGAATGTTGGTTTAAATTGTTTTCCAGTAATGAGAAGTTTTTACTGAATATGGCTTCAAGCAAAATTCTTTCTTATGACTAGAATGTTGGTGAAATCCAATTTGTACTGATAAGTCTGTAATTTGTCACTTAGACTGTGTAACTGTTAACATTAATTCCCTTTTTTGGGGCTTCACTACACATTTAATACTCCTATAACATACACATGTATACACATCTGACTTGTCCAATGGTAACAGTCACTTGATCTACAGGGGCTGTCGGGTAGCCTAGTGGTTAAAGCGTTCGCTCGTCACGTCGAAGACCCGGGTTCGATTCCCATTATGGGTACAATGTGTGAAGCCCATTTCTGGTGACCCCCGCCGTGATATTGCTGGAATATTGCTAAAAGAGGCGTAAAACCATACTCACTCATACACTCACTTGATCTACAGTTGAAAATCATGATGCTCAAATTATTCTTAGGCCAGACCAATGTCATTAATTGTTTTATGAAAACATTTTTAGACATTTAGAAAATATAATGAAGATTATCATGTCTCGTGTTAGTAAACTTTATGTAAAATTTGATGTTTGTTGTTCCCTGCTTGCTACAGTAAAGACTTGCCCAACTCCTTCTTTACAGCCACCTACTTATTGCCAGTTTGTGTGTTCTTTTGCCTTACCATTGTGTACTTCTGTTTGTGCTTGATGTTTGTTTCTGTCTTTGGCATGGGATATATTGAGTTGTTTAAAGGGCAAGTTCACACGGAAATGCACCTATTTTTCTTGTACTTTTTCCACATTTAAAGTGTTAACCTAGAAGTGTCATAGACAAAAATATAAAAATATCACAATTAATTAACATATTTTTCCCATTAAAACGATTTATATTTTTCACATTTACCAAGTGTTCTATTTCCACAACAAAAACACCATGGCTTATGCCCCTTGCAATATGACGTCATTGGTGCCAATTGATAAACATTATGACGTCATTATGCTTTGTTAGAGCCGCTTCACGTGGTGTAGGTCCAGGTTTGTGATTCTAGCGTCTCAGATGCCAGCCAGCATAGTGTTATGCTGAGTCACCACTGCTCCGGAGTGTGTCGTAGGCCATGTTGTTTTACCGCAAACTGGTACTTGATATCTTTTGCGTTGAGAATAGACAGGGACCCAGTTGAATTGGCACCAATTACGTCATAATCTAAGGGGGATAACTCAGGCCAGTTTAGCTCGAAAAAAGAAGGCCTCATGACGGCATATCATTTTCACACTTTTGTGAGCTTCCTACTTTCACTGTGAAAAAATGAGTGTATATTTTCAAACACAGATACTAATTAATTCTAAAATTGCGTTTTGTTTAGAAAAAGAAAGACAGTGATTTTTGCGTGTACACTTCCCCTTTAAGATGTTGGAAACACATTTGTTTTCTTGTCTGAGCCTAGCTTCTACATGTACCTGCTTTAGTATACTCCTTTTTATTGTCTCATGTCCAAGTAAATAAATATTGTGTTCCTTTGTACAGCAAGATTATATATTTCTTGGTTCTTTTTGGAAAAACAGTAGCAGTTGGGAAAACATAGGACAAAGTTCTTTGAAAGTGATCTGA